TTCTCTTATTGCTTCAAATAAAAAATTGAATCTGGTGATGTTTGGAATTTTTGATCTTCTTACAAAGAACCTACATAACTATGTCAAACGAATGGCTGTTGATATTGCAAGAGATTCAACAGAATCAGAGCATACTACTTACCTATTTCCAAAGTATATTGACACATTCATTCATTCCAAAAGTACACAATTTGCTGAGTTATCGAGGGTAAGCTTTCAGCAGAAAATTTTTACTTCATTAATAGAAAAAAATGCAGAAAAATTTGATCTTGAAGGCAGTACTAAATGGATAATTCGTAAGAACAGAGTTATCCTAAAGAAAATTGATGGAGATATATCTTCTTTTTATAGCGATTTATTAAAGATGAAAAAAACTTTAGAGATAAATCGGGTCAAGACTTTTAAGACCATAAGAAAAGTGGTATATCTTCTATCGGGAGTACTGGGATCAATCTGTATTTCAGTTAATCATTTCCTAAAAGATCGAGATGATAAGTCCAATCAACGACAACTCATCTTTGTTGTAGCCTTAGGAATTATTGGTTTTTTTGGATATGCGCACATTTTTTTCTGGAACGATGGCCTTACCATATGTTCCCTCAGAACCTTTAATATTAAAACGTCCATAGCCAATACTTAGGATTTTCTGATATACTTAATTTATTATGCAATTGCCGAGCTATTTTACAATGCTCAACATCTTACATTCATATATAGCTATATAATATATTTGGATGGTACGTTCATCTATTCAATATTATTTATGTTTATTGTCAATTGCATTTTCGACCTTGTCTACCTCTTTTTTTATTGATTCAACTTTGCAAATACACTCATTATGTGTTTGTGAATAACGTGGCAAGTTAGATGGACTACGATAAAAGTGACTAACGAAAATACCATTAACAAGAAAATAAAGTTCGTGGCTGTTAAAGTACACTTCTGCCCAAGCCCATGGATAATACGGCTCTGGTGACTCTCCAAGAATAAGCTCTGTGTTGGAACGACATTCACAATCTGACACCATATATCTCTTCATTCGATCTAAAAATTCTTCTCGGCGAAGGACATATTGTTCTTCTGTCACATCTATATTGTACAGACGTTGCCGATATACTAGACGCTCATCTACAATATTAAATATCAAAGGACGAGTAATAGCTTTAATAAAACCTAAGGCAGTGTAAAAATAGGGCAAATTTCTACCTCTTAAAAGAGACGTAATATTGGCGTAGAGATTCTTCACATTATTCTTGGAACAATTAACGAAAAGAATTGGAAAATATTCCGAAGGATTTGGAACCACATATAGTTTAACAACATTAGATTTTCGCAAGTGAACATCTTTGAACCAATCTTCTTTCAATTTCAGTTTGGTCGCATTATAGTCTAAAGTTGTAAACGAACTTGTGGTTGCCCAAACTCTAAACATACCATAGTAATCATATATTACGGTTTCCTCCTTGGAAAACCCCTTAACTCTCCGTGTGTTCCCTTTTATTGGAGAGGTAAGAACAAGGGTGTCATTCTGGTCACTACCAATCACTACTAATATCGTTTCAAAAAATGGCATATAGTAAGGTTGCAATGGAATTGGTACCGGTTTTACAATGAGTTCATTTTCATCTTCACAAGTGTAACTGAAGTTCTCTTTTCCAATTATGGGTTGTCCACCTGTTACAGATTCCCCATATTTTATCATGAACTTAGAGACTAGGTTTTTAAACATTGAGTTAGAAAAGTGATTAAATATTGGTTTTGATTTGAAATCAGTTCCTTTCAGGATGATGCTGTCATTTTTTTGTACTGCATCCATTTTCGAATTTGCTTACAGTGACTTGGTATTGAGTTGAATGTCCTGCTATTTGAGTTATTTAAGATAAGAAAAATAAAAGTAGAAAAGGAAATTATCAAACTATCCATATTTTAAATACAAGTTAATAAAATAAGTGTGAGAAATAGGATTTAATGAGAGCATATAAAATAAAAGGAACGGATTCAATCAAACCACCAAATATAAATAGTCTTTTGAAGGTAAAATGTAACATTTTGGTGGTTGAAATCAATCAACGCTACATGATACGGCTCTCATAAAGGTAAAAGGAAGCCTGCAGGAAAAAAAGATTCCCTGTTACTTGAAAAAGCTCATTTCAAAGAAATGGGGGACATTATTCCTACCTAAAATCTTGGTGATGTAAAAATTGACATACCCGGATGCGGACTTTCAAATGCGCGATGACGTAATCCCACAAATAAAACGTAGATCAAACCGCGCATCTGACACACAAATATACATACGTAATATGCATTTTCATTACGAGCACTATTATCTTGCAGAACATAATCTATTTTGTCTATTTTATTTTTATTAAAACTCATTTAGTATTATTATACAATTTATTCTTCGTGGCTCTCTTACTGTTGAACAGAGCATAATACTTAAATTAAACATGGCATAAGGTACAATACGACCAACAACATACTATAATAAAACATACGAGATCTCATAAGAATAACTAAAAGATACACTACTAAACAAAGCTTAGGAGTAGTATATAAACTATTGGGAATTATTAGTATTTTGACTACTCATTGTTAATTTATTAATAAACAGTATTTTTATTCTGAAAGGTTTAGGCTGAAAGTTGTCGTTCCTTTCTTTTAATTCTAATTTACATAATATTATACATTTACATAATGGAAATTATTTAACTCAAGTCTGAATTATCATTCTGTCGGAAACTTAGAGTAACTTACTGTGACACTTAGTTCAGAAATCTTGTAAAGAAATAATTAGCAATATTTTAAAGAGACCGGCAAAAATATTTAAACCAGCACAAATCATAAAATAAAAACAAACCAGCAATATATGCAGGTGAGTTGTTCGAGAAAAATTAATGGTATATATAAAGCTATTATTGTAAAATAAGAAATATCCATAAGTAAGTAATTTGAAGATTATATAATTTAAAATACCTGAACAATTATCATATCAAAAAATATCCGAACTACATTTAACTAACAAACAAGAAATTAAAGAATCAAATGAGATTAAAAACTCAAGCTCAGAGTCTCTACAAATATGTATAAATACGTATCTTAATCTATATTAGACTTCTTGTTGTCTTCTGTAAACGTAAGTTAGAAATTGAGAAAATACGATTATCATTTGGGTTTGTAGTATTGGACATAGAGAAACTAATAATTCAGATAATTTTGAGATTAGCTCTCTTTATATAAGTTTATATACTCAATATAGTTAGACTCGTTAACACTTGTAAACCTGTAGGATCTCTTGTAACTTGTTTCATGGTGTACGGGAGTTGTTCCATAGTGAGACATGTTTCAAACTGTAACATGTCGGAAAGTTGGGACTTAGAGAGTAATAATTGTGTATATATTTGCTGTAGCTCAGGAATATGTGTCCGTTGCTTGCAGCAGAGCTCCCCCCTCCTACCAGAGAGAGACGTGAGAAAGTATAATATATAATTCTATATAATTTGGAAAACGGGTTCCTATCTATACAGAAATTTTCACAGCAATATCACATTGTACGAAGATCACTGTGTGTCACACTGTTATATAATTTGACGGAAATAATATGATATAAGTATATCTAGAATGTTTTACCAATAACATGGAAAGATCACGAGAAAATTACGTAATAGAATATTACATAACAAGATGTTACGTAATCACATTACTAATACAAAAATATATGCGTATTAATAATGAACCATTACGTAAGGAAGATTACCTAATAGATGAGGAGGTAATCAAAAGAAGTTAAAACTATATAAACACGAGTTATTCTGAACTTACAATCTGAGTTAGGATTCATTCGTTATGTATATTAAATAAAAAATAAAAAATCACTTACAAATTTAGAAGAAAAGTAACACATACGTTTGCTTTACAACCTACTGTCACCGTAATAATCTTCATTACCCATCACCACTTATTTAATATGCAAAACCAATCCGAATCTAACATCGATATGTCTGCTTCAGCTCATGGTAGCGCCGCGAAAAATTCGATTAATAACAATGAATCGAAGAGTTCTCCAAGAACTCCGATCCCAGGTAAAGAGGAACCAATTATTAACCAAGGTGAAAATAGTGATAAACCGAACGTTACTTCAATCTATCATGAAGACCCAAAAAATTACTTTAATAAAATTGGCTCTCCTTTGTTTGTCAACCCAGCTATTTTCGCTAACCCATTTCAACAGTCGGAATTTATGTATCCACAAAATCCAAAATGGGCTCTGCCAAATGCGTTGGGAAACCTACCACATCCACCAACTTTATCAGGTGGACGTATCCCTTCTCAATCATCTGGAACAATTAATGAAAATTTAGCCACTGGAAATACTTTTAGTAAAAAACCAGTCGCACCAACCACAATGCTAAACAGAATCACCGATTCATATGAATTCAGTGCTTGGATAAAAAATTTCTTAATCTTCTTAAATGAACATCAACTAGACCATGTCATTCCAAATGAAAATGGAAAATCAACCACTGCTGCTACTGATGAAGAAAAGAAAGTTATCATGGATATCTTCAAATATTTCGTCTCTCCAAAAGCCTATCCTGCTTGGTTTTCCAAAAAATTACAGGAACGTTTTATTGAACTTTACGACGTTATTGAACATGCTCTATATCAAGAGAACGAATACGAAAACGAAAGAACTATCGCTAAAGAATTATTTTCCATTTACTATGATGGAAAAACTGATCCCTTCTTCTTCCAAAAGAAACTAAAAAATTTGCGTAGAAAAGGTTTTGAAGTTGGGATCACCACCACTGACACTGTCTTATGTGATCGAATCGTGGAACATCTATCTGGTCCTTTTAAGTCAATTGCTGATAATTACGACCGTAATTACACAACTATCACACTCGATGACTTAATAGATGAAATTCAACGAGTCTATAATAGACAGGTCAAAAACCAGAAGAAGTCTGTCGCCATCGGAAACTCAGTCACCAAGGAAGTCAAACCTACAATCTCATCTGATACCGAGAAGCCTTCTGCTAATAAGTCAAAAAACGTTACCAGAGGTAAAGGTAAAAGATTGTTTCACATCCAACAATTAGACCCGTCAAATGAGGATCTTAGGCAATCACAGCTATAATTTAAAGGATTTGTTGATTGTGGATTCAGGTGCTGAAATATCTGTTGTGCGTGACACTTCTCTGCTAACAAATCTAAATTTCGACCCACCAGACCAACTTCTAGGAGCTGGTGATGAGGAATTAACTGTTAATGCTGCTGGGACTCTCTGTTTAAAATTCGGAAAGACTACTATACGTGTCAAAGCGTTAGCCTCCAAGGACACATCCTGCAACTTAATCTCCCTTCACGATCTTGAAAAAGCAGGTCTAATCATTGACCTTCAACATCGTGATATTTTGAACAACAGGGAAGAGAAAGTTGGGGATATTATTGATTACGGACGCTATATTTGTATTCCACTTAGCTTAGTCATCAAGAATACAGAGACTCACAGAGTTAACCACACAAAAACAAAATTGAAAATGGCTTTTCTACATCGTCTCTTTGGCCATATCAACATAAAAACAATTAAAGAAACTATTTCCAAAAACTTGATTAAAAACATCAAACTAGCTGATGTCGACTGGTCAAACATTGACAAATTCCAATGCACCGATTGTATGAAAGGTAAGGCAACTAAACATAAACATATTGTTGGTTCCCGTTTAAAATACCAAAATAATTATGGTCCATTCGAATACATACATTCTGATCTTTTCGGCCCAGTTACTGGTGTTTCTGCTACTTCTCCCTGTTATTTCATTTCCTTCACAGATGAAGCTACTCGCTTTCGTTGGGTCTATCCTTTGAAAACGAAGTCTGCTGATTCAATCTACAACATCTTCGACCATCTTGTTAGACAAATCCAGACCCAATTTCAAACAAAGGTTCTATCATTTCATATGGACCGTGGCTCTGAATATACTAACTCTGACATGGTTGATTTCTTTCAGAAGCATGGTATCATCCCAATCTACAGTTCTACCGGTGACTCATCATCGAATGGTGTTGCCGAACGGAGTAATCTAACGTTCTTAAACGATTGTCGTACCTTGCTGGGTTCTAGTCACCTTCCAAATAGTTTATGGTTCAACGCTGTTGAATTTGCCACGCTCATGAGAAATGCTTTTATCAACTCTACCAACAAATTATCACCTCGCGGTAAAGCCGGACTTGCTGGATTAGACGCCAGTACTATTCTACCATTTGGCCAAGAAGTCGTGGTTCATAATCATAAGGTCAAAAACAAGTTACATCCAAGAGGTATTACAGGTTATGCTCTCTCTCCATCTAAACAATCACATGGATACTTAATTTACATTCCTGCCAATAAACAGATTCTTGATACTGCTAATTATTCGCTGGTAAAAAACTCTACAACAGATCAAACACCTGAACAATCCTCTGCCTTCGATGACTTAATATCCTTATATGAGGACACCACTGCTGAACTCCTTCCAGAAACTGATTCTACAATTATATCACAAGAGGTGATTGTTAACACAAATGACAATGATATGGGTGGTACCGAACATTCTGAGCCAACTGAAACGGATGACACAAATGATCAAAGTCCAGATACTGTCTTTGATACAGATGAAATAATCACGACAGATGCCATTCCTCTCGATGCTCTCGAGGATATTCCTGATACTACCATTGCTGCTGATAATATTGATGCTACTACTGCTGCTAATACTAATACCAACTTTGAGGATGATACTACGAATAATACTGCTGCTACTTTGGTTACCGATATTGATGATACTAATAATTCCAACATGAACGAGGAAATTGATACTAATGACTCCAACACCGATGAGGAAATCGAGGATCTTGATACTAATAATACCAACACTGCTGAAGAAATTGAAGAGATCGAGGAAATTAATCCTATTATTGAAGAATCTAATCAGAGCTCCAATGAATCTATTATTTCAGTACCCGACTCTGATCCAAATATACCTATCTTACCTAGTTTGGGTGGTAGAAAAAAGATTGGTGCAATCACAAAAGATAATATGCAATCTCTATCGATTTACACAAATCCAAGAAAACGGAATATATCCAACAGAATAAAAGATAATACTTTTATGACAATAGAAACTACGAAAGCTAGAAATAATCAACAGAAGGATCAAGAAGATTATGACACCGAATTACCAAATAACCGGAGACAAAGAGTAAAATATCTGAAGGCAACTAAACGAGTTCTTCAAACAAAACACATAAATCCTTCACTGAACTACTTCGATGCTATTTCACACAACGAATCAAAAGCCGACAGTAAATTATTTAAAGACGCTTACGACAAAGAAATTAACCAACTACTTAAAATGAATACATGGGAAAATTCTAAGCTATATGATGCCAAAGACATCCAAAAGAATAAGATAATAAACTCCATGTTTATATTCACTACAAAAAGAGATGGTACTAAAAAATGTCGATTCGTTGCCAGAGGTGATCAACAACATCCAAGTACATATGATGAAGAGGCTATTTCCAACACTGTACACCACTATGCATTAATGACAACACTAGCACTGGCATTAGACTCCAAAAAATATATCGTACAACTCGATATTTCGTCTGCCTACTTATATGCTGATCTGTCGGAAGAGTTATACATTAGAACTCCGCCACACATGTCTAAAAGAGGTAAAGTAATGAGACTTAAAAAATCATTATACGGATTAAAACAATCCGGTGCTAACTGGTACAATACTATTAAAAAGTATTTAACCTCTAAATGCAACCTGGAAGAAGTTAAAGGATGGTCATGTGTGTTTAAAAATAAGAGCCTGACAGTTTGCTTATTTGTCGATGACATGATAGTCACAACAAACAGTTTGAACGATGCTAACAAATTCATTTCTCAACTAAAGAAAGAATTTGACACTAAAACAGTAAACTCAGGTATACCAGACAAACAAGGTTATGTATTCTATGATATCTTAGGATTAGAAATAGAATACCAAATTGGTAAAAAGATGGTACTAGGTATGGAAAAATCACTAGAGAACAAATTAACTACTCTAGATGTTCCATTGAATCATTCAGGTCAACTGCTCAAAGCTCCAGCACCACCTGGTACTATAATAACAGACAAAGAGTACGAAACGTCAGAAAACGAATATAAGAAAGACGTCAAATGGTTACAAAGAATCATTGGTCTAGCTTCATATGTCGCTTACAAATATAGGTATGACATACTTTTCTATGTTAATATCCTAGCACAACATACTTTATATCCAAGCAATCAAGTGAAACAATTAGCAAGATTAATGGTACAATATCTATGGGATACTAAAGATAAAAAATTAACCTGGTACAGATCAACTGATAATACCAATAACATACAAGCAATCACAGATGCCGCTTTTGCAAACTTAGATGGATATGGTTCACAAGTAGGTTATTTTATTAAGCTAAACAATAAAATCATAGGAGGTTCATCATCAAGAGCCAAGCTTACCTGCACATCATCCACCGAATCTGAAATTTATGCTGTTAGTCGTGCAATACCGATGCTAGATAGTATAAGGTTATTAGTTCCAGAAATAAGCAATAAAAAGACAACCACGGAAATTAAATGTGACAGTATTTCCACAATAAGTATCGCTACTTCCGAGGATGACAAAAAATTCAGAAATAGGTTCTTTGGTACTAAAGCAATGAGAATTAGAGACGAAGTACAAAAATTAGGATTACACATTGAGTATATCAATACTGATGACAATACTGCCGACATTCTTACGAAACCATTATCATACAAAAGATTTTTAAAGCTAACATCAAATTGGATAAGTTAATAGTCAAACAATCAAGATATGGGTGGTATGACGGAAATAATATGATATAAGTATATCTAGAATGTTTTACCAATAACATGGAAAGATCACGAGAAAATTACGTAATAGAATATTACATAACAAGATGTTACGTAATCACATTACTAATACAAAAATATATGCGTATTAATAATGAACCATTACGTAAGGAAGATTACCTAATAGATGAGGAGGTAATCAAAAGAAGTTAAAACTATATAAACACGAGTTATTCTGAACTTACAATCTGAGTTAGGATTCATTCGTTATGTATATTAAATAAAAAATAAAAAATCACTTACAAATTTAGAAGAAAAGTAACACATACGTTTGCTTTACAACCTACTGTCACCGTAATAATCTTCATTACCCATCACCACTTATTTAATATGCAAAACCAATCCGAATCTAACATCGATATGTCTGCTTCAGCTCATAATTTCCAACATAACATGATTTATTCCTAATTAGTAGATTAAACGAGACCTCAACTCATTGTCACGTGACTTAATTTTACTCACAATTTAGTTATCTCTGAATACAAAATTTACACAAATTAATAGGGCGTGTGGTCTAGTGGTATGATTCTCGCTTTGGGTATTTTACTCGAATATGTGAGAGGCCCTGGGTTCAATTCCCAGTATGCCCCAATTTTTTTCCATTCTGCATGTCATAAAAAAGTTTCAACATTTTAGCAGTTATTAAATTAAACACAAAAAAATAGCCAAATCAATGAGATAAGGTTATTTAATTTAAAGGAATGTGTTGTAGTATGTTAATAATAATTAAATTGATTTTATAAGATATAGGTAATCAATATGCTTAGGATAATTTAAGATTGGATAAGATGTGTAGGTCTAATAGAATAGATTATATTAATGAATAATGTCGCGAAGTTAACGCTTTTACGTTAACGTTGATGATGCTATGTTCTGTAATTGAACTCCGTATCTCTTGGTTCTCTTCTTATTTAATTTAACAGAAATGCTTATAATTAGTCGAAACTTCCACTTCGCATTCATACCATATTTATAGAATATCGTCGCCTATTCAGGTTGACGAAATCTCATATTCTGAGTTGGCAATATTTTTCTCTTCACGAACAACACCCAAAATTGGGGTTATCATTTAACATATAGCATCTTTAGGATCTCTATGTGACACTGAGTGTGATAGATAATTGGCCAATGTTAGATTAGATGACAGAATCAGAGGATTTAGCATCCATTTTAGATTCGGGCAATTATCTATCACATTTGGTAAATAATTCTTATTGGAAATAGTGACGTTTGTATGGACAGACAAACACACGCACGCACACACATATATATATGTAAAGCTAAAAATAATAAATATCCAAAATTAATTTATTACACAAGCATACTACGCTTAGATTTTTTTTTGTGCATTCATCTTCTAAGATGACATTTTCAATTTTAATAATGCAGTTTAAGAATTTTCAGACAAAAAGTGGCCCCAGTCTGAAATAAGTTAAATGTGAAAATTAAATTACCTAATATTTTTTTAATTCTATTGTCTTGATGTTGAAGTTCATTTTTGGAATATCTTGTCAACTGATCGCCCCACGCACCAATTGAAAGGACTTAAAACCCGACGCGCAAAACATGTGGAAGATGAAACAATAGAAATCTGGCATGAGTTTCACAATCTAAAGATAAGGGATAAGGGCTAGAAATAATAAATTTTTTTCTTTTGCATACTGTATTGTTTGCTTTTATGGTGGGAGTCAATCATTACGATACAGAAAGATATATAAATTCAGAGGGAGGAAAGAATATTTCAAGGAAGGACTGATATAATAGTCATCATTGCTACATCAAAGAGGAATGACTTAAAGTCAAACAAACAAACCAATAATAATAATATAATAACAAAGGAAAAAAAGATGTCTACTACTGCTTCGAAAAAAATTGCAATTGTTACCGGTGCTTCTTCTGGTATTGGTTATGCTATCACCAAAGAATTAGCTCAACACGACTATATCATCTATGCATGCGCTAGAAGATTAGAGCCAATGCAACCATTAGTTGATGAATTTTCAACCTCAATCATCAAACCATATAAACTTGATATTTCTATTCTTGATGAGGTTATTACATTTAAAGAATTTTTAGAGGAAGAATTATCAGGCCAAAAATTAGATCTTCTTTATAATAATGCTGGCCAAAATTGTTGCTTACCAGCTTTAGATATTTCAGACGCTGACATGCAAAAATGTTTTCAAGTTAACGTATTTGGCCATATTAACATGTGTCGTGAGTTATCCAAATATTTGATTAATGCTAAGGGTACTATTGTATTCACTGGATCAATATCTGGTATTGTATCTTTCCCATTTGGTTCTATATATTCTGCAACAAAGGCGGCAATCCATGCTTATGCAAGAGGATTACACCTAGAATTGAAACCATTTGGTGTACGTGTCATTAATTCAGTTACAGGTGGTGTTAATACACATATTTCTGACATTAGACCGTTACCTAAGGATTCTATCTATGAATTCCCAGAGGGTAAAGAAGCATTTGAAAGTGTACAACACATGACTGATAATTACCAACCAATGTCCGCTGAAGTGTACGCTAAGAAATTAGTAGGCGATATATTAAGCTCTAAGGATCCTGTTGATGTCTATAGAGGATCGTCAGCTACATTTTTAAGTTTTTTTTCTTCAATTGTCCCTTATTTTATATTAGAGTCTGCTTTAATTAAGCAATTCAATTTAACAAAAGCTTTCGAAGTATTGAAAGGGAAAAAAGTTGAAGCGAAAAAACAAGATTAGGTTAATATATTAGAAAATCTATGTCACTCATTGATCAAGGAAATGTTCGTCTTTTTTCTCTTTTTCCAAATTTCTTAATATCATAAGTTGTAAATAATACCATTAATTCTTATATTCGTTATAATTATGTAAAAATAAAAACAAAAAAAAACATCCCTGTTTTGTATTTAAGATTAATTGCATGGTACAAACTATAATACGAAAAAACCATCATGTTGTTCTATCAATAAGAACTAATTATAAGATAGAAAGTTTCAATTTTTATGGGGTATATATATTTTTTAATTTTAATTATGTATGTATAGATAGCTGTTTAATTAGCTATATATAAACTTTTAAATGTCCAATGTTACAACTTCATATCATTCAGTAAAAGAGAAGAACGATACAAATGTCCCTTCAATCTAGTATTTAGTCTGCGCGCAAGACGTTTTCCTTTTTCAATACCTTTTCAATTTCAGATGACAACCTTTTGACAGCCTTAGTAGATCCTGATTTCTTAGCAATAGTTATACAACTGTTCTTACCACGTTGTGTAACAGTAATCTCGAAAACCGTAGAACGCAGAGAAAGAATATTATCATTTGCCAGCTTACCACTGATAGAAGAGCTACGAGAATTTGTCCTCACACCCTTTAAACCATACTTAGTCCAACCACGTAACAAATGTTGCAAACCATCATACATCTGTTTTTGAGATACTGATGCATATAGGACTTGTATAAATTCTTCATTACTGTTTGAGAATTTTCTGAAGAAGGACATACCTGATGAAGATTTCTTTCTCTTTTCATCATTATTCTCTTCTCTTTGTTTAGGAATGGAAAGTTCTTGTTTTTGTGGTGGTTGTGGAGCATTCCTCACAGAATTCTCTTCAATAGTTTTTGATTCTGAGCTTCTAATATCTTCTGGGTTTTCATCAATAATCATCGATTTGAATTGTTTAGCATTATTGTCTGGAACCTCTTTATGTAATGCATGAGAATTAGAAGATTCAAGGTTTTTGTTAGAGATTTCATGGGGTTCAACGTTCGCTGGAGCTTGATAAATACCTAATCCATTAGTCTTATTACTTAATGGAGGTAGTTTTGGTAATTCATTCTTAGGAATTTCTTCTTCAGTTAGGTCAATATTATTAGCGTATCTATCAGCATAACTCATTTTTAATGATTGTTTTGGTTCTGATAGAACTTCATTCTTTGATTCATAACCTCTTTCTTCTGTTGAACTGTTAGCAGTATTTTCTGCTTCTTCATTAACGGTTTCAAAAAGGGCATCAGAATCACCCGCACTTGGTGGAGGTGTTTCTGTATGTAATGGTTCACCAGGAGTTTCTGTATTCTTTAGAATGTCGACCAGGTTTGAAAATGATTGTCTTGTAGAATACATTGATAATACAGATAAACGTCTATTGGAATCACTAAAGGCTCTTGATTTTCTAGTGAATTGAGGAACATTAATTTCGGAAATCTTTGTGGCTTCAGCATTTGAAGTTTCACTATGAACCTTTAGTGGTGCAGTTGCTACAGCATTGGAAGGTAAGGGGTATTGTTTTTGAGAAGACATACTAGTCATTCTTTCAGCTTGTTCCTGAGATGCTTTTAATTCGTTATGTATATCAAATGATGAACCCAAAAATTTAGATCTTCTAATTGTTTCAAGAATAACTTTTTCTGTTTGTATTCTCTTTTTCTCAGCTTTAACAAACTTTTCTTCAGTTTTAGGAACAAGTTCTTCTACTTCCTCAGTTATGGTATCTTCATCAATTTTATTAAAGAAAAGACCTGGATCTAACCTAGATTTAGGTCTAGTTTGTAATGAATAATTACGTTGACGAATATTTGCTCCATTATTGATTTCTGTATCTCTATCTGTTGTCATTGGTGCAGATACAGACCTAAATTCTGGATCGGTTTGACCATCTACACCTGCCTTTAGATCAGTTAAATCTTTTTTCAATAATTCAATTTCTTGATCCATGGATTGCTGTTGTACTAATCTCTCTTGTTCTAATCTTTCAGCTTCTTTGATTCTTTTCATTTCTTCTTCTTCTTGACGTTTTCTTTCTAATTCTTCAAGTCTCTTTGCCTCTGCAACTTTTCTTGCTAATTCAGCTTTTTCTTTTCTAATTTGTTCATATTTTTCATGTTCGAAGATTTCATCAATTAAAGTAGCAAAATCAGAACTCGTTCTCTTGGTCTCCTTTTCAATGTATTCCCAATCATCATCTTCTGCTAATTTAGCATAAGTAGAGATCAATTTTGTTGTGATAGAACCGCGCTTCATATTTGGTTTAAAAGAAAGTCTCTTATTAGATCTAGATAGACGTCTTGATAATCTATTATTGTTATTATTGGTAGCAACAGGATGATGAGAGTCATTAATTATCGAAGTTCTCTTATTACGAGAAGCAGGTGTTGGCGAAATGTCCATTGCACCAGCAATATTATGATTAGATGTTGAAATTACAGATATTCTTTTATTCATTGAGTGTCTATTAGCAGAATTTCCCTTTGGAGTTGTATGAATTGAACCTGTTGGTGTATTATGTACCACAGATGATAATCTATTATATGATACGGGTCTCTTATGAGAAGAAGCAACACTAATCATTGATATTCTATTTTTTTTATTTGGTGTTACAACATTATTTGAATTTGTAGTACTATTCAAAAACTTTTTCGGGCTATGATGATTTGTAATTGATTGTCTTTTCCTTAAATGTTCATTTTTAATATTTTCTTGTTCTGTATCTCTTTTAAAACGACTTAATAGAGCATAAAGTGTCTTTTCCGCATTTGCACCATTTTCTCTTAATTTTTTACTAATTTCTTGAGAATCTCTACCATGCCATAAGACAACCAAATTTTGTAAAATTGATTGATCTATTATAGTATTCCCACTATTATCAACTAATGGATTTAGATAAGTATCTTCGCGTGGTAAATTTCTAATACTTTTTGAATCTTTAATACTTGGATATTTTTGTAACAATGGATGTTTCAAAATATCTCTTGCTTTAATTCTTTTAGTTGGATCAACTACAAGAATCTTTGATAAAAGATCTTGAGCTTCTTTTGAACATTCATCTTCATCTGGCATTTCAAATTGACCAGCTTGAACTTTTAATAATAAATTTCTAATATTACCATCATCTTCATCAAATGGTAATCTACCTGTAAGTAAAGCGAACAGAATCACCCCACATGACCAAATATCACTTGCAAAACCATGATATGGTATACCTGAAACGATTTCAGGTGCGGCATAATGAGGTGAACCACATGAAGTTTCTAATAATTTATCTTCTGTCTCTAATGCGGCCATACCAAAATCTGCAATTTTAATATTATATTTATGATCTAATAATAAGTTTTCGGGTTTCAAATCTCTATGAACGATCCCTAAGGCATGGCAATATGATATCCCGATAATGATTTGTCTAAAGAATGTAATTGCTTCATTTTCAGGTAATGGACCACGTTCTACAAGTAAATTAAATAATTCACCCTTTTCTGCATATTCCAAGACCATATATAAATTTGGATTAGTTTCCCAAACGTCATAAAGTCTTAAAACATTTGGATGATTTAATAATTTCATAATAATAATTTCTCTTTCAATACCATATGGCAACGCGTCTGGAGTATGTTGCATTGTAGACGACGATGAGGTAGGTTTCGTTACCACAGCAGACGACGACGATGTAGTATTATTAAATACAGCTTTTGAAATAATCTTGATAGCAGCATGTTGATTATTACTTTTGTTGTAAGCTAAATGAACTTTACCTGTTGAGCCTAAACCTAAAGTTTCACCTAGTTTCCATGGTCCAATTTGATCACCTTTAATTGAAAGTACGCTTTTTGCAGTCATTACTAACTTCGCTATATGATAATTTCCTTGATGAGGTTACTGCAATTACAATAAAATTTTCGATCGATATATATATATATATATATCTTCTATTTAAGACTGAGTAGTTGTATATATATATATATGTGCGTGTGTGACAGATGCAAAGAGTATTCGATATTTCTTCTCTTTGGCCATCTCGACGAAAAAAAAAAAAGAGACGCGATGACGCGAAAAAACATTAATTTATAATTAAAAGAGAGTACTTTAAATTTCCTAAACGGGTAAGAACGAATAACACATTTAAAATATAGACATAAATATATATATATATGTATATATGTATTTAATTAAAACCCACCAATTTGTTCTCTATGAGCTTCAATAATATCATTGTCTTCCATATCTAAGTCATCAGGGGTTTGATCAGCTTGGATTCTAATACCGTCATATAAGAAACGCAACGAATCCATTTCTTTACCTTGTCTCTTAGCGAACGCTTCCATCAATCTTCTTAAAGGAGTTGTACGCTTAATCTTAAAAAAAATTTCAGATGAACCATCGGAGACCTTTAAATTTAAATGAGTTTCTGTCTTAACGTCTGTCTTAACGTCAGGTTTGACATCTGGAGTAGCAGTGTCATTATTTTCAGGAATATCACTCATTGTGTGTGTATGTGTATTGGTAGTATTCAACGTAGTGTGTTTGTGTATACCTAGACTTTCAAAAACAAACCTTTTGTAATAACTACTAGTGGCAAATACCCATGCATATATATATATATATATAGTTCTAGACTTGCAGTGTGTGTGTGTGTGTGTTTCCCAATTACCGTTTCATTGCCCCGTTCGCTCTCCGTGCAGTAACAAATCTTTTCGCGTTAAAAAAAGATGATGGGAATATGCTTACCCGGACAGTAGAATAAAAAACGGCAGATCACCGTGCACGGCAGCACGCCACGTGACACATCACTCCGCACGTACTTCCGGACATGTATATCCGGCAACAACAACAAAAGAACGGGTGGAGGTGTACATCCGCAGCACCAGGCCGAACCCAAAAAACAAAAAAATGAAAAACTTTTGCGGAATAACGGAGAACCGAAACCAAAGTTCAGTGCCACATAGCGTGAGAGCACAGAGAATGAGGGGGTCCGCACACAAACGCCCGCAGTGCACGCCCCGGCAGCCGCGCTTCGCTCATCAAACAAACGTTTTTGTCGTTTCTTGTTTTCCCTCTCGCCATTTTGTGTTCAAGCAACGGCACCAAAAGAAGCGCCGCGGGCTGTTGCTGCCAGCAATTAACTAATTAATTGGTGCCTTAGTGGTGATGAGCAGCGATGCTCCGTTTATTTGCATTATATAATTTTTGTTGCCTCATTAAATGACATAAACTACACCATATTGCCATTATATAACAACAAGATCATAGAGTTGTTAATGACTGTAAATCATTATATTACGTAGTGAATGCTATTTGCTTATCTATATGTTTTGTATTACAAAGGAATAATGTTTATATTTTTTATTGTGAAAAAAGTTGTGTGACATAAAATTTTATTGAACAGTAAGTAGTCCACCTCCACCCCCCCCTTCGTTATATTATATTATATTATATATATATATATATAAGTAATACTTATTTGGTATTCACAATAATTTTCAACTTTGTTGAAATTTATATATACATTCTGTTATAGTAAAAATTTTGTAATCTTGTATAGATAGATATCGACAAATCGATTTACTATGGTTTCAATTAACAGTAATAAAAAAATTACTGGATCAAGTTCAGCAGACATTGAAACAGATAATGTTATAGAATATTTTACAGAAGGTAAAGAAAAATTATCAACAACGTTACAGGATGATCAATCAATCGAATCATCATCAAATGATGATGAGGATAACAGTAATAAGAAATATTCAATTACTCAACCACATCTAAGAAAATTTATTGATTCATTTAAAAAACCTGATCATATCGTAAGAGATTTAGAAGATCCAAATTCTTTAGATAATGATCCAATTATGAACCCCGACAATGATGGGGAAGGTAAATTGAAGTCAACTATTAAACCACGTCATGTCCTTATGATGTCCCTAGGGACAGGTATCGGGACAGGTCTTTTGGTTGGTAATGCTACAGCTTTAAGAAATGCAGGCCCTGCAGGTTTAGTCATTGGTTACGCTATCATGGGTTCTTGTCTTTATTGTATTATTCAAGCATGTGGGGAATTAGCTGTGTGTTACTCAAATTTACCTGGTAATTTTAATTCATATCCAAGTTTCTTAGTGGACCCAGCACTAGGGTTTTCCGTCGCCTGGGTGTATTGTTTACAATGGCTTTGTGTGACTCCACTGGAATTGGTCACCGCTTCAATGACAATTAAATATTGGACAACTAAAGTTGACCCTGATGTATTCGTCGTCATATTTTACGTCCTGATCATTATTATTAATATCTTTGGGGCTCAAGGTTACGCTGAAGCTGAATTTTTCTTCAATTCTTGTAAAGTCCTGATGATTTCTGGGTTTTTCATTCTGGGGATCATTACAATTTGTGGGAAAGCTGGTACTGATGGTTATATTGGTACTAAATACTGGCATCATCCCGGGGCATTTAATGGTGACCATGCTATTGATAGATTTAAAGGTGTCATGGCTGTCTTCGTTCGTGCAGCATTTGCAATGGGTGCATCCGAATTTATTTCAATTACTGCAGCCGAACAATCCAATCCAAGAAAAGCAATCCCAAGAGCTGCAAAGACAATGATTTATAGAATCGTCTTTATATTTTTAACTTCAATTACTTTAATTGGGTTCTTGGTGCCTTATGATTCGGATCAATTGATGGGTTCAGGAAGTTCCGCCACCAAAGCATCTCCTTACGTTATCGCCATTGCATCTCATGGTGTTAGAGTAGTACCACATTTCATTAACGCAGTAATTTTACTATCTGTCTTATCTGTAGCAAATTCTGCTTTCTATTCAAGTTCACGTCTGTTACATTCTTTGGCTGTTCAAGGTTACGCTCCAAAAATTTTCAACTACTTAGATAGAGAAGGTAGACCATCAATCGCAATGATTTGTTCTGCTTTGTTTGGTGTTATCGCATTTTGTGCTTCATCTCCAAAGGAAGAACAAGTCTTCACTTGGTTATTAGCCATCTCAGGTCTTTCACAATTGTTTACTTGGATCACCATATGTTTCTCACATTTACGTTTTAGAAGAGCTTTAACCGTTCAAGGACGTTCCTTAGATGAATTAGGTTACAAGTCACAAGTCGGTATTTGGGGGTCAGCTTATGCCGCTACAATGATGATTCTTGCTTTAATTGCACAGTTTTGGGTTGCCATTGCTCCTATTGGTGAAGGTAAACTAGATGCTCAAGCATTTTTTGAAAATTATTTAGCTATGCCAATTTTAATTGCATTTTATTTCGGTTATAGAATTTGGAAAAAAGATTGGTCATCACTTTTCATTAGAGCTGATAAAATTGATTTAATTACTCATAGAAAAATTTTTGATGGTGATTTATTAAGACAAGAAGAAGAAGAATTGAAAGAAAAATTGAAAAATGGTCCATTTTGGAAAAGAGTAGTAGATTTCCTATTCTAAATTTTGTCATCATCATCACCCAAAAATTGCATTTCTTTTTTCTTAACCAAAAACACTAACATATTCATATCTGCATAAAATATATCTACACACACATATATATATATAATCATAATTAATTTTCATTATTTAATATTATTACCTTTGTTTTTTTTCAACCAGTACGAAAGAAAACACCCTGTATTTACAAGTAGCTGCCATATAATGGATGGATGGATGACTTATGGACGTTCTTTCCAAATTATATCCGTACTACCAACAAGTCGTTTGTTCCTTTCAGCTTCCTGTTGATACCATTGTTGCACAGCAATAGGGTCTTTACTATTAAATATACAAAACTTTAATTTCTCTAATTGTTTATCACATGCATTCAATTGTCCATTTCGATAATAACTACGAAATTGTCCACCTAGTGAATAGCATGTCGTTAATCGATTAAACGCATCCATACAACTCATCGTCGTTGGATATTTCGAACCGCTCATCCTCGCGTAGTTATCCTCCACTAAGTATATATATACGTCGATCGATACCTCGTTCTCGTTCTCTTGTTGCTTGTATGACCATGAGTATTGGAAGACCTTTGAAAACATGCTTGTCTTTATGTATGTTATTGGTTCTTTGGAATTTTTAATTTGGCGAGGGCCGCGAGAGACGGCAAACCAAATTAGAGCTTCGCGCATCCCCTTTCTCAATAATTAGGTAATGGGTTGAACCCTTATAACTTGTTCAGGGAGTTTAAAACCACTTTTATAGAAAGGTTTCACTTCTCATAACGTTTTTGTATTTTGGAAATATGTCAACTTAAGAAGTATTCAGACACACACGCACATCTGCTTACTGAAATGAATTTAGTTACAGGAGTTTTACTTGGTTTATTAGTCATCGTACTAGTGGTAAAAGCCAACCCCAAACCACAGACAGTCTCTAAGGAAATTGTCGACCAAGTACAAAAGATGATTGATGATAATCCAGTTTTTGTAGCAACAAAGAGCTATTGTCCTTATTGTAAAGAAACTTTAAAGACTTTATTTGACGTTATGAAAGTCCCAGTTGGCGACGCTTTGGTTCTTCAATTAGATACTATGGATGATGGGAACGAAATTCAAGTAGCTTTAAAACAATTAAACGGACAAAGTACTGTACCAAGTATTTATATTGGCCAAGAATTTATTGGTGGTAATAGTGATTTACAAAAATTATATGCCTCTGGTGAATTAAAAAATAAATTGCAAAAAGTTGTTAGAATTTAAAAATAAAAATGCAGATTTTTCTTTATATATTGATATATATATATATGTATATATAAAATGTTTTGTTTATTAAAATAAATTACCTGTGTACTCGATTGTACTTTCAAATGCGTCATTGGCTGTAGCAAACCATTTAGATCCACCAAACTCCGTTTGTGGTACTAAATCTTTCTTAGGTTTATTTGCTTTAGCAGCATCCTTCATGGTAATACTATATGATATAGGTAAAACTTTTGGTTCAATTTTACTACGATCAATAAATTCTTGTGCTCTTCTTTGAAATTTATCTAAATCATCAAGACCATATTGAATTCTAAAATTAATATCACACATATGCATCAATAATTCTAATGTGTAATGTGCATCATTCCCTGCATTATGTAAGAAAGCATGAGGTAAACCAAATAATCTTAAAATTTTACCTAAACTACCACCATTTGGTCCATAACAACCATTATATAATTTCATTGTATCTAAAACATACGGTATTCCTTTAATGGATTCATTTAGTGTCTTATTTAATTTTGTTGCAAATGGAATTTCAACACCTATCTTTTGAAGCCAATTAATATCTCCATCAATATTATGACCAACATATGCACGATTCCATGTTCTTGATTCTTCAGTGGCCTCGACCATATAATAATTAATTAAAGATTGAACAAACTCAACAGTTTCATTCAACGACAATACAAGACTCTGTCCCATTAGATAACATTCTTTTAAATCACAAACCCATTTCTTGTTACGTAATGAAAGAGCTTCAGAGACAATAATATGGAAATTCCTTGTAATTGGTACATACCCTGTCATATTCTCTCTTGGGTCAAAGATGGAGATCCCAACTTCAGTGACTACACTATTATCCAATTCAAAGGCCTCGATATCAAAAGAAAATAAAATAGTACTTCGACTAGCTAATAACTCTATACTGCGATGTAAATAATCGAATGTTGTGGCACCGGGACTACAATAAACTGTCGGATAATGGTTTTTCTTTAAATCTTTCAATTGCTTCTTATACGTTATGCTATCTTTATCATCAGTAAGTTTTACATCAGGAACTTTCCCCGATTGTTCAACCCATTGGCTATCTAGGTAATCTATCTTCCTAGCTAATGATTCATTACTTTTCTTCTGTAACATTTTATAATATGCCTCAACTTGTGTCAAATAAGTCTCTAAAGGTTCCATAACCCTAGGTGTATAAGTTATATGATTCAATCGTTCAAAATGTGGGAATTTATTAATCCAAGATTCTTGTGATTTTGCTAGTGTATTTTTCACTTTTGTTGTAGCAGCTTTATACATAGCCATCCCATGCCTTGTATCCTTTGGTAAATTTCTAACATGTAATAAATCATTCTTACTATCCATCTGTCGAGCGTAATCGTTTCGTGGGTATGACGATGAGGATGTTTGTTGTTGTCTTGGTGGTCGTTTTGAATAATGGCCGCGATGGAAAGGTCTAACTGTATTCTTTGGATTAAAACGTTTGGGCATAGGTGATGAAAGTGGTAGTAGCTGTATGAACTGTTTTAACATATGACAGAAATATGTATAGGCATATATTATCAGTTTTTTTATTGTCTTTTTGCTGACGTTTGTGTGTGTGTATGTATGTACGATCTCAAAATAATGCAGGGTGAAAAATTTTAGCTACATGTTCGTTTTTTTTCTACTGAAATTTCATGATAAAAACAAGCTCTGCCCCGGTGAGGAAGCATATTCAATAAATATATATATACATAAAGTTAGAGTAAAAGGATTATTTTATTACAGTATGAAGTTATGATAATTAATTTTTTATGTTCATTAAATCATGCAACTAAAGCACAAAGAGCACCACCTGCGGAACCACTATCCTTAGAATGCACAAAATGTGTCTTTCTTTCCCCTTCGGAACCAATTGGGCCCATTGCTAAAGCTTGTCTCATCATTGATTTAAAACCTGGATATAGTTCAATAATAGATCCATCGTAACCAACAGTGACTTCACCGTGGTACTTCTTATTTAGAGCACCAGTCTTAATTAAGATTGCAGCGATTGGAACTGAAGCTAAATAAGCAGATCTTCTTGAGATTACTCTTACTAAGCTCTGAATAGCTTTACGTTCAGCTAAAGTTGTTGGTAATCTCAAAGACTGTAAAAAGGATAATTCAGTTTCTCTTAAAGTTGAAGAATCATCAATTTCAATTCTAGCAAGAACTTCACTTGATAATTGGAATGGAGTCTTTAGTCTATGTGGTAATTGTTCATGTTTTCTAAATTGCGTTAGGATTAAACCTCTTGAATGTAAATCTACAAGAACATTTCTTAAGATTTCCCCTAAAAACATCCCTGAGACACGTTTTTCAAACAATTGACCACCATTTCTTGCATATTTCTTATCAATATCAATATCATAACGTGTAGTTGGTAATACTTGATTATCGTTATCAAATGACCCCCATTCGATATTAATACACATTTCAGTTTTCCCCTCATGAATTAATCTTTCTCTAATATAATCTGGTAATTTTTTAATGTTTTCAATTTTTTCCATATAACAACCATTGGTACCTGTACCAAAGATACAACCGATAACAGGTTCACTAATTTCACCGGTAACTTGACCGTCGGAAGTAATCCCTTGAGCATAACATAAGGATAAGAAAGTACCGATAGTATCATTGGTTAGAGCCACAACATTAACCATATTCAATCCGACTATAGTCAATTGTTCTTGATATAATTGAACAACATCCTTCCCGACAGTATCAGGAATGTTCAAACCCTTGGTCCATCTGATTAAAGTACCTGAATTTAATGATTCTTGGTCCACAGGGTATGAAAAAGTGAATCCTAATTTTAATGGAGTATCAGGTTTCATAATATCTGAATGGAATTTATTAATAAATGCGCTTGTTCTACGAGCTAAAAATCCAAATAAATCGTCACTTGTTGCATCAGTACCTTCCATTAAATACTCTGGGATTCTAGTCTTTGCTTGTTTAATATTGAAAGTATGATCACCATTCAATTGAACTGAGCAAATTCTGAAATTCATCCCACCAAGAACAGCAGCCATGAATAAACCTTCTTCTGTACCATTTGGTTTTGAAGTAACATAAGAAGGAATCATTGCTAAACCAGCATTGTTCCCATTGATCATCCCTTCATTATTATTGTTATTGGCTAACCCTATTTCCATTTGTTCGATGAAATAACTAGTCATGTCTTTCAATTGATCGGCAGTCACTTCGAACTCTGCACAAATCTTTGTGACTTCCTCGAGTAATTTAGTATCATTAATTTTATGAAATTCGTCAAAAGACATTTCTTAATTATGTGTGTGTGTTTGTGAATAGTATATCCTAATTGTTACTTATGTATATATGCTTAGAAGTACCAACCAATCCTCTTCAAGCACCAGTACCAGCAGCCAATATATATATATATATGTGTGTGTGTGTGTATAGTTGCGTGTATTACCTAACACCTTGTTGTTGTTCCAAGGCCTAACTGCCTCCCCCCCCTTTTTGCCTGTCGAGTTCCTCTCCTCGCCTTGCCGGAATTTGGCCGTGCGCGTGGGGGAGCGACAGAGTGTGGGGGCAGGCTGGGAGTTAAGCCTGCGATCGCCAAGCAGGTCGATCAAGTGAAGGTGGAGGTGTTGACGATGTTTCGAGTATGCCGCTATGTTGTGCTGTGCCAGTGGGCATGGTGGTGAGTTGTGCTGAGGATACATGTATATACATGTGTGTGTGTGTGTGTGTGTGTGACTGTGTCCGTGCAGAGTGACGAGCAGGGTAATGACCAGTTTAGATTGTTCGTGTCATCTATCTATGAATATACTTACAGATGTGCATATTGCGAACGTGCATGTGAGTGTACAGCTATGTTGTAATATAAGTGTGTGTACTCGGCTGTTTTCTCTCCCGTACCAAGGTAGTCTGGGACAAGGAACTACTGCACTACAGTAAATTACCACACCGCATCCAACATGTACTAGGAACAGAATTAAATTTTCAATAGATTAACTCTTATATATATGCTTGACAACAAAAGTTGTAACCAAATGGTAGTGGATGGGGCGCTGACACTCGGCTTGCCATAAACGAACATTTGTCACGCGGCACGAACACGCGACACCTCCCACTGTGCCAATCATAGAAAAATGGAACTAAAACTGTAATCACATTAAAACATTAAAAGAACCAACCAACGGTACTTCATAAGGGAAGAGATAGAGAGAGTACTAGACACATATACGCACATATACACAGGGGCAACCACGACATGTTTAGAATTGCTAAGAACTTGGTTAAGACCTTCGAGCAAAGTGTCCAGGGTCTGGCTCAGGATGGCTCTCAATTGGATTCATTTTTTCAATCTATCCCACCTAATTTACTAGCTACACAATTGGAACAACATGAACAAAATACAATGGGTGATATGGGATCCTTTAGCAATGCAGTTTCGGGACTTCGTGTTGTCTGGGTTGACGAGTTACAATTGCAATTGCAATCATATTTCGATTATATCGTTGGTTTTAATGATAATCCCTTACCATTAATGAGAAATCAACATGGTTATATGTACCCCGATTATAATGCAATCATTGAATTGCTAAACACATATAGTAACAGTATGATTAAATTGAACGTTTGGTGTGCTAAAGGTGGTGTGTTTAGAGATATCTATATTCAATTGACCCCTAAGGACGAAACTGAAATGGAAGATGTCTCGTTATCAAATGGTTTCAATGGTAACATTCCATCAGAAAATGAACCAAATAATGCAGCTAGACTGTTTGAACCCCTGGGTTTCAAAGTACAATGGACTAGTCTTTTGGCTGCAACATACACATACCATATCTCACAATTAAATATATCGAATGGTCCGGCGCAATTAGCTGGGTTAATTCCAGATGAAGATTATATCATTGGTTGTCAGGATGGTCTCTTAGCTACTGGTGGAGATACTTTGTTGCAAGATATTGTAAGGTCCCGTGCGGGCCAAGAACTCGTCCTATACGTTTACAATAAAATAAGCGACTCGGTAAGACCGGTTACTGTGAATATTGGTGCGGACGGAAGACTAGGTTGTGGAATTGGATCTGGTTATATACATAGAATACCGGCAGTCAAGCAACAATTACAAGAACAGCAGCAGCAACAACAACAACAACAACCGCAACAACAACAAGAGAGTTTCCCTCCAATTGACCCAGCAAACACATTTACTCCAAGTAATATAAATGATCCACTTCTTCCAATGGCCTCCACACATAAGAAGAAGAAACATGTAGCTGCTACAAATATCATGACTGATTATTTTACTGAGGGGAAGGACCAATCACCAAGACCATCGTCTACACCAGTAGATGTGACACCACCTCCACTATCGGCACACAAACAATAACAGTATTATTTAAGAATTCTAATCCATTGTATGTAACTGTATTTATTACTTAAACACTCTCTATACGCATTAATACGACAAGGAACGAAGCTTCAAGAAAATTTTTCAATAAATGCGAGAGTCGCGTTTAGGCGTAACTTAGACATAATGACAGATCTTGAACTAGATGCAACTCAGATACATATATACATATATATACTTATTTGAATGTTGAATAATTGAGGTTAGTTCGTTGTTATTTCAGTAGTCAGTGGGTATAACTATAGCAAAAAATATACATATATATTATGAAGATGAAGTCGACTACTCGCTGGACGTTGTCGATCGTATTATTTTACTTGTTCTCGTTTGCCTTGGCACAAGATCAAGAACAAGAACAAGAAGTGGTGGTAGAAACACAACAACAGGAAGTAGTATACGATAGTGCTATTGTACCAGAGGGTACAGCTATTCACAAATTGACTTTAAACAATTTTGCATCCTTTATCAAATCAAATGATTTGATCCTTGGTGAATTTACTGTCCCATGGTGTGTACATTCCAAGATTTTATTACCAGAATTGGTGAAAGCTGCAGACCTTTTGGAACAAGAGAAAGGTATCAAGGTCTTTCAAGTCGACTGTTCTGTTGATGGTCCATTATGTGATCAAATTGGTATCTCTTATTACCCTTCATTGAAGGCCTTCAAGAACCATCGTCTGATGAAGGATAATGAATATTCTGGCAGAAGAACCTCTGAAGATATCTATGATTTTATGGTTAACCAAGTGGCTAGTCCAGTCAAGAGAATCAACACTGACGAACAATTAAACGACCAATATTTGAATAAAGACTCTATGGAATTACCTGTAGTAGTGTACTATGGTAATATTGACGAATTTGATCCAATTTTTGATAAAACTGCTAATGATCTTTTCAATTCCTTTACATTTGTTGCCTATAAGGACTGTAATGAAACTATGAGAGGTAATGTTACCCTTTATTTACCACCTGTGGCCCCTGAAGAAATGCAACAAAATAATCATACAGTGAGACCAGAGACCGATATATTCAGTTTTGAAAACCCTACCTCCCTAACCGAAGTAGATGATTTAAAGAATTGGTTACTTTACTCTAGATTGCCTTATTTCGATAACGCTAACATTGAAAACTATCGTCTATATATGGAGAGTAAATTACCATTGGCATATTTCTTCTATATCGCTCCACAAGAATATATGGATAACAAAGAATATTTTGGTGAACTTGGTAAGAAATATCGTGGTAAGATGAACTTCTTAGCTTTGAATGCAATGATTTTCCACTCTCATGTTAAGTTCTTGAACATGAAAGAACAATTCCCATTATTTGCCATTCATGATTTGAAATATAATTTGAAATATGGTTTACCACAAATGTCCGAAGAAGAATATAAAGCTCAAACTGAATTATTGAAACTTGATCATAGTGACATAACTGAATTGGTTGAAACATTCATGGACGGTACTGCTGTTCCTGTAGTCAAATCTGAAGAGATTCCAACTGAACAACATGGTAACGTTACCAAGGTTGTCGGTCTAAACCATGACGATATGGTTCGTGATCCAAAGAGAGACGTTGTTGTTAGATACTTTGCTTCATGGTGTGCTCAAAGTAGGAAGTTAGAACCGATTTACAATGGAATTGCAGATATGTTTGCTGGTGATGATGAAACAAAGGATAAGATTACCTTCCTCGATGTCGATGCCTCAGCCAACGACATCTTAAGTTTCCCAGTCACTGGTTTCCCAACAATCGTCATATACCCAGCTGGTTCTAACGATCCTCCTATCGTACATACTAGTGCGGCTGCCAGAAACAACATCTTGTTGTTCATCAGAGATAATAGTTTCTACCACTTGGATGGCTTCGAACTGGTGAAAAAATACAATTTAGATAACGATGAAGAAGAAGAAGCAGGTGAAATTGCCCAGGAGATCAACCCATCATCTGACGAAACGAACCATGACGAATTATAGAATATATTATATACGTAATTTATTGAACATATATAATGAAATAAAAATGACCAAAAAAAAGTATACTGTCTTTAGCAGATTTGAAAATTACACTTTTTTCGAAACAAAATATTGATAAGTATATGTATGGTGCATATTTAAAACCTAATGACTTGTGGAAAGGAACAACCTCACAATAGTTTATTATTCACTAAAATGTTCACTATTCATAATTGTGACATTTTTCATCTTATTTAATATCGTCTTAAACGAGAGCGTCAGATGTTCAATAAACCCGAAAAGAACAACTAAGCAGAATCCATCACGTATAGATTTAATTAGAGACTTAAAATACAGTCAATCTTGATATTGGATTCATTAAATAGGTTTTTGAAGGGAAGCAATAATTGTTCAAGTAATAACCTATAGACACACAACACATATATATTACAATGAAGTTGACTAACCTTTTATTTGCTACTTTTGCCTCATGCGTGATGGCTGGTGATCTAACCGAACTAGAAATTGATATCACTAAGAAGATCCCTGTTGCTGATTGTAAAATTAAGGCTGTCTCTGGTGACTCAGTCAGTGTACATTACGTCGGTAAATTTTTAAGTAATGATGAAGTCTTTGACTCCAGTTACGACAGAAACTCCCCAATTACCTTTAAATTAGGTGCTGGTCAAGTTATCAAGGGTTGGGATCAAGGTATTCTTGGTATGTGTGTTGGTGAAGAACGTACTATTAGAATCCCAAGTGATTTAGCCTACGGTGCTAGAGGTGTGCCAGGTGTCATTCCAGCTGATGCTGATATGGTCTTCGATGTTAAATTGGTCGATGCTGTTAATAAATAATTTAGCCGTTGATCGATAACCTTAAGCATATATACCATTATTCATCTGAATTTTTACATAAAATATAAATTAAATAACATGATTTTACGAAAAAAACGAAAATAAGTATATTTTAATAATCTATTTGGAAGAAGGAAACATCTTTTGAGTTGCTGGTTTCAAATGGGTAAAGAAATCTTGGAAGAAATCCTCGAAGGAGTTGAATCTGTCGACATCTGGCATAGAAAATTGAGCACCCGGTTTGCTTGCTGATGTAGTGCTGTCATTTTTGGTACTTGACGGTGATGTTTCATCCTTTGTGACGTGCCTGGCATCGGATGGTGTATTTTTATGTAGTGTAGGAGTATCCTTCTGCTCAGTCAAATTGTTTTCAATTTTCTCTATAACGGTAGAAATTGATCGTTGATCTTGAGTCTCTTCTTGTACTTCAGGTTTCAAAGTAGAAATATCTATAAACGATGGAGTAAATGGACCCATATTAACTCTGCTTTTAGCAGTTGTTATAATAAATTTAATAATCTTACCCACATTTTCCGTTACTTCATTTAACTTTTCCCCAATGGTATTTAAATGCCAGTATACTCGGGTACAGATGCTTAATATTTCTTGTTTTTCGTTAGGTTCAAACCAATGCAGGTAGTCACTCAACGTCATACATGCATATACCATCTCATTTGTTGTCAATATTGGAGCACCTTTAATTAAAGATGATGGTAATCTTAAAAATCCTTTCAATAATGAGAAGATATGCTTACGCATGGTATATGTAATACTTTCTAATAAAAAAGGTGATGTTTTCACTTGGTCTAAGAATTCTGTCAAAAAGGATCTGCATATCATTGTATGATAAAAATCATATGTGAATAAAAGCACACCGCCTCCATCTTTTGCTAACAGCTCCTCCCAATTCTTCAACCAGTACTCCAATTCTGGAAATACAAGAAATTGCCTCTCCTTGGTATTATGATGTTCCTTTGAAAATCGTATCAAGAAATCTTCAAAGAATTTTCCAAAATCTGTAAATATAGATGTAACAATATCGCCAAGATTTATTTCGCTCAATTTTATATCATCTCCAAAGTTAGATTGAGGAAATTTGGCAATTAAATTATTGAACTCCTTTAACATTTTATCCTGAGGGGACATGGACCCATGGGCAATAGAATACTGGAGATGACATGCTGTCAAAGAATTTAGTACCCTTAGGTGATATAAATCTGTATCTTCATACTTTTCTTGGGTTAAGACTCTTTCCTTCAGTTTATAGAAATCAATATTATTCATTAGACTAAACAATGCAAAATTGGCTAAAACCATTGAATTAAATTTCAGTTGTCTATGTCTTTTGGCCTTTCTCGAAATGTGGAACATACAACAATAAAGTATTGCTTCGATATCGTGAACAATCAGTTTATCAAACATTGTTAAGGTATTGGTTAATAATCTCTCCACTAATGGGTAGAGCGTTTCTTGTAATTCATCATATTTCTCATTGTCAGATGAACTCATGGCTATAATCGTATAGACACTTGTAATAAAGAGGTGATTTCTAACAAAATCATCATTCAACTCTTTCATACCCCCAGGAATAATCCAAAAATGGGATCTGACCAAGAATTCTTTACATAGTTCTAGGCATAAAGCGCTATTCTTTTCATAGAATTGCAGAAAGTTCACCCTCGCAACTGCAGAGGGTCGTTGTTCTCTATCTAAGGCTTCCTTTTTGGATGTTGCAGTTAAAGGGAATAATCTTTCATCAATATCATTTATTATTTTCAGCGGTGTCTCCTTTAATTTGTAAAATTCTGTACTCCCAGTATTACTTTGGATATTTATTATATCTACATGGTCTTCATCAGTTTCAATTTTCTTTAATAAATTATTCCTTAACCTACTCGGTTTATCATTTAGATCATCGTGAATAATATGGGAATTATTAATAACATCCTCTGCAGATGATTTCGCAGATGATGACCCCTGAGCTAACATTAAAAGCAGATCTATCTTATTATTCAATGAATCGAATTTATGTTCAAGGGTAGTTAGACGTTCGTTAAGCCTCGTCGTTAATGGATGATTAGCACTTATTGATCCAGAATGTAATATTTTTGCGCTATCCATGTCATATGTAGTATCTGATCTTTCCACGTCGATATTCTCATCTGTTTCAAATGGATGTGCTTCGATAGCGGAGAGTATTTCTTCTTCACGTTCCTTTGTCAAAGAGCAGTCAATTTTTAGGACGTTACATCTATGGCACTTCCCTACAACTGGTTCAAAATCACATCTAGTTTTAAATTTCCTGCAAGTCTCACAACTGTACAATTTTCTTTTCTTTCTCATCCTCTTTGTTGGGTCTAATATTTTCTTATCTACTTTGAGGTTTGCAATTTTATTATCACTTTCTTCCACATTTTCAATAGCGGTTAGGTTATTTGTTGGTTCCAAGGCCTCACCATTATTGCCATGGTCAGTTGTAGAATTTTCATTCATATTTTTTTAACGATTTAATTCACAGACTATCTTGTTCTCTCGATTCATTAGATTGCAACATATGAAGTAGCTATGTCAATATGTAACTTTTTTGGTGACCTAGACTCAACAGCATCAATGTCGACCCAAAATTACCAAACAACTTTCTTTGGTTAAATGTTTATCTCATCGATTATTTTGAAAGCACTAAATTGTTGATCGCGTAGAAACTTCAATTTTGCCTTACTTTAGGAAATAGGAATTGAACGACAACAATTTCTGACAAACTTCGAATAAAAATAACCAGTTTAAGGCGATTATAAACATGGTAAACTATGTCCAGGGATGTCAAAATAACAAAAATGAGCGTATAAAAATTTTGAATTTAAGTAATTGATAAGTGTTTTTAGCAGAAATATTGAATGAAGCTATTGTGATATATATTAGTAGCCCTTTAAGCCATGGATACGAAAATAGATATCCTATATAAGTTATATGAAATAATAAACCGATTAAAAAAACCTATTGTGTAGGTAAGTTTATAACGTAGAGAAAAATAAGAAAGCAACTACCAACCATCCTATCAGATTAGTGGCAGTGTAGCTGGACGATTTAAATGCATCATTTTTTTTCTTCATCTTATCAGCATTGACAGTCTTTTGAGGTGTAGAAGAGATAGATGTTAATGAGTTAACTGAATCTGTTTCAGTCGAATACGTTTTGCTAGAGTTGTTTGGATTATAAGTTCCTGTTGTTAATGTTCCATAAGATAGTTTACTACTACCATGTTTATTGATTTTATCCTCTCCCTTCAAATTAGATGAACATGTTAAATTTTCACCTCTAATAACATGACGTTCGATAAATGGATTTAGTAATGCTGTACAATTGAATTTATTAGATTCAGTTACAAAATTTGCACCACCTTTAATTACCTTCAGTTTGGGGAACGAAACTTTATCGAATGATCCGCCATATTTAATGGCACCCCCAATTGTATGAACTTCGGGTAAGAAATCCATACTCTTCAAATCTTCATTATTAATAACTAATAGACCACCTTCAATATGGGTAAGGTTTTCACTGTGGATTTCATTCAATTTTTTGTTATCAATAATAGCTGCTGTTCCTGATATTTTTTTCAAATTTTTCAAGTTTAATTCAGTGATGGAATTTTCAATGATATCTAAGGATTTATTGACAAATTCTAGACTTTGTAAATTCAATGCCCCTGCATTCCGAATTGATAGATCACCAGTAGAATGTAAAATTGGTAATTGAATATTTGTATCATCAGCATTAGAATATATGTTTAATTTATTATTAACAGTTTTAACTTTCAATTCAACTCTCCCTAAATATCTGTTGTTATTAATTTCCAAGAGATCAGTTTGTTCAATGTTACTGAAAAAATCAACAGATTGAAGTGATGTGTCTGAAATAACAATTTTATTCATCTTGTTGATATTGTTATTAATTGACACTTCCTTCAATAACGGAAGGGTGACAAGTTCAACAGTCTTAACATTTTTTAATAATCCAATTTTTGTCGAGACTAACGAAGTTAAATTCTTAAACTCTAACTTCTGACCAACAGTTTCAAGTTTAGGAGCACTGATTGATACGATACTGGAAGAGCCTTGTACTTTGAAATCTCCACGAATCTTTTCAATATCACCAAGATCGACAAACTTCTCTTGATAATTGTTTGAAATAGCCAAGTTACCATAAATTTCACTACATGTTCTTGCTAAGTTGGTGAGGTCTTCTTGTTTTTCAATATTGTGATCTTTCTTGTGACAGAGTTCTTGAGTAGTTGACATAGCACTGATAGCGACAGCCTCGGATTGTTTGATCTTTCCAATAAGTTCATTTTGTAAGAGGTATGATGCCCATGCATTACCTAGGAAAATTGGGAAAATAATAGTATTAGCGGTAAGGAATTTCATTGTTTGATCAGTTTATAATATTATAATTTATATCAGATTGAAATTTAGATAAATTATTATTAAAAATAAATAAGTAGTTTGTAAATTGTATTTATTTTAATTATTCTTTATTTTTAATATTTTGTGTCCAAATTTATCTTTTTGGTCGGAGTTTCACAAGGCGCCATACTAATATTATGTATAAACAAAAAATTAAAAGTGATGTCTATTCTTTTTATTATATAACTAGAATTGTTGCAAAAAATAAAAATAACACAATTATCTGTGATATTTAATTTCTTTTATTTATTGGTAAGGTAAGTGTTGATACGGTCCATTCTTAACATCACTTCTTCCATAAACACTTCGCTTAAGCCTGGTACATTAGACTCAGTTTCGCTAAATTGTTGTAATAAATGAATTACTCTTTGTCTTGTTTCGACATCCTTGGCTCTTTCACTCATACGCCCTAAACAATAAGAAATCACATTCTTGAAATAATCTATATTTGTTAATTCGTTTTCTTTATTGACCGGTTTCAAATTGCAAGGTTCATCTTCAGGATTCTTATCAGAATCTATATCCATCCCAGAACCTAGTTCGTAAGGATTATATTGTTTTAGTTTTTTAAAAGATCTCTGTGTATCACTCTCCATTGTAATAGGAGTAATTGTTTCATTTTTCATGTTATCTGTGATGGGACTCCAATTATGATTCGAGTTTGAAGTATCGGAAGAAATGGCAGAATCGATAACTGGACCTGCTCTCATTGAGTTAAAATCCCAAATTGGTTCATCAATTTGGCATAATGTGTTATAAAACTTATCATTAATGGAAAATTTTGGTTGTCTATTAAAATAATTACGATCTCTTGCTTTGATATTTTTACAAATATCAACATCATCCTTAATATCTTTAATATGATCCTTATAGAAAAGAATAAATTCAGATTCTAATAATGCTGTAGTACCAGGTCTTTCATGCGGATCCTTAATCAAACATTTTGCAATAAAGTTCTTTGTGAAGGGGTTAAACATCCCATGTAATTTTGGAGATTTCCTCTTAACTAAATTAGCAATCACTTTCATTGGTTCATATTTAGACAATGGCGGTAAACCCTTTAATAGCTCATAAGTAGTAATACCAAGAGACCAAATATCTGCCTTTTCATCATAACCGTCATTAATTTCACGACTAATAACTTCAGGTGCCATCCAATAGGGAGTTCCAACAAACGTATCTCTCTTTAAGGTTGCTGTCATTTTTCCACTTACACCAAAATCCCCTAATTTAATTTGACCTGAGTCAGTCAACAAAATATTTGCAGCTTTTATATCTCTATGAATTTTTTTCTGATCATGTAAATATTGTAAACCTAATAAAACATTTTTAATAATAAAAGAGACTTTAATCTCTGGTAATCCTGTTTTATAACAATATTTAATTAAATCTGCACATGATCCACCACCACAATATTCCATTACAATCCACATTGAGACATCTTCAACAATAGTAGTAAGGTAATTTGTTATATAGGGACATTTCAATTCTGCCAAAAAGAAAATCTCTTGAGCTAATAGACTAATATCTTCATCTGTGTACTCTAAGTTCACGACTTTAATGGCAACCAATTTTCTAGTTCTATTATCAACAGCTTTGTAAACATCACCAAAATTCCCACGACCTACACACTCTTTAATCGAGTAAAGGTCTGTTGGCGAAGGTTCCATAATCGTGTGATACACTTATAATGTGGTGAAAGAAAAACGGTTGTGGTGTGCTTTCTTTTTCTACAACTGTGTATGGAGATATGCAAAAAGAAAAAAATATATCTTCGTAAATATTAATTAGTAATTAGAAAGAGATGGTACACGTATATATATATATATATATATATATGTATGGATGTGTGTGGATAGATAAAGATTACATTAGAATGTGCAATATGTGATATTTACCTTGTCAATTTTAATTTTTATTTTTCCTTTACTGCAAACAAAACAAGTTAGTAATTTGTTATATTGTGACGTTTTTTGTTCTATTTTTCGCTTTAGAAGTAAAACAAAAAAATATACCGTACATTTTAATTTGTTAAGGTACTGATGGAGGAGATGCAATCGTAGCAGTTGTTGACGATATAATTTGATTTGAAGTTGGATCCTTTTTCCTTTTCAATGATTTATGCATGGATATAATATTCTGTGGAGCCTTTGGAATACTTGCTAAAGACCATCGTTTAATTGAATTTCCTCTTTTCTTGTTATTAGTATGATTATTAGATTTTGATGGAAGTTGCTTTTCTTCAATTATAGTATTTGTTTGTTGTTTATTTGATTTTATTGATAAGAAAGTATCACCATATATATCTAATTTATTATTCCAATATTCTAAAGCTTCATGTGGCCATTTTTTTTGAGCTTCTAAATCTGTTGGAATATTTGTATCAATTAAAATATCATTAATTAATAAAAATTCAGTAATATTAAAAATTAAATTTGAATCCTTTTTAATATTATGTTTTAAAGAATATTTAAATAAAGAAATATTATTTTTTTTCGTTGGATCATTTTCATTTTCTAAATCATATTCTTGTGATAATTTTCTTAATGATAATTTACTTTTTGCAATTGCAATTTGTAAAAAATTAATATTTTCATTATGAATTCCTTTAATAATTAATTTTAATGTTGAATTATAATCTAAATTTGAATCATTAACAAATTTTTTATTCAAATATTTTTCATTAATAAATTTTGATCTTTGTAAATCTGTTGCATTAGAATTAATCTTTTCTGTCTTTGTCATTAATTCTTCATATATTTCATTAACCAAATCATTTCTTAAATTATGTTTAATTAAATATCGTAATTCAATATCCTTAAATGAATCCAATGTTAAAGATCGTACTTTCGATACATGGGTCCCCAGGGATCTATGCACACCCGAACATTTAATACATAATACACATAATAAATTGATTGAAATCCAATCCACGGTCTTTGATGAACCACAATCACAACAAATTAAATTCGATGAATGTAACTGTTGTACACGTTTCAGTAACGGAGAATCGTCGATATTAGCAATTATATGATGGGTGCGAATGACTCCGGGACTTAAACTATTTGATGAAGATGAAACTATTGATGAAGTTGACGATGCACTTGGTGATAATGCTGTAAATAATGGAATATGAGTAATGCGTTCGAAAGAACGAGATTTTGATTTATTTTTCAATGGATGATGTAATGGATCCTTCATCCTAGTGAAAAGTTGTTATAGTCTACAGCTTTTTCGACCTTAACTCTATGAGAAATTTCCAGTTCAAACGTTTTATTCTTTGCTTATACTGCTACTTTTCTGTAATTTGTTTTTCTTTTGGGTTTTATATAAGCTTCAAAAGCCAAAATTTTTCAAAAAAAACGAAAAACAGAATATTTAGGCCCGAGAAGGTCCCAAGCCCAAGCCCAAGCCCAACCATAAGACAAGAACAGTTCGAAACTTGGTAGCAGTAAAAACTAAAAATGAAAGTGAAAAATAAAAAAATATTTATTATTTGTATTAAAATTAAAAAAAAAAATTGTACATAAAAAATTTACACATATGCTAAATCAATAGCAATGAGAGACCCGTTAATAAAAAATTAAATAATAAAAATGTATATTTACACTTCTTATAATAAGAAAGCGATACCAGCGGCGACAGCAGCACCTAGAGTACCAACATTCATGGAGTTAGCAACAGCGGCACCGGTGGAGATCTTAGAAGAAGAGCTCTTAGTACCGTTGGTGGAGTTGGAAGTAGTGTTGGAAGTGGAGTTGGAAACGGTAGTACTGTTAGAGACAGTAGCGTTAGAGACAGCTTGGGCTGAAACAGCGGTGGCAGCTAGAGCGACGGCGACAACGGATTGGAATTGCATTATTAATAGTATATGTGTAAAATAAAAAACGAGTGTGACAGTGATAGGTATCTGGTTCAACTATTGCAAGTAATAAGAGTTAAAAACACAAACAACCAAAAAAAAGATACAGTTAAAGTTGTAACCAATGGATTAGAGAAAAATATTACAAAATATTCTGTCTACTTATATAACAAAAAAGTAAATAAACAAAAAAGAATTCCAGTTGGCCCCATAAACTTTTTCACTTCCTGGAAGGAAAAGTTTTTGTTGTCGCGTTTTTTGCTTTCTCGTGGAGCGTAACGCGCGTCCTCGAAATGGATATATATATATTTTCCTCATTGGGCAATGCGGGGTGTATGGGGTGTGTGGGTTGTGCACCGGGACACGGGGATGTGAGAGAGAGAAAGCGGCGGGAAGGGGGGCGGGCCACCTTTTGCCAAAGAAGCGCTGGCAGAGGGCGGGCCGCAGAGGAGGGAACAGAGAGGGAACGCGACTCATTTTGCTGGGGGGAGGAGGGAGGTTCGCGTTTGCCGTGGTGTTGTTTCAGAGAAACGGCCGTGCAGCGAGTTCGCCAGCGCGGGTATTTCGCGTTGGGAGCACGTGACTGTGTCGTTCTGGTTGCTCACTCAGTGAAAGAGGACGGTTTTTTTGACAGATTGTGATCGTCTGTAAGGGTTGTTGATGTGGGTGTGAGCTAAGTATGCTATTTTTGCAACATAGAGGGTGTAGTGGCCATTCTAGAAGAACATGACTTGCTAAGGGAAGACGTGTCACATCAATTGCTCGTCTCTCTGTCTCTTCGCATTTCTTGCGCGGCCACACAGCAAAAATTGCAGATTTAACGAGACCCACCGGCGGTGCTTTTTTTTTAAATTTTATGGATTTCTGCCATACAAATTAGTTACTAAAGGGACATAAATAACCATGTTCTTAACACAGATTAGAGAGAAGGGAAGAGGGATCGAGAGATCGAGAGAGAGAGAGCACTTAGGCCTGTTGGACTCACACATATAAGAAAAGGAATATGGAATTTTGGGATTGGATCCTTGTATTCATTGCAGTATTTGTACCACCCGTAGCTGTTTTATTAAAACGTGGATTTAAATCAAAGGATTTTTGGATCAATGTATTGCTAGCAATATTTGGGTTTTTCCCAGGTTTGATTCATGCTTTATACATCATTAGTACCCGTCCTTCAAGCTTCACTCATGTATCAAGAAGGAAAAAGCCAAAACAATCTCCTTTAAGAGATGAACAAGAGCCATTGTTCCATAGAACTCAAAGATTTGGTTCAATATAAAAGGGTTTGCTTTGCTTTGCTTTGCTTTAATGCCCTCCCCTTGCCTTTGCGTTCACTGCGTCGTGTGCCGCGATGTCGCTCTATTTTTCCCCGTTTGGGTGTGAAAAATTAATTGCATTTTAATGAAACTTTGCAAATATTACTAACAAAGATATATATATACATATTGGCACTGCTAGCAAATAAAGAAAAAAATAAAAGAGATCGTACACTATTAAAACATTTAGCTCATCACTTTGGTGTATTGGAAGTGGAGTATACATACGATAGAAAAAAAAAATGGATTTATTAGGTGATATTGTGGAAAAGGATCCATACAATGACAGTGACAGATTAGAGAAACCAATTATTCAACAGACGAAAAATGGATTTCCTGAATTATATAAGCCTAAAAAGATTTCTTCGTGGAAACAAAGATTACAACAAAAGAAACAACAACAACCAGCTACAAAAAAATTAAGTGAAGCTGAATCGATTCATATGGATAATATTAAAAAACTTAATGATATGACAGAAGATGAAATTTTAAAAGAGAAAAAAGATTTATTGAATTCTTTAGATCCAAAATTGATTCAAAATTTATTGAAAAATATTAATAAAAGACAAGATAATGAAACTCCATTATTTGCCGAAATTGAAGGTGCTTCAGGAACTTGGGTTGGTGGATTTAATGAGAATTTGAAAAATTTACCAAGTTTATCTAATAAACAAGTGAATGATTCTCTTGATATAGTGACACCATCAACTAATATAAAATCACCAGTAATACAGACGCATAAAGAAGATGTCGAAGATGAAGAAATCTCGGATATTGAATATCCACCTTTAGATGAAGATGATGTGGCTCCGTTAGATTATCAAATGGCTCAGGCTATTGATCATACAGCAAATGAAGATTTATTAAAAGATGTACATTTTGTCTCCCCACATAATCATGACGATGATGATAATGATAATGACGAGACACCATTAGATATTAATGATCCAAATTTTGATGAAAAATTACATAGTAGATATTTCCCTCATCTACCCAAAGATATAGACAAATTGAAATGGATGAAGTCCTCACCAGAAGATGACGATATTGCAAAAGATAATGCTGTCATTGAAAGTGTCGCTGATTGTAGATTTGATTTCAATGGGAATTTAGTGCCTCCAACGCGTGATATCACTTCTACTACTACCTCTGCATTACATCATCATTCACAGGATCCTCAACTTGCTGGCTACACAATATTAGAGTTAGATCATCTATCAAGATCCACATACCCTTCACAACGTTGCATTGCTATCCAGACTCTTGGTCGTATACTCTATAAGTTAGGTAAACAATCATATTATCAATTGGTTCCCGAAATCGATGCAGAAACATATCAAGAAGATGGTAACATTGAAAACGTCATGAATAAAATATATGCAATGTTTTGGGAGATGTTAAAAGAATTGCAAACCATTCAATGGTTAGAATTTTCTTCAATTGAAAAAAATACCCCAAATTTATCTGTAAGAAATTATGCAATTGATGCATTATGGTTATGGAAACAAGGTGGTGGAGATTTTAGAAACAAGAAATGAAATACCTATTTAGATATATACTATATGTAATTCACATCTATGATATTCAGAGAAAAGAATAAGATTAGCATAACCTCTAGGACAATTATACCATTGTATTGGTAACTTCCTGATATCCAAATAAATTACACCAATATACATTGTTTATAAAACATAAACGGCGTATAAGCGAATTTACTATGAGGAAACAGTTTAACTGAAAACAGGAAATTCATCCTGAAATAGTATGAAGTACCTAATGGTTATATCGTCTTCAAACAAGGCATATGCAATCAGCTAGGTCAATTTTTACCTTTTCTTTCCAAGGAAAAAAAAAGTAATGGCAGGAAAAATTGTCTTCAGTTGTAATCACGTAAACAGATCGGACTCCAGTAGTATCAAATAGTGTTCAATAGAACCGTTTAACTTCTATATAGATATAGACGTGATCCTTTTCCGTATACACACTCCTAAAAGTGAACCAGACTGAATTGACAGATACGCACATCCATCGATCAATAAGACTTTGAAAAAGTTTCTAGGTAATGAAAAACTCAAAACACTAGAAGGGGCGTCAAATGATCGATAGGAGGCCATTCTGAAAACAATTAACATGTAACTGGTAACAGAGTTAGAAACCTTGTTCTATTTCAGATATCTCGATTGTTAAAAAAGTGAAAAACAATTACCTGAAAAACGTGCCCACCGGTAGACCATATTCTTTCTATGAGATGAGAAAATGCAGAGCTTAATCTTTGCATAAAGACACATTCACTGAGTATTGTACACCCAACAAACTTAAGACATGCAAAACTTTCTGGAGAAATAGTTTTCTTAAAAAAACACAACAAAACTGTATTGAAGGAGAAATCTTTATCTGTAAATGTAGGAGCATTGAGAACTCTCAGTGCAGAACATACATATTCGGACAATCGTGACTCCTTTACTGTTTAGTTGTTCTCTCCAGATGAAATTATCAATTTGTGTTGCTTTCTAATATGTCTTTTCAGTTTCTGACAGAATGCTCTTCTTTTTATACAGAAAAAAGTTTTTCAAAATAAAAAATTTCGCTTCTTTCGCTGTGAAACGAAATTTGTTGTTGATCTTTAAGAAAAGAGATAGATAGGGCTTAGAAGATGGCAGGTATAACCCTTTTATGAGGCTGTGATGTTACCAGAAGACTTCTCAATGGATTGAACGCAAGGTTAGTAACATAAATGGGGAAGCTATTCAAACTTGATTGTCGTTGTTTTTCCGGTTGCAGCCATTAGAAAATTTACCCTCGATAATTCGATGCGATAAAAAGACGACTTTGCCTTCTTATATCAGAAACAAAAAACCATTTCCGTAGCTACTTAATATTGCACATAATTGCACAACTATGCTCTAAGAGCAATTGTAGCGTTAATTCTGCTCAATCTTGAAACTCCTACATAAACACGTTCAATCGTCAATAAATAAAATAGGTAAGCCGCGTTTTTAATAATGTAAACAAATATAAACAAAACACTACTTTAGACAACAAAGACTAACATTAGATGGTTATGCAATCGCAACAACATAAGAATACACCGACTGGAGAAGTAGAAGGACTTTGCTTTTACTATCATTACAATGAACTATATTAACACGGGAGATTATAAAAAAGAACTTAACTCACTTTCCAAAGCGAACAATACTATATCAGATGAAAACTTGATCGAACAAGGAACAAGGTTTAAAGATCTTAATACTGATATTCTACAATCTGTGCAATTGCTATCACAGGACTATCCTGAGTTAGTAAACATAAGTGAAGATACCTCAACTGTAAATACTGAACTTCCTCATGATAAAATAATTGATTTTGAATGCCTAGAGGATAAGATTGTTGAATTTAACAAGATTATTATGTCATTGAGAATGATTTATTTAGAGCAAGAATCCCTAGACAATTTCTTAAGGTATACAATTTCTTCAAACACAAGAGATTTACCCATTGAATCCATTGATGATCCTAAACTTTTGACATTAGAGTCCGAAGTAAACACGCTGGAGAATGATACAATCTCTGAAAGACAACGAGAGTTAAGTGATATTAAATCTCGAATCTCAAAGAAAAGCCTATCGCTTTTCAAAGATGATTGTATGATTAAAGAGCTATGTATTGAGACCAGTGAACAATTAGAAGAATGTCAGGATTTACTTGAAAAAATCGATCAAGTACAACATACAATGAAGAAAAATGAAGTTCGTAGGGGCCAGGACAAGATTGATAAGATTACTAAAACTTATGAAAAATGGCAAACTATTAAAGAACAGACAAAACTCCAGGAACAACTGTCGAAACAACTCGAAGATACAGTAATGTTAAAAACTTTAAATAATTTATCAACAGATACCGGTAAAAAAACAGAATCTGACGCGATCGTTAGATACAAGACGATAACTAAATTAGTTAATCTCCTTGAGAAATATTTGTTACCTACATTCCCTAACGTCAAGGATTTAAAAATTGAACCATTCGACCATACAATAACATTTATCGTTATAGACAAAATTGAAAAAGAATATAAAGTACATATCACATTGGATGAACAGAAAAATTCGTTACAGGATATTGCTATTCCTGATAATAGCATAATGGCACATCAAATCATGAAGCTATATTATGGAGAATGCAATATATACAAAGTTATTTACTATATATCTACTAGAATCTAATAAATACATGCCTATTTGTTTGTTTTTCTTTTTAAGTGCAAAAAAAAAAATAATATTCGAATAAATAATCTTGTTATGACTATGAACCACTATGGCGGTGGTGGCGATATGAGCTCTTTCTCTAATTGTAGGAATGCACCCATTGCACCAAGGTATCCCTCATGTTTAAGGAAAAATGCTTGTTTTGTACCCTTTGACCAAAAATTGATTGCATAACTTAATGTATTCATCGTAGTGAGATGACCTCTAATATAGGAACCCCCAAAATAAATGTTTTGTATGTCATGGATATGGGCTTGCAAATATGCTATTTGGCCAATATTATTCGATACAGCATAAAGTAAACTCTTACAAATATCTTCATTATTAAATTCATGTGGTCCCAGGATTGCACTCCCATTACCATCTTCTATAATTTCATCTTTTGTACCATTTTCAATAGAATCTCTCCTTTCACTATCAGAATCACTTGTATCACTACTACTGCTACTACTACTAGTAGCATTTCCACTACGTTCCCCCGTCCGTTCACTACGTTCACCTTGAAACACTTTTCCAAACGAGCTAGCAATACTCGAGGCTTTCAACCCTATCTTTCCATAATCTGTACCATATATATCTCCTACTAACATATCTACATTCGTATTATCACCATCTTGAGCCCATTGTAACATCTGATCATAACTCTTTGCACCAGTAATCAAAGACAGCAGCCCCCAAAGAGTTCCACCACCGAGAGATGAACCCCCTACTCTTTCGAATTTGTTTGGTCCATTGACTTTTAATATAGATACACCGGATCCAATATTAACTAACATATATGGATACGTTGTATCATTGGTCACATTAACCCCACGTAATATTTGTCCCTCTGTTTCACTATATGTAAATACTTCATCCGAAATAGTATGAATGAAAAAATCTAGCCCATTAATCAAACAAGCCATTTCATCTAATTGAACAATTGGTTCAGTCAATTGATTAAATTCTTTATCTAATAAATTCTTAAATTTAAATGCTCCACCACCTGTAGCTACCAGCCGCGTATTTTTATAATTGCCATTATTATATTTCCTAATGATCTTATGTAACAATTGTATAAATTGATCAATTTTTTCTGTCTCAATTGTTTTAAATCGTAATGAATTATGTGCATGTGATGAATATACTACTTTAGCTAAAGTTCCACCAATATCTACAGCAACAACAAACTTATCACTCTCTGATGTAAAAACGTAATCGATTTCCTTTGCGTAGTGAGTCATTATATGTACTTATTGTTCCTCCCCGTTACCGAACCAGTGGATAACTTTACAACCCTTTAGCTAAATTAAACCTCAGAATATCGACTCCCACATACACCTTATAACACCATCTCTACTCATCCAGTATATATATATATATATGTGTGTGTGTGTATTGCCATTGCTGATGATGAGCCTCTCGCTTTTCCCTTTGGCTGCCTGTGCTGTTCTCTCTTCTCTTTCTCACTTTAATTTTTTTGGTTCGTTTCTTCGAAATTTTTCACTTTGGAAGTCTTCTTACTGCGGCTGTTTCTGAGTGGATTTTCGGGAAGAACGAAATTGGAGTTGGAACCCTAATATGTGTTTGTATGGAGAGGTGGTAAAGCCCTAGGGTTGCTACATACAAAAGACAGCAATTGCAAGTAGGGCTTACATTTCGATATATCCGTTAAGAGTGAGGCCTACTTAAACGAACCACCTGAAACTCATGTTGGATCGGTGGAAGCAATTGCAACTCCATCTTTACATGTAGACGTACAGTGGCAAGTTGAACGTGTCGTGACAAGTCTTTGGAAGCATTGCTAAGTTGTTACTTTGAGGTGTAGCTTTTGGTCGTGTGCTACTGAACAAGATGAGGAACCACTACAGGATGCTACGCCTGTGCATACATACAATGCTGTTCGTAGTAATCGCACCACCCCTCCACAATTTATATATTTGCTTCTTTTAGGATATCTGAGATTCAGTTACTTAAGATAGATGCAGCCCGTACCTTGCCGCATACAAGCATGATACACCTTAGTAATGAGTGCGTTGTGGTGTAGATGTAATCTTATACTAACACACTCACACACACACAAACACGTCGCTTTTATACTCGTCGATGTTCAAGCAGTTGCTACGTCCTCAGAGGTCCTTCCTTGTGCCAGCCAATCAGATCGGAGTAATCCTTCCTTGCTGGAGATATCGTTAGTTGTTCGCGCACTGCGCAGAATTCAAAAACTGAAATTTTCTCACCGCAAAATTCACTATATAACTAACTGTATATATATATAGAAGATTTGCTAAGGGAGAGAGGAAGGTTGGGACTTCGATACTTCAGGATTCACATAACAAAACAACAGATAGAATATAACGTTTTTCAGTTCATACACATACATACACACACATACACCAATGCCACAATCATTTACGTCTATTGCTAAAGTCGGAGAATACATTTTAAAGAGTCCAGCTCTAGCTAAGATCTGTGTCCCAGTTGCTAAACAATATGTTAATTTAGCAGGTTATAGAAAATTAGGACTTACATACAACGATTTAATTGCTGAGGAGAACCCTGTAGTGCAGACTGCTTTATCTAGACTGCCTGAAGATGAAGCCTATGCTAGAAACTATAGAATAATCAGAGCACACCAATCTGAATTAACTCATCATCTATTACCTAAGAATGAATGGGTTAAAGCTCAAGATGATGTTCCATATTTATTACCATACATCTTAGAGGCAGAAGCTGAAGCATTAGAGAAGGCTGAATTGGATAATTTGGAAATTATCAAGAAATAAAAGATTTTACTAATTACTAACCTTTTTCTAAACCAAAAAGAAAAGGGAAAACAAACATACAAAAGAAAATACGACAAACGCATAAAATATTATTCGAACCCACCTCTTCACTTTCATATTCCTGTACCTTATTTAAAATTGCCGTAAGGAAATCAGAACCTTTCCTCCCTCACTCTTATTTAATTTATTCAATAAACTATTATTTATTTATTATATACAAGAATTTCAATATCGTTTAACGGCTTATCATTAAACAAGAAGTAATATTATTATTATTATTATTATTATTATTAGAATATATTATTATATTGATCATAAATAATGTAAATGTCTATATACTTAAAACTGAGTAGTAATAGTAGTAGTACACAGATAAAATGCTAAGGGTAAAAATATGCAGGGGGAAAATAAATGTATTAGTATAACAAATAATGCGGGAAGAAAAGGACAGAGTCCTGTACTATAATACATGATCATGCATCCATTGTTTATACTTTGGCCAACCTTGTAAACTATCTAATTTTTCATTCAGTTCAATAATTTCTTTAGTGGCAACATATCTATCTGTAACAAAATCCATATCTTCAGGTTTAACAAACTTATCACGTTTAATAACCCACCAAATGATGTAACATACAGGGAACACAAATAATTCCAAATACACAGAGAAGAAATTCTTAACGTCCCATGGATCAAATGAAGACCAACCTTGCACTAAAATAATGAATGAGACAAAAATCACAAGAATCCATGGACCCCATGGATAAGTCCAATTAACATATTGTAATTGATCGGTAAGACCTTGTGCTTTTAGACCTTTTCTAAATCTAATAGAAGTGATACCGATACATAACCAAGCAATTTGGTTGGAGACACCGACAATGTTTTGTAACCAAGTCCAAACTTCACCAGCACCAATAAAACTTGAACCAAAGGCCAATAGACCGATCAATGAGGTGCAAATCACTGAAACGTATGGAACTTTATAACGATTAGTCTTACAGAAGATTTTGGCTGGTAACATACCTTCTAGACCCATATTGTACATGACACGAGAACCAGCAAACAAAGCATGGTTACAAGCACTGATAACACTAGTCATGATAACAGCGTTCATAAATGAACCTGCCGATTTAGAACCTGCCATTTGAAAGACGATGGTGAAACTTGAAGTGACAACAGAACCTGAGGAGATACCTGGATAATCATATGGAACGTTCATTGCGATGAAGAAAGTGGAACCGACGTAAAAGATCAGGATTCTCCAAAACACGGTTTTAATGATCTTTGGTGTATTACGAATTGGATTTTCAGTTTCACCATTAGTTAAAGTGATTGATTCGGTACCACCATAAGCAAATGAAGCTGAAACGAAAAGAGATGCAAACCCTTTAAAACCTGAAACAAATGGAGCTTCACCATGAGTCCAATTTTTGAAACCAATGTATTCATGTTGTGGATTATGACCAACATTAACTACGATAGATAGAATGAAAAAAATGATAATTGCGATGACTTTTAACATAGCTAACCAATATTCAGTTTCACCATAGACTCTAACATGAATTACGTTTAAACAAACAACCAGACCCCAAAATAATAAAGATGCAGCCCAATATGGGAAACCTTTATCGCTTGTCTTCCAATAGTCCATTACTAATTGTAAAGCTGTTAAATCTGATGCAACTGATACAGCATCATTAAACCAATAATTCCACATTAGAGCCATTGCAAAAGAATCTGAACCAAATTTTTTTGCGTAGGAGACAAAGGAACCAGAAATTGGCATAAAGGTAGACATTTCACCAAGACAAAGCATAGTTAAATAAACTACTATACCCATAATGGTATAATTCATAAATAAAGAAGCTGGACCACCTGTTGCTAAAGATTTCGATGTAGATAAATAAAGACCTGTACCAATAATACCGGCAATACTAATTAGAGAGACATGACGAGGTTTTAAAGCACGTTGTAAATCTTCACGAATTCTGCCTTCAGGATCTTCTTCATCAATATCAGCGAAATTATCTGGAATTGGTTCAGCCGATGTATTAACCGAGTCATTTAAATCATATATTATGCCTTGATCTTTTTTAATAGATTTATCAGATGTTAAAGTATGCCTTAATTCCTCTTCTTCCCAATGGGTAGGAGGTGAATCAGACATTTTTGTTTTGAATATTTTTTTATTTTATTTTATTTTATATGTTGAATATAATAAAACAGATTTTAAAAACACTTATATATGCAGTTGATGCTTGATATGGTGATATACAAGATAATATAATTTTTACAAAATAGAAGTGTAGATACGTATAATTAAATATTCTTTAGTATATATATCTCTCTATATATATAAACCTTGTATTGAAAAGAATTCTGTACATGTATGTATATTTTCACTTATTCAACGTCAGCAAAAAAAAATTGCTTATGTAATAGAAACCCCAGTCTTTTCACGATCAAAAGAGAGCCTTACGAGAAAGGCTAGGAGTTACGACAGTTTCAAACTGTGCTTTCAGTCGGTCTCTCCCAGTTTCAAAATTTTAAGAGATTTGTCAAACGGCAAGTTCCCATAAATTTAGCTGACCTTCGAGATAGTAAGAAGACTGTGTGTGTGTGTGTGTTGATGAGATCCACAGGGGCCAAGGATACATCCAATACAGCTAACAAAATTGTGCTTAGCTAACCGTTTTCCTTCGTCTCTTTCTTTACGCACATAGTGTATTAGTAACGGACATCCCCGTCCCATCCAAATTTTGCCGTGTCTCTCTGCTTCCCACTGACACTTTTTTTTCTGTTTTCTGCTCTGCGCGCTCGCTTCTGGCAAAAATATTTTTTCTGTGTGACTGGTGGCCCTTTGGGGAGCCAAGGAAACTGTGGCTTTTCTTTTGCGGAGGTTTGCCGTGCCGTGAAATAAGAGTTCTGTCGCACGTGACTTCTAATGTGGAGAATACCCAGAACTGTGGGGGTGCATATCGTGTGGTACGATGTTACCTATCAAATACGGCCTATGCCATATATTATATAATGCAATTAAGAGGCAATTGATAGGATCGATGAGCTAAAATGCTATGACGTGGGGAGGAGGAGGAGGAGGAGGAGGAGGCATAAGCTTACATAAGAGATCTAGTATTGGAAGTCTGAGTACTGCAGAGAGAGCTTAACAGAAAATGACTTTGATAGGAACAGGAACAGTCACAGTGACTGTATTGGCCACACTGGCATATATTGTGATGTCTATTTTAGGTAGTGACATTCAAACGGTGTATGACCAATGGCGTAATGCGCTACATATTGGACTTGCTTACTTTGTATACCAAATAACTGATGATGCACCACATTTAATTGCAGGAAGATCGCCTGTCTCTACAATTAATAAAGATGGGAAACCTGAGCATAAAGAGATGGCAAGAGCAGATATTCCAAAATTTTTGGTAGGTAGGACAATTAATCATCTAACTAGAACTTTGTTTGTAGTGATAGTGAGTCAATTAGCATTGAAACTTACAAATAAATAAACGAGTAAATAATAGTAATATATAGAGATATTTTTTTTTGTGTGTTAGAATTTATGAACTTGTGACTTTGAGTAACCAAGTTCTTGAAGGTATCCAGACAACGAACCTTGAATGATTAGGTTTTTCTTTTCACCCGAGACTGCCTTCATGAACCCTGTGGGTCCACAGACAAATAGCTGTGTGTTCTCCTTCGGACCAGCAATATTAGACTTCAAGTAATCTTTGTTAATATTACCAATTTCACCTTTGAAATCCTCAGTGGTCGAATCACTGACAAAGTAAACAACTTCAAATTTTTCGGGATACTTGAATTGCAATTGATCTAATTCTCTTTTCAGTGGAATATCATTGATAGTCTTGTTACCATACAATAGTTTAATTTTAGTCTTATTTTCTGGATCTTCAATTACATTGCTTGCTAATTGATATAATGGGGTAATACCACTACCTGCACCTAATAAAGTCACAACATCAAATTTGTTTGGGATATATTTATATGTATTAACGGCTCCTCTGAAAGAAACTTTATCACCAACATTCAATCCAAATAAATGTCCCGACATCTTACCTTGAGGCATATGTTTCACTAATAATTCAATATTTCCCGTGGAATTAACTTTATTGATGGGAGTATATGGCCTAGTAACATTAGAACCATCTTCAACTTTAGCAGATGCAAGAATCATAGACGAAAGAGATAACCCATTATTAGTAGAATCCGCAGGTAATTGGAAAATTAGCCTCTTTGTATCATGGGTCTCTTCAATGATCTTCATGATAGGTAATTCAACAGAATTGAAGATCCCTTTAAAAGTATGCCCCGCGGTACTCTTAGAGAATTGACGACGACGGTAGATGGCCATAGCCACACCACCAAGAACGATCGATCCTGCAATATAAGGCATGAGTTTTTTTTGTTTTGTTAAAATAGTGTTCATACTATGATGAGTTGTGTTTGAGGTTATTTATTAATTAAAAGCAAAGAAAAAAATTTTTAATTACAAGTGGAAAACTTTTCTGATATTTTAATAGAAATATCACTGGTATTTATACCTTTTCAAGAAACATGTAATAGATTTAGAATTACTGTTCTCGGGGGTCCCTTTCACCTTTAAAAGGTGTTAATGGTTGCTTGATTGATACTATTTTTGATTTTGCTAGTTAAATCATCGTGGTATTAACGGATCTCATCGTTAGGGCCGCGGAAATAAAGGAAAAAAAATTGAAAAAAGTTGAAAAACAGTACATCACCGGAGTGTAACGCAGTGAACATCAAGTGAAACTGTCATTTTTGGAACCTGGCGTATGATAATTTATGTTTTTTTGTTCTTACTTTTAGAAGTCTATTTGCTTATGATAAGTCACCAATATATGCGATGGTTGTACTCTGTCAAAAAGAAACTTCGGCATGTTTCATCGTATGCTTTGATAGAAAGAAATTCAACGATGGTACATACGCCATCGTTTCACAATATTATTTCTTACCTGACTTATTATTACAACATATGTATTATTAATTATTATAAAAAGTTTTGTATTTGCATTCCCAAAAGTTGAGATTTTCAATGTTTTGTATGTAGATCAGTAACCGGACCCTTTAGCGATGTGCAGCTCCCCTTTTCCGCACAGCAGCACACTTGATTTATTTATTTTTTTTCACTTGAAATCTTATGTAAGATAATTATATAGAGGGAGAAGAAGAAAAAACGTCATAGGGAAGAATGGATTAGCAACCGTGGTCAAGAATACCATTCTACAACAATATATTAGAACCGCTACAAGTGGTCATGGGTCTTGTAACGAAACTGAAAAAGACTGTCCTTAAAGACGATCGTCTTAGGATAGAAAAGACTACAGCCAAGAATATTCCAGATTTTTTACATTTTTCAAGTGAAAGACATCTACCAATTGCTCAAATATCTGGAGACACTAGTCGAGTAATATTCCCATCAGTGCAGTCTTATGATGTATTTAAAACTTTTAAAAAACTAGATCCATCCTTTCTTAAAGATAATAATGGAGTAGGTATCCCTTTGTTTAGAATTCGCAGCGTAGAATGGAATCAACGAAATTTCAAGGAAATGAATAAAGAATTGGTATATCAAATTTTTTCATATGAATTAAGATCTGTTGATGAAGTACCGCCTTATATGGATGGTGAAGTCGTACTAAATGTTAAAGATGTTAAACTTTATAAATGTCTCTATTGTGATGTCTATAAAGCTAATTCCTCTGGAGGAACAACCTATTTTTTAGAGTTTAAAGATGATTCTCTAGGTGAAATCCCAATGATTCATAGATTTCAATATAGAGATATGGATACAAACCTTTATAATTGGAATTTTAGATGGCATGTAAAATTTAGTCCCATAATAGAAAACGATCATTATAAACTTGGGTACTTAAATCCAGATACTGTATCTTTATTAGATACAAAAGAAATTGTAAAAGATAAAAAATTGTTAAAAATACCCAAAACAGAACGGTTTAAACTTATCTTTGGTCATTATACTTCAGAAGATAGTGATTTTTTCCCAAGTTCAATTATTAAAGTAGCAGATTTTACCATCGGTGAAAAAGAAGTTGTTCCCTCATTAGGTGTACGTGATGTACCTGTTGTAACTAAAATATTCGCTTGTCAATGTTTATTGATTCATATTATAGAGTTAGAAAAGAGAAGTGGTGAAAGAGCAATAAATGCTCCTTATAATACACCATTCATAATGATGTAAACACATATATAACTTTATGTAACAATAATATTCTTTTAATTATCCTTATCAATTGCAGTTGATATTTTCTTTGATATCAGGTGAAGAATCATCCAATTCACCCCATAGAGCTTCATAGATCTCAGAGAATGCATTCAATTGTAAGAAATCATCTAGTGTGGTGAATATTTCCAAGTTCTTATCAGAGTCGGTAACAGTGGATACGGTTTCAACATTCTCTGTGTCTGAATTCGGTATACTCACCGAGGCAGGTGGAGTAAAATTATCCATAAATTTGGTTTTCGTAACTTTATTAATATCCTTTAGAACTTTAACATGCATTGGGGAATTTGGAATATTTGTCATTAATAATGAGTAACACGATGAATTTATGTCTAAAATATCCTTAACCATATTTCCATTTTGTTCATTAATTTTGCTAACTTCTGCTATTAAAACCTCTTCACTTATATTTCTCTTTTCGATATATATCTGTAAAAATATTCTTGTTAGGACGAATGTAAAATAAACAGGTAAGTTTGAACCTTCTTTAATGTTATTCAATTTAGTGGACACACTAGCGGAACCCATTCGACTACATGCTCGGGCATTATGCACAATCGTACAAACGTTATTGATGGTATCAATCATGTTGCAAGTGGGATTATCAATCGAATAAATAATGGTATGCATGAAAAACATTGTTGTTAGTTTATTGTACTTTATATTGTCAAACGCGGTGCTAATGTTTGATAACATCTGCAGGGAACTTGAACATAACTTAAAAATATCTAATCTTTGCTTCAGTATCAATTTATTAATCAGATTTTTATCCTGTACCCTTGGTGAATTAGCAAACCTTATCAATACACTTTCAATGGTATTGTAAACCTCAACACGACAATATCTCATTGTTATATAAACATGAAATCTTGGATTCGAAGGGATCAATTCACCAACATATGGTTCCATCTTTTCATCTAATTTAGCAAAATTCCATGTTAATTGTTCTATATTTTGCAGCAAATCATGTAATGTCGCTTCAAAGATTGGATACTTCGATGAAAAGACTCGATAATCAGTAAAATCTTTATTGTATAATATAGACTTAAAATGGGTTGTTAACAGCTTTGATAGCAGAAAACGAGATACATCAATAAATACTTCATCGTCAACCAATTTGTTACCAAAATCAATGGTATTCAATAACAGTTCAGATTCCATGGTTTCATTTAATCCCAAACTCATCCACTTTTTTGGTAATAAACATTGGGCCATGTTTTCATTAAGCAAAAATGGTTTCCCAGTACTGACTGCTGCCCAACGATCATACCATATACATTTCCACCAGATGGAACGATATTGATCTGCAGTAGCTTCGTTCAATCCAATATAGTACTCCCATCTGTCTAAGCCATTGAATATTACATTATCTGTTATCAAAGAAACAACATCCCTCATATGGTAACTTTCCTCCTTGTTATTTGCATAATCTAATTGTGTCAAAAGAGCATCCGCCACTTTTGGATCTCTAAATCGGGTTTGGAATATGAGACTCTCGCAGTGTCTAAACAATGTGCTAAGAAGATCATCAACGCCGTAAAATATTTGGAGACCCAAAGGATCAGTACCTTTTAAATAGGAGAAATGTTGCATATGTTCAATGTGCTTATTCATAAATTGAAGAATTTGCAGCGGATCATCAGACCTTACGAATTCAGGTTTATCATGAGTTAAGTTAAGTAGCGAACATGCCCTTTCAATGATATGATTCACCACAGACTGTTCGGAATATGGAATATTTTTGTCCATATACTTCTCATTATAAGCCTTAAACGGTATAGAATGTAATTTGGAGGCTTGGTTTGAAATATTGTGACTCAAATCGAAAAATCTCAAGTACAGATAAAAAGTCATTTTCACATCCGAATGATCAAGCTTAGAGCTGAACAACTTCTTGAATAGCCATCCATAACCCTGGTTAGTTAATAAGCACAGTGGGGAATAGATGCCAAAATAACCATCAAGTACCTGCTTTAGATCATCATCTTCTAAATTGCTTGATGTAAACCTATTGAACCTAATAAAATTTGAATCAATAAGTTCAGTTTCAAGAGACCGATCAGATTCGTACTCAGTAATCTTTTCACTCTCCAACATTACACGCATATCATTTCTAAACACATTCAGTTTCGACTGAAGTTCTGTAACAACGGGATTCAGCTTCTGTGGATCGATAGATTTCAATTTTGATAATGTGTTGACACATGTAGTTAATGTTCGTAGATCTTTTCTAATATCATCCTCTTCTTTATATAGCGTGGTTCTATGAGTACTGCTAGTATCGAAAGTGCATTCAATTCCGGCCTGTGAGCAACTTGCACATGGTTTCATCCCATTACATTTTATCTTTCTAGCTCTGCAAGTGTTGCAAGCTTTACTTACTCTTGGGGACTTCTTCTTTTGTTTACTAACCCGATTGTTCATTCCAGAATTCAGCATAGTACACGATATTATTCTAAGAAGTATTGCTCTAGCCAAGTATACTTGGTTAATTTGAGTTCAATCTGTTGCTTTATAGAGTTTCCTTCATCTAAGTTATTATATAGGTCATCGTGTTTATGTACGAGTTATTTATTAATAGCAATAGGAGTCCCGCAGCTAATTTTCACTGCCAAAATCGTTCATTTAAACGGCGCGGTATGAGAATAGAGCACGCCTTTGGAACATAGTCCTAACTGCATCTTAATAGCAAACCTTACATGGCAGTGACAGATAATCATAGATGAGCCAAAACCTCTGATACTTGAGTTTTTAAGAGACTTAAATGTTACTTAGGCATACATAACATTTTAAATTGTAATTTTTGGAGGAAAAAGAAGTAGACGAAAAAACAGCCATAATAATTAATTTTATTTGCTAAAAAAAAGTATGTAATATTAATGAATATATTCCAAAAATTTTATATATATCTCTATATATTTTAAAGCCATGTGTTTTATGTGATTACACCTTTTAAACAAATTCCAATTATTTACTGAACAAATCTGGACTTTGCACGTAATGATGCACCATATTTGTATAGCACAAATGGAACAATACACAAGAAGATAGTAAAAAAAGCAACGATGGTTGAACCCCAACCGACTGGATAACCATCGATAGCTAGGTTATTGTACATCGCTTGACCGAACAATGGCATCGAACAGGCAAATCCTGCTCTAAATAGACCATTACCTGCAAAGACAGCTGCAGTATGATTTGGATAAGCAAATGCTAAGTATGAGAAGGTAACTTGGAATAGATTGAAACAACAAATAACAAAAAATACTTCAGCAATAATTGGAACAATCCAATGAGTACCTGCAGCCCATCCAAATAGGAGGATAGCAAATGGGAAACACCAACAAACCCACATCAATAGGATCAGGTATGTCTCTGGAACGAAAGTGCCATTCTGGAATTTTGGAAATAAGACCTTAACTAAAAATGTTAAGAAAATAACAAAAGCAATGGCACCACCAACAGCAAAACCCATGAAGGATAAACCAAGTTCAATCAGTGTGAAGTTATATATACCACTGAAAACAATTGGGAAGGATTCAAAGAATAAATAAAATGAACCGTAAGCAAGAGCACAGTAAACATCAAAGGCCAGAACAATAGGTTCTAACAATATAATCTTGATAGAGGAGTATAGTGTAGAGCCAATTAGTTTCCAGAAGTTAGACTCAGAGTCCTTCTTTTCTTGTAAAGTATAGTATCTATCATCACCTGTTTCTCTTCTTATTCTTCTGGCTCTACGAGATAAGATGGCTGTTGCCGAAGTTTCCTTAAAAAAGAATACTAGTATAATTAAAGTAAAAGCAGACATCCAAGTCAGTAACCAGAAGATCCATCTCCAATTCTTAGCTATAACCATAGAAGCACCTAGAATTGGAGCAATAATAGGAGCGACAATAGCACCTACAGACCAGAACCCTAAAAATACAGGAACAATTTCTTGTTTCATCACATCGACAATTGTGGCACCACCAGTAGCCAAAGCAGGAGAACATAAGACACCAGTAATGAATCTCATGACAATAAGACCACCAATATTATGAACAGAAGCAATAGCAATTTGGAAAATCATGAAGAAGAATAAAGTGTAAGTGTAAACCTGTTGACGACCAATTTTGGCAATGTCAGTAATTGGAGAAAGCACAATTGGACCAAGACCATAGCCAAGAACATAAAGTGACATATTCAAAGTGGCAACAACATGGCCAACTTTAAACTCTTCACGAATACCTTCTTCACCAGGCGTATAAATTGATGAACCCATATATGTGACGGCAGTTAATAGCATAATTTGAAACATGATAAAGTATTTTCTTGCATTTGACCAATTTTGAGGATTTTCTGGATCATCCGGACCAGTCCAATCAATTAAGAATGGATCATTTTTAAGTTCTTTATTTTGGACAGTCTGATCATTCTTCCGTATAGAATCTGATTCAGACCCTTTCTCTATATCTGATTCTGATGAATCTTCATGTGACGAAACTTCTAAAGAAGTCGATTCTAAATCAATAGTATTCTTTAAATTGTGTAATTCTGAAATTTTGATAATATTTAGAAACTCTAAAATATCAAAAAAAAATGTATTTTTGAAAGTGGCATAATTAGACATTTTCTACAGGTATTATTGTTATTATTATTGTTATTATTATTATTATTATTCTTGTTGAAACGAGTATATAAATATCTTGATATTACTTTATATATCATGATAACATATTAAGAAAGGAAGAAAACAACATGATGGAATAGTGACATAAGTTCGAACTAGAACAGATATTTATATTCATTCAATTTTACAAAAATTAAGATGAAATGAAAATATATTCAACTGTAAAAATTTTTTTTTATAGAATACCTGGAATTAACCAAAGACTCACACATCGCCGTTATTATCAACATATTCCGCGGGTGAACCCCTCAACGATCGCCACACTCATATTTATATCCTCTTCCCTAAATCAGACTTCAAACTATGAGAAATGCTACCTTTTCAATTACTTAGGCAAAGATCTTTCAAAAAAAAGAACTTGAAATGCAAACGTTTCTTCTTTTGGTGGCGATGATTAATATTTCGTAATTTGGGGAAAAAAAACAGGGCCTAAGATGGGCCTAAGATGGCATTAGAAACGGCTATACCTTATTTCCATTTCACACTCTCATTCCCTGGTCTCCTTTATTTTCTGAGCAATGCACTACTGAGGACACTCTCAAAAATCACGGCCGTAAGAAGGCATTTCACTCTCTAGGGCAAACTCTCTGTTTATTAATAATCAAAACTGTTTCGGCCGGAAAGGAAGCTTTTTCAGGTGATATTCATCATCTCGGACGGGGCACAGTAACTTTTTTGGTGGTAATATCCATCATGTCGGCCGAGAATATAGGCTGGAAAAAATAGTTTGAACCATTTCTTTCCTTACCAACCCGCGGAATCTCAAAAATGAAAACTACTCTTCTTATATATAAAAATAGTAGTAATTCTTTATCATCGTTGTTTCGATCAATAAGCGGAAATAGTTTAGTACTGTTTGAAGTTGACATTACTAATGCTCACAACAAAACATAAGCTTGATTCGATTTTCAAAGAAAAAAAAAAGGGTGACTACTTGAGGCATGATTATTAAACACGTAAATACATATACTTTTTTGAGATTATGATAATCCTATAGGTTATTTATTAATTATTGACTTCATACTACGCCAAAGTAGGATATTCAGTAGTATCAGCCTCATTAGGATCATTAGGATCATCAGTAACTTTCGTAGACAATTTCTTAAGAACTAAATCAAATATATTCAACCTCCATAATCTACTAGAAATTTTTCTATATTCATTCCATAATTCTGTCCCTGTCTGTTGAATAACCTGGCTATCTTCGGAACATTTTAATAATCTTATAACTTGTAATGCAAGAATATGTGATACCATTTGAGATGCAGCTAATGTAATAAAAGTAGCTGATTTTTGTAATCTTTGATGTAATTTATATTCTGTTGGAGCAAGCACGGATTTTTCAATATTTTCAATTTGTTGTAACGTTGGAATAATTTGATAATAATAACTGTCATCAACAGAAAAACTATCTAATGGTATGATTTGTTGATTAGTACCTTTACAATCGAACAATTGTTGTAAAGAGGACAAATTCTCTACAGATAAATTTTGGAAAAAATAATCATGAAATTCAAAGATCACTCGTTTTAAAATTGGGGCAGTCAATAATATTGATAATCGTAAATGATGGGTAATAGTATCTTTATTGATATGATATGTGGGATCCGTAAAGGAATCCATTTGATCTGCCCAAATGGTCATTTTGCAACAAAAACTTATAAGAATTAATGAGTATTTAATGATTCCATTATTCACTTCAGTGGATTTCTCTCCAAAATATTTTTTTCTCATATGATACATTGCAAGTAATAAAGCAACACCGAGTGCAACAAATGGTAAATCAAAAGTGTCCGCCGGTAATAACTTATCTAACCCTGTGTATAATTTAATAAACATCAACCCTGATTCGAAATAATCAACTAATTGTTTAGTATATACTTTTAACATTTTTCTGTCCTTAAAATTTGTACTGTTCAAATCATTCACAATAGGCCTGACTATTTTGAGAAAGTCTGTCATAACTTTACTTCTACGTAATTCTTTATCTCTTTCCACATCATGGCGCTCTAAATTATATAACTGGGAATAATCAAAATGATTGTCAGAAAGGTATAACGGCTTTCCAGCTTCGAATGATACGTAAGCATCAAAGAACATTGTCCAATAGAAGGTTCTCTTCAGTGAATAAATCACATCACTAGAATAATTACTCTTCCCATACCATTCATCAATCTTGTTTAATCCTAATATATTACAACTGTGGCACACACACATAATTAAATTGTGGTTTTGATTGGTCTCCCATATTGGTAAATCAGATTGATACTCTCTCAAAAGATACATCAATAATAAAAATTGGGGTCTCTCCACGAATGAATCTGAAAATCTTGGAGAAAATGCCAATTGTTCAAGGAAACTTGTCAACGATTTATCAGGATTAAAATTAGACATTGTATGACTGACAATTAATAATATAATACCGATATAGTAAAGATTCCCATCTGGTGGAATTTGAATATCTGTAAATACATCTGTTAATAAATTTTCAAAAGATGGATCCACCCTCGACACTCTGAAGCACATATTGAATGCATCCATTGTACGTTTGTGATCGACTATTCTGTAAACATCGTGTAATGTACCACTGAAAAATTTATCCAATGTATCTCTAGTCTTCTCATAAGTTGGAAGCACGCTACAGATAATTTTCAAAATATTGTTCACATCATGAAAATGTACCCAGTATTTGGGCCTATTCTCAATAATGCAATGCTGTGTTTTCCAAACATCATACTTATTCTTTTGAACATTCCATAGATCAAGATATTCTCGTTCAAATGCGCCTTTGTCGTAATTCACAATTGTCTTCCATGAAGTTGGTCCATAACGTTGAAATTTACCGTCTTGGTTTTCAAGAAACTCAAATTTTAATAAATTGTCATCAGGGCTGTCTTTAGACGAACTTGTATTGGTTGGAGTATTCATGTCACCGCTATTTCGCCCAGCATTATCCTTGAGCAAGCCAATGGATGGTTTCATCATAAGATCTTCCATAGTGACATCAAAATTGAAACCATTCCCATATATGCATTCAGGAAGTTTCCGTATTTCACATTGTTGACATTTTGGCCTAGCATGATCACATTTCAGCTTCCTCTTGCGACAAAACATGCATGTATTCATCACTTTCCGTCTCCTTTTCACCGGAAGGATATTTCCAGTTGTAGATTGTGCCATTGTATGTCGATTTGTATTATAATTGATGAACTTGTGGTAGATAGTTCCTTCTTGGTGAGCTGAAGTTAACTAGTCTAGTAGAACGTCAATTGTCACGTTTTGTTAAGCTATTTTAAAAATATTGGTCTCGTAGTATGCATCACAGTTATACTTATAGACCAAGTCAACCATTTCAAACACTCTAGACGTTCTTGGTATAATACTAGTGGAGTTATGCTTTCTTATTCACCTTTCTTGCTAATGCTGAGTGTCCATATAAACCCAGAAAAAAAAGATTATTAGTAATATTTTTCACATATCGGAACCGGATTTGAACTGTACGAGATTTTCTGTGTAGCATTTGAAAGTATGAATTAAATATGATGATGATATATTAAAACATTGAAGAAGTAGAAACACTCTCTCACATAAACAACAGATATTAAAGTATTCTAACAACATCGACGATATTGTGATAAACGATTGATTAAGTTTTACATAATGTAGAAAATTGTAGATTCTTTTTTAATGTATTGAAATGTTTTATTAAACTTAAAAGTGTAAAAAATTACTTAAGAACTTATATAATGAGAAAGAGTACTAGCCTCTGACTATTAGTGTGTGTAATGGAACAGAAAAAAGGTAGAATAAAGGGTGCAATCAATGCCCAATCAAATATTCTAATGGTATTAATATGCGAGGTTGCATGTATTATATTACAGCAATCCTTCAGAATGGAAGAGTTTTATAATGACAAAAAAAGAAAAAATAATTACGATTACTCGAAATTATCGATCTATTGACATTGAGATTCGACACCACCGTAAGTGTTGAAGTAGACTTCACCGAAGATGGTACTTGGGGAAGTGTAAGAAATATTGTAACCGGTAGATGGGGATAGACAGAACTTGAAGTCACCTAGGTTGTCAACGAAGTTAGAAATTTCACTAGAGAACTTGGTAATGTTGAAAGTTGGTAGTTGAGAGATAACGTCAGCAATATCGGCATCAGCATTCTTAATGTTGTAAGAGATCCAGTTGATGGCATTCTTAGTGGTGTTTTGAGCGGCAGTTTCAACATTCTTGGCAGCACTTTCAGCAATGGTCTTGATATTGTCAATAGCAGCTTGAATATTGTCTTTGTCAGAAGAAACCTTAGATTCTAAGTTAGAGATAGCAGTTTGTAAGTCAGAAACAGTGTCCTTGGCAACTTCTTTAACCTTATCAGCAATGTTTTCAACAGTGTTTTCAACGTCATCATTGATTGTGTCGAAAGATGGGACACCTGGGATAGCCTTGGAGATAAGATCAGCAAGTTCAGTTAAGTTAGTGTTACCAATGGCAGTGACCAAATGTTGACCTAGAGAAGAGTTGAAATGTAGAACGGTGTCGATGGTGCTTTCAACATCGCTGGCAACATTGCTAGCGACGGTCTTAGCGTCAGATTCAACATTGGAGACTTCGTTCTTGACAGCGGATTGGATCTTGGTCTTAATGGCATCAGCACGACTCTTGACAGCATCAGCACGACTTTCGACGTTGTGAACAGCTTGAGAGATCTTAGACTTGATGTCACTTTCAACAGTTTTAGTAGTGTTTTGAATTTCAGATAAAGTCTTGGCAGCGTTAGTTAGGTTGTAAACACCTAATAATTTTAGACCAGCATCTTCGAAACTATCAGCAATTTCAGTTGGGATAGCCTTGACATCAGATAAGATCTTAGATAGCAAGTTGACGTGAGCGGAAGTGGTAGTGGTTGGGGAACCGGAAGAAGTAGTAACTGGAGCAGCAATAGTGGTAGTACCATCAGTACCAACAGTAGAAGATTGAGTGTTGTTACTGTAACCAACAGCAGATGAGGAAACACTTGAATCTGAGGTAGTAGCACCGGTGTTACCTAGAGCCATCAAAGCAGTTAAGATGGTAGCAACAACAGATTCACCGATACAGACACCGGTAGAGGTTTTAGCACAGACTGTGGAGACTGAGTTAGCCCAAGCAGACTCGTCAGTGGAAGTCATGTCAAGATACCACCCGTTGTTACCTAGAGTGATGGTATCTCTCTTCATTAGAGGGACAGCGATTGCTGCACTTAATAGTACAGACAATGAGATGACAGTTGTCTTGGAAAAGGAAATACTGGAGGAAGCCATTTATATTATAATATGATTGGATTGTTTGGTCTGTTTATTCGATGGTCTTTTTATTATTAATTAGAGATTAAAATAGAAATAATTCGAAAGGAATATTTTTATAATTGACCAAAACATGAGTTACTTATATACTTTTTTTTTTGCAGTTTTTCTTGCTCGACATATCAGATTTAATTATAGGTGTGTAACTTAATGGTTTTCTGTGACATTTGTACAATTTAATCAAGGGGGCAAACATGTTATTTCAGGGAATATAATCTTTACTAAGAAACATTTCCTTTTTAAGTAAAATAACAAATAATACAAAGTAATTTCTGTCATAGTGTGTTGACTATCTAGCATTTGATACAAGTTTCAATGGTTCTGAAGTCTTTCCTAATATGGTAATTAGGTAACAATCAAAGGCACTATCACCCCTCCAGATAAACAAAACCCCATATTAAGGCACGTTGGGGAGTATATCGTAGAAGGAAGGAAGAACAATAGAAACGATTTATTGATTCTAACAATGGAAAATTTTTGTATATGTTCCCATCAGGCATTCAGAGGATAATGTCATTGTTCTCAGGGGGCAAGCATTAGCCATATAGGAGTTTCCAACAGCAACCATAGTTAAAATGCATAACAATGGTTCCATACTTTTTTCTTTTTCCTTCAACAGTCGTTGCCAAGAGTGGGGCCCAGAATGTTTTAAAACATTCCCTGGTTAACTTTCTATTGGAAAACGGTATTAAAAAAAAAAGTAATCGGGGTTCTTAAAAAATTTGTCATCAAGCTTTCTGACATAATTGTATTGTTTTATTTCAATTAAGATGTCTGTTCATAAAATAACTCTGCTTATTTTCTTTGTCAAATAATCTTTTTTTTTTCAAAAAGGTTTTTTCGAACAATGGAGGACCCGTAACTAAAATTGCGCACAATTGTATTTCCCACTGTCGAAAAAATTCAGATCTCAGATCTCAGAAATCCTGGGAGTGTCAATGGTTGGCAGCCTTTAGACGTGGGGTTCTACGTTAGTTATATGCAAGGACAGCTACAATGGTCAATTAATGCATATCCACGGAACATATCAATTCCTAAAACGGAAGGACGGGATTTTGTTTGTTCTCCGAAACCTTATCTCAAGGTTGTACCTTCAGTTCTTTGTTATAAAATATTTCTAAGAAGTAGATCTATGGGTTCTTCAACTTCATTCTTCAACGTTTATTAGGGAGATTCTCGAACATTTTTATTTTTTTGTTGGCATTAATCTCATTTCTTTTTCTCGATGGTATTTGCAGAGCTGTCTACTGTAAAAAAAACAAGGTAATGATGAAATAAAAAAGAAAAAAGAAAAAAAAGAGAACAATAATCAATAGGAAAACTTTTCTAATTTTTTACAGAAAATGTTCGAAGGGGTAATGTGTGAAATAATAAATGTATATAATTGAATTCTCAAGTTATTCTTCTTTCTTATTATTAATTTATTGAATGTATGCTACAAAATAGAAGGAGACGGTAAATCATGGGCCCTCTAACTGCCTTTCCATTTTTAAGCTCTCCGTTCCGTTTGAAATACTTTTGTGTTTTGTTTCATTAAAAAGTTCTACTGCTATTTTCCAATATGTTACCTTTTTTAATCAAAAAGAATTCAAAATAAGAGAAATAAGGTAGGAGGTTACACTGTTCTTCATGCACTCTAACTCTATTTGAAAGGTACACATTATACACAGTTTGTTCTACTATAACACTTCATTGTTCAAAATGAAGAGAAGTTGTACAGAAGGCTTTATCAATTTTTCTTCTTCATAGTTGACATTAAGTCCTATTATTTGGTGGTCCCTTTTTTAATTTCTTGGAAACATTAGTAGGGATTACATTTCAGTGTTGATTGTTATTTCGTCTTGTTGAGACATGGCTTTTTTATTCAACAAATGAAAGTTTCCATATATTGTTAGAAAAAAGGTGCACTATAAGATGGTGTATCAGAAGTTCCGTTCAGTTTTCTGCAGGATAGTGCTTTATGTTACTATTGCTAGAACATACATAGCTATATTATAATTTGAAACAAGGCAACTTTTCATAATGTCCACAGGTATTTTAAAACAACCTGAACGCACTTCTTAGAAACTTTTGAAGTTCATAGTTAGTGATTTTACATTTCTAAACAACATTTAGATTTCTTTCCTTTTTTTATTTACCTAATATTACGCTGTTTTTAAAGAGGAATGTTGTGTAAAACATTGTCACAGCAACCCAATATCAAAGAAGTTAATATTTTTGTCTGGTAACTTCCAAAAAAAAAAGAAAAGAAACATCTTTAGCAATTTTTCTAATACCTTCAGAAATTTAGTTAACTCAGATGCGTGCATTAATTGCCAAAACTCTTATTAACCATAGAATTTTAGTATTCGATATATAACAATAAAATGACTATTTTCCGCATCCGTTGTCTAGAATAAGCAATTACTAAGAGAGAATCAAACGGCTTCTTCTTTTTATCAAGTTGCTTAAGACATTGTTAACTACACTAAAATTTAAGACTATGCAGGGACAACCCTGAATAAAAGGTTGCAAAAGATGTTGAATTGAATGTATCAACAATATTTGGATGAATGAATAATGAAACAAAAATGTTCTTTAAGAAAAACGTTTTTTAAGGGTTAGAAACTCTGCCATTTGAAGGATATCATATTTCCAATATTTTACCAGGTAACAGGATCAGTATTACAACCTAGGTTCTTGTTCTTAGAAGCATTTTGGCTAGCCCACTGAAAAAATAAAGATAGAAAGCTCTGTGTATTATTGTAGATATTTCGAAGAAATAAGAAAGATGTATATATATATATTTGATGATCAAAAGCTTAAGCATACTAATACCTAACCAATATTCAGTGTTACAGTTAGCTATGAATTTGAATATAGACGTTAACCCAAACGATATGGGTGTGTTTGTTCGTGAATGGAGGGAGCGATCATGATGCCGTCATCTTATCTATTGATGATCGTGGTATTATCGAAAAATCTGGGGCCAATTTTTTGTTTGATAAAATTACTGAAAAGTAATATGTGCTTGACAATATAACTTCGAGTTTGATGATAGCATCCTCCGATAATGAAAGTTCAGAGCACATCCTAGCTGAGATATTATAAGCAAGCATGATTGTATATGATAAGAACTAAAGAAATTTTACTCAAGGAAGGGGGGATATTTCCAGACAAATTTTAAGAAATCGAAAAGGTAACCCCATAAGTTATTAATGATTTATGATAATATCACTTGCATGCATATATACTAAATAAATGGAAATAAGTTACCGTTTGCCAATTGCATTGTTTTCACAATACAGATTTAGAATGGATACCACAATATGCGATGGTGAATCTTAGTAGACAAACAATATGGTGATATTAAAAGAACAGATATAGAAAAGACATGTAAATTAGTTATAGAACTTGTACATTATTTGTAACGTATATAGAAAAGGCTCCGTATTATGGCTTCTTTTATCGCAGGGCTAGGAATTTTGCTTGTCGTAACCGAGCTCGTCAAATATATTTCAGCTACTACTACAAAAACTTCTTTTGTAGATATCTCACAGCATTCAATATTTTTTCGAAGTTTAGATAGTAATATACAATTTAGTATTTGTGATAAGCTTGTAAACCTGAAATATATTAAGGCAATGCTTTCGGGCAAAAGAACTTCCATTTTAATAGTCTCTACAGTTTACAGATGTTTTGTATTCATTTATTTTCTTATTTACACAAGAATTCCTTTTTCTAAGATTAAATTATATAATTAGACTTTATTATTGCTAGAAATGCATGCTCTCCCATATGAAATATTATCTCTTTACACTTTAATAAACTCATTTTATTGTTCTAAGAAAATCCAGCATCCAACAATCTAATATAAAAATAAAAATTAAGGCGCTTCATTTTGGTAAATAGGTATACTTATTGTTTCATATATATATATAAAAATAATAATTAAGGTAATGCTGTTTTTTTGCACAGCATAAATATACATTATTAACTAAAAGAGTTTAATATTCATTTCATCTCAGTCCTTTGCTGTTGCGACAAATCTTGATGAACGGTAATAGAAGGTAACTCACCGAGAAATAGAGCACAGATTATAACCATGGTGCCTAGCAAAAAAACCTGAGGATTCAACTCCCCATACGTAATTGCTACCATCCAAACAAAACTTTGAATTGCTAAAATCTTTCTATTAGCATATCGTTTGCACAGGATCATAGAAATACCTAGCATAAAGAAAAATCTAAAAAAAAATACTACATGTTCATAAGATGGGGTTTGTCCACTTTCCATCTCCCTATGTTGTTATATTCGTCTTTCCTAACTCTTCCTAAATTGTTGAATCTTTGTTTGAGTTTTCAAGGAAAGAGTAGACTACTATATGACTTTTCAAATAGCTCGAGGAATGAGTCCACCATGCTCACCTGCTTATATATATGTACATAATAACTCGCTTTTTGTTGCATCTTGGAAAAGAAAGCTGCCGAGCACACAGCAACCCGCGCAGGAACAACATAATCTCAAAAATAGTAGCATATCTCAAACAAAAAAATATAAAAAATGTTGCCAATATAAAAAATTTAAATATAATAGCAACCACAACTGCAGATAATTTTAAGTAGAATGGTCGGTCTTGAGATTGTAGTTGTATCAATATTTCCAAGATACAAGCAAGACTGGTTGAACTAATGGTTCTTTAAGAATATTTTGTGCTTTTATTTTAAAAAGTTACTTATTTTTATATATAGTATCGTAATCAATTAATGAGTGTAAAGAGGTCGTCAGAGTTAGAAAACCTTGTCATAATCGACCATGGTGAATCTATATTTAATATCACCTTTATCCATCCTGGCGAATACTTCACCAAGAGAATCTTCTCCCATTGGAATCTTTTCAACCCAAGGTTTGATATCCTTTTCTTTAGCTAATTGCAATAATTGCTTAATTTCTTTCACTGAACCGATACCAGAGTTTGAAATGGAAACACCTAATAGACCAAATGGACTCATTGTTAGTTTTTCAGAGGCCTCTGGAATGGCAATAGAAACGATCTTACCACCGATGTTCATTGCCTTCGGTAAGACATTAAAATCAATATCAGTCAAAGAACCAGCACAGATAACAACAAGATCAAAAGTGTCGTCATATTTGGTGGCCCAGTCAGGTTCTTCCTTAGTGGCAATGTAGTGATCAGCACCTAGCTTGAAAGCGTCTTCTTTCTTAGCGTTGGATCTAGAGATAGCATAGACCTCGGCTCCCATAGCTTTGGCAAGCATAACACCCATGTGACCAATACCACCAATACCCATAATACCCACTTTCTTACCTGGACCACAACCGTTACGCAATAAAGGTGAGTAAACAGTAATACCACCACATAATAAAGGAGCAATAGTAGCAGAATCTAAACCTTCAGGGATAGGAACAGCAAAATGTTCATGTAATCTAACGTAGTTACCGAAACCACCTTTACTACTGTAACCATCAGCGTAAGGAGCGCCGATAGTCCATACAACCTTTCTACAATATTGTTCATTATCTGATTTACAACGTTCACAGTCTAAACAAGCGAAAGCTTGAGCACCAACACCAACACGGTCACCAATTTTTAGACCAGTATTACATTTTGGACCTAACTTAACAACAGTACCGATAACTTCGTGTCCTAAGACAGTTGGTTTAACAGATTCACCCCAAAATCCACAAGCCATGTGGTGATCACTACCACAAACACCACAACATTCGACCTTTAAATCAATGTCGTAATCACCGAGAACTTTTGGTTCAAAATCAACCTTCTTTGGATGTTTGTATTCCTTGTTATCAATGATTGCAATACCTGAAAAAGTTTCTGGATAAGCCATTTTGTTATTTTTTTTAAGTCAATTGATTATTTGGATAAAACTATGTTTTGATTGTTTTTCTATGATAAGCAAGAAAATGTTATTATTTTATTGCTTTATAGAAAAGGGAGACAAGAACTAATGATTTAATAATATCATTTAAAGAAAGACATACCCTTTTTATATTATTTAATTTTCAAAACCAAATATCGTCATTCTTCAAATGGCAAACACTAAACGGCTCCTTTCTCTTGACCTGCTGGCTTTCCAGATAGCTAAGGTAAAGGGGAGATGAACCTTGACCAAAATAACAAGCCAAAAATAAAAGAAACGAAGATCTACGCTAAAATAGTAGAACTTCTTCGTGATTAGTTCAGCAGAGAATCCGTCTATCATTTCATGGTTAGGTCGGCCGAGTGAATGCTCGGTCATTGTGAATTTTGGTTGAGGCTTTGGTGATTAGAATTTCGGCCGATGGAGGTGTCTGGAGAGGGGGGGAGTCGGTCGCTACGCTTTTAAAGTGTATATATTATATGCCGGTCGGCCGAAAATATAAACAGTCACGTGACAATCCGTTATTCTCGGCCGACAAAATGTTGCTTAGCGATATTTTCAATGGATTCCATCGGATTCGGAATTACAAACAATGAAAAGGACCGATTCCAAAGGAGAGATGTAAGATGAAAGGAAAACAAAGGGTGTCACAAATGACAATGGATTGAAAATTTAACGTTATTGCCAGTTAGTTATTGTTAGAAATTGTTTTAATGAAGATGATAACAACCTAGCAAGGAAAGTATTACGGATACACACCTGGGTAGAAACATCCTTAGCAAAAAATGATAGGTGCAATCAAAAAACTAACCCCCTACTCATAATATATTATTACTTGGCAACTACCATTTACTATGGCTGTGTCTGCATGTTGATTATGTCATTGTGCTTTAGCTGCATATACGATTAAATATGCGCGCTTAATTCATTGTGAGATACCAAATATCTTTTGTACTGAACGATTGCATAAAAAAAACGTAACTATTCTTTATTTATGAACTGATGCGATACAGTTGTTATACTCCTCAGCTGAGAATTTAGTAACAGCACAATCTTTAGAGGTGGCACAGTTAGGAACTTGTGGTGAATATCTTGAGATAAATGTTTCGGAAAAGTTGTCTAGTTTGGATCGAGGTTTTCATCTTTTGCGCTATCTGCTACTAGTAACTGGTATTTAGAGGAGAAGTTTGAGGTTATGTGATTGTTGTAAAGCATTTCTTGCAGGATGTTCGTATTTCTAGTTTGACTCGGAGCCATTATTTGTATGTGTGTCATTCAATGGCATATAAAATGTGCGAACGTTCATGATTGAGAATGTTGTTCCACCCACCTCATAGTATCCCCAAGCTGGATTAACATTATCTCAAGGGGTGGTTGATGGAGCAATACACCCAGTATTCAGAACATTCTCAATGTTTTTGGTATCGTTACCAGAACCGCAATATATAATCTCAAATTGGTCCTTGTGCGTGTGACCAAAGAAGATACCCACAATAGGGAAAGGTGAAAACCTCTCCACCATGGCTATAAATATTTTGGATGGAAGATGTAACCCGTTTAGGCCATGTAGAATATGGGCGGCAATTCAGGCTCTTTGATTTTTTTTTTTAACGAAGTTGTCGACAGCTGTTGCATTGATGTAGGTATATGTATTACTAGGGTACCAAGTGTTAGAATTTAAAGACATAACTTTCAATCCCATGTTTATTTCAATTGAATAACCAGTATAGCTCGTTCTGGATTGTTAAGCTTACTCTTCATTCAACCAACCAGAATCTTGTCATATGAAAAACATTAAAACAGAATTTTATGAAAATTTGTTACAGAAACCATACATTTCTGATGCTGTTTCGTTATGAAGAGCTTCCCTCAAATTTGTATTGGTTAACAGAGCGTGTCAGTACAGTTGACTTCCCTACCAATAGCGTAATCAGACTGAATATGAACAGAGGAAACGTTTAAGACATTAAAGGTACTGTTTGCACCATGCTCGAACATTAGGGACTCTATTAGTACTTTATGACATATTTCGTCATTTTATTGAATAGTATGTGTCGTGCTGAATCATGGGTAACCGAACATATCTATGAGGTGAAAGTTTGCATAACATTTTGCAAATAATTAACCAGAATTTCGAGTATCCCGCAAAATGGTATATTTTGTGAAGATGTTTCTAATCTCATGGTACATTAATTAGTTTTGGAATTTGTTTATATCTCGTGATCATCAATATGTCTTTTGTTAACTTCCACTGAACGTACTTTCGAAAGGATTAACATGTCCCAATTGTCAATTTGGTCAACTTCCGAAGAACAAAGGGTAGGAAGTTCATAATTTCGTACATAAGGTTCAAAATTAGAATGCATTACCAGTATTGTGTATGGTTCTTATGAAAATATTTTGGTTATTCATCTGGATTTACAATGGAATTTTCCTGGAACATACCATGAAAAGAGAAGTATGATGAATTGAGGTTGATAGTAGTACGATATTTTTGCACATTTTGCAAGACCGAATTCAAAAGGGCATTGCTATATTTTAATTTTTGTCTTGTGAGATACCAAAAGTGTAACATGATAAGTCTAGCCCCTTAACAGAAAAAGATATGATTATTTAAAAACAGACTCTGAACATTCAACAATTCAAAAGCAATAAAACTTTGCTACATCATGAAAACTGTATATAAAATACCGTTTTAGAGGTGTTTACTTACAAACGAACCCTATGAGAAGGGTTAAATAATTGATACATATAAATTAGCATTTCAATTGTATTAAACGGAAATGATCTATAAAAAAATAAGGAAAAGGATACCAGAAGCTTAAATGGTTTCAACCTTTACGTTGTTACCATTATCATCTGATGATTTTAAGAAAGCATCAATACAGGCTAAATGGTGGAATGCGATTCTTGGAGTAGCTCTAACTAAATTCTTATCCTTCTTTGTAACGGCCTCATAAAAGTTTAGCATTTCTGCACCTACACCGTAAGTATTATCTTGTTTCACTGTGTATACTTCTTCTTCGGATGCATTTTCTTTACTATCTCCAATGTTAACTCTGATAACAGGTTCATCTCTATTATTTAATTCTAAAAGAACAGAACCTTCTTGGCCGTAAACTTTCAAAGTGATTGTTTTCTTTGTTGCACCAAAACGAGTACCATAAGTATAGTTCCCTATAGCACCAGATTTCAATTTGATCACAGCAAACACGGCATCAGGCATTTGATCATTGGTGTCAACTTTTGTTGTGAATGCAGATACAGAATCAAAGTCGCCAAGAAGATCTGTAAGAATAGCAATTTGATGGACACCACCATCTGATAGAGATCCACCTAAATGTTCTGCGTGTTGTCTCCAACTGGTAGCCTTATATTTGCCACCTTTTGAATTTGGACCTGTGAAATTATGACTAAATCCAACGATTCTACCAATTCTCTTAATATGTTTCTTGGCCTCTTGAACAAAAGATAAACATAACCAATTTTCTGCGATTGCAACAGGGATATCTGTATTTTCAGAAATCCTAACAAATTCTCTAGCTTGTTCCATTGTAGCTGCAATTGGTTTCTCAATGATAATAGGCTTCTTGTGTTCAATAGCCTTTTGAAGGGTTTGAACATTGAATTGAACTGGTAGTAAAGCATCAATGTAATCGATTTTGGGGTCATTCATGATTTCATCAACAGTAGAGTAAACCTTTTCATCAGGAACTTCAGCCAATTTGGCAAACTCTAAAGCTTTACTCCTAGTTCTATTGAAGACAGCTGAAACTTTGAAATGTTCAGGGTTCTTTTGATAAGCAGGTAAATGATCATCTCTGGCAAAGATGCCAGTACCGACAATACCAACATTTAAAGGTGAGAAAGACATGATGGGAGAACTGATTGATTTGATTTGTGTTCACTTTAGTTTTGAAAAAGATTCTCCTGGATGATATACGTTCCTATTACACACCTTATTGTCCCTATTTATAATAGGTTAACAACAACAAAAAAATAGCAAAAAAATAAAAATAGGTAAACAAGGTTCTCTTTCGAACGGAGGTAACAAAAATCAAAATCTTTATTAGTTATAATCCCGACATATGTGGGGGTGGGGTCAAAATCGGGCTTATGTATGTTCTAATGAAAGCATTGGCTACCTCGTTTACTTTGCTTGAGTCCTTGTTGAACTGGTGAATTTACTGTTCTTGTTCCTGTTCCTGTTGTTGTCAGGCGTTGCGCGGAGATAAGTGTTAGCTCAGCTGAAAGATGAAAAAGGCAGAAAAGCACGCAGAGAGAAAGTGTTAGTTTTTTGTTCGGCATTATTTAAGCGAGCTCTGACCGGGGATAACAGCATTTTTTTTTTTTAAATAAGCAAATGAAAGGAAATAACGATTAGATATATAAATATATAGAAGCAATATTTAGATACTAAGTTTATGGTTTAGGGTCCCATGGTAATGGGGTTGCAGAAATTTTAATTGCACTATCGACCAATTTAAAATCTTTGAAATGGTCCTTCATATATTTGGAGCCCAGGACATTGGTGAACCATTCGGTTAATAAAGGATGGGCCTTTCTCCATTGAGCATCATGAAAAGTCAAAAATCCAAAAGAGAAACAAGCTGCAGCAACAAGATCTGCTACGGTAATTGAATCATTGACCAAAAACTTATGTTTGGCTAGTTTCTCTTCAAACAATCTGTACATCACATCTAGAGTTTTACTAGCGTTGTTTGCTGTTTCAGCAGAAATAGGGACACCCTTTATATCTGCAAGACCGACCAATCCCAAAGTATTCAAGAAATCAGATGTAGCAAAGGAACAAATTTGAAGGATGGAGCTTTGTTCTTTGTAGTTGTCAGAAGTACCTAATAACTTGGCGATTTCTTGTTTGTTTCCACTCATGTGGATGATATAATTGTTGACTGCTATTTGTTCATGATATTTAGAACCATCAGATGTAATTAAACCAGGAATAGCCTTCAATGGGAAATTCTTTAGGAAATTATCAACATCTTGGGTAATTTCAACAACTTTGATATCTAATTTAAAGTAATTGATCAAACATTCGGCGACAATGCCTCTGATAAATTCGTTATGTGTGTATAAAATGGCGGTCATGATTGAAAAATTGGAAAAAACTTGTGTGCTTGTGGTGGGGGTTGTAGAGTAAACTTATATATTTGAATATAGTTGTCCCTTTTATTTTATATTTTTGTGTCAATGGGAAAAAATTAGCCGTGAAAATCAATTTTTTCTTCTCTTTAAATATAGTTAAAAGAGGGATTTATCTGGAGAAAAAGATCTGCCGAAAATAACGGTTCTATGAGGGAATTAACATGCATATAGGGGTGCACTAGATCTAGACTTATTGAACAGGCAATGCTCTGATGATGTAATAATGGGTAATGTAATGGATTAATACCTCAGTTATTTTGTAGATACTATATGCAATTAATGCTAAGTGAATATCTTACGAAACAATAAAAATATCTCGGGTTCCACAATTACTGTGTATTGCAAAGATATGCAATTGTAACTAAAGAATATGAAAAAATCATTAAATCTGTGGCTGATTCTTTTTGAATAGAGTTCTCTCGTTTATTAATTGAGATTGGGTTTTGTAATTTGATAAAAACTGTGTTAATAAAATAACCATTTTTCTTAGAAAGAGACTCTTAATAGCTCATCGGCCTTTTAAAAAGATAGTATATCAGTTCCATCTTACAAAATATTTGATAAGCATGAGTGAATAACAATGTTTCTAGAACATCAAAGAAGAAGAAAATGTTTTGTTAGATGAAGTTTAGCAGTGTGGGAAGATTGGTTCTCCAAGTACTTTTTTTTTATTACGTCTTGATATCCCGCAATACCAATTTTGGAATGTAGAAGATATACGATTTAAGAGATGCGTTAACGGGAAACAAAAGACTTTTACTGTTTTATTAGCTTATTTTTTATCTTTACATAATAAACAGAAATGAACTGACCTTCATTGTTTAATGAGCCTTAAAGTTATCAACCTTATCTTGATATTGAGGTCTTGATCGCTCGGTTACTGCCTCAAATTCTATGTGAATTATTCCAAAATTCAATTATTTTGGGAATTGTTTCTGAGATGAGGGGATTAGTTTTATAAAAATGTTCAAAGAATTTCTTTAATTATCTTAATTAAGTAAAAATAAAAATTTGGTCATATGCTATCAAATTTGTTTACTGTAGCGCCCCTTTCTCAACTTTTTAGGCTAACTACTAACCATAAAAGAATAAATTATAATTACACTTTTTCAAAAAATTTAAGAAAAGTACTGAGCTGAATATTCTAAGGGTACATTGTATAAGATATTCCCATGAGCATAATAATTAATGATCAGGAACACTAATATTAACATTAATTAAATAAAACATAGAATATTGTGCGCAATTATTATAATCGAATAGGTTAATACAACGATACTTGAACAAGAAGTTCATGAATGGGAAGGTTAACAGCTACTCCACCAAATTCGTGTTATATAAAAACAGAGGTTTGAAACACATAATTTGTAAATTAAATAATATCTTTCTAAATATATCAAGAAGAATTATCTGTATAATATCTGTAAAATAAAATTGAGTGAAAATAGTAATAAGATGAATTCTCAACAAGATGGAAACCAGGATTTCTATCAGATTACTTACTATGAGTGTGGGAGTCTTAAAGAATTGCTAAAAATAACCATAAACATATAAATATTACATAATTCACAAGCATACCTTTTCATTAATAAATAAAGTTTCTTGGAGTATAAGGTTCTTCTAAATACTTCAACTCATCGTTATTAAGAGTTACATCCAATGACAGTAATGTGTCATCAACTCTTTCAACGGAACTCATACCTACAATCGGTTGAGCACCTTTGGCAATAACCCATGCAACGGATACAGCTGCCATAGACACATTCTTCTTTTTGGCTAGTAGTTCAACTCTTTGTAAAATTTCTTCGTCACCCTTATTGAACACACTAAAACCCAAACGAGCCAAGGCTTTATCAGTCTTAGCTCTATCGGTAGTATCTCCTAATGGTCTACACAATACACCCATTGCGTTTGGAGACCAAGGTGTTCTTGCAATCTTATGTTTGGCACAGTACTGATATAAATCACGTTCATCTTCTCTATAGATCAAATTGTAACATGATTGTATATTGACAAATTGATGCCATCCATGTTTATCGGAAGTAGCCTGCATTTCTACAAACTGAGTGGGTAACATAGACGATGCACCAATATATCTAACATCGCCTCTCTCAACAACATCATTTAAAGCACGCATGGTCTCTGTAATTGGGGTATTATTGTCGAATCTATGAACTTGTAAGACGTCGATATAAGTTCCTAGTCGTTCTACAGAATTTTGAACGCCAACTAGAATATGTTTACGAGAAAGACCTTGTTGATTGGTGATATCAAATAAATCTTTTTCAGAGACCTTATATCTACCCATTGGTAAATCTAAAGTTTCATCAACTGCACCAAATACTTTAGTCATAATGACAACAGTTTCCCTTTTAATATTGTAGTTTCTTAGGAATTCTCCTAACAATCTTTCACTGGCACCATTAGAGTAAGTATCAGATGTGTCGAAAGTACGTAACCCACGATCATAACAATGTTTTAGAATAGTAAAAACCTTCTCTTTATCATCTTCTACCCATGGGGCCCATTTTTTACTACCAAAGGACATACATCCTACAATAATAGGGGATATTTTAATACCCGTGTTACCGAATTGTACCTGTTTTGCTAAGCTTGACATCTTGTTGTTATAGTGGTTGCAGCAGAAGTAAAAAATATTACATTATAAAACATGCAAGAAAAGCAACTCAAAAAAGAAAGAATGATTTTAATTTTTGATGAACTATTTATATATTCATAATTATTTAAACATTTTTGAATCTTCTTAACCATCCTCCCTGTTTTACTATTGGTGATAAAGAAGACACTTTTATAGTCAGTGACACTACGTTACTATATTGTATTTTGGTATAAATTTAAGTCACGTTTTCGGCCGAAACGTTTTTATCATGTGATTCGGAGCTTAAATACCAAAAATTGCACAAACTCGGCCGAACTACAACAGAGATTCATATTTAAAATCCGAGAATGACCAGTGGACAAAAAAACAGCCCTTGTTGACTATCACGTTCTGTTTCTTGTCAAAATGAAAATACTTATTCCCTTTCTTTATGGGTGAGTTAAAATCTTTGACATAATTGAACTTGCATAATATATTTATGCTGACTCAATCTCGCTACTATGAAGTAACGTATTTGAAAGTGATGTTATGCAATTTTTGTTTTAGAAACTTGGTCTTGTTATTAGTTTACATTAGATTGTAGATAATATTTGAAATTTAATGAGTGAATGACTTTCCAACAGTTCAAAACCCCCAAAAAAATCTTTATGGAGGTTCCAAAAGAGATATTATTGTATGCAATACAGACAAATGTTTGTATTCATAAAATGTTATTCTGATAATTAATTATGAATATTTTATGTGGTACTGAATAATCTTACACTGTAGAATCAAATGCATATGCTCAATGAACATTTTCCCAATCGTGGTGAACGAGTTGAAGCCAGTAATCGTTTTGGATTATTAATTAAAAAAACTGTATGTTAGTAGGAAGACTAAAGTTACTATCGTCCAAGACATCCGGGTCCTATCTGGTTTTACTTCAAATTCGAAGTTGAATTATCCTTGAAATAGAATATAATCAAGAGAGAATCAAGAAAACGGTTGTCATGGATACAGGGACCTTTGATTACGTTATTCATTTTTCTTCGAGGAATTTTTGCATAATTTATGCATTTATTCAAATTACACAACTATTTTGCGGGTGTCTCATACAAAAAGGGCGAAGCGACAAGCAAAAGGGAAAAGAGGTGAAGACAATGATTTGCTAATTATAGGAACCCAATGAAATAATTGAATAAATGAATATTTTGATTGACAAAAATGAATATCGGGCCGGGGTTGTTGTTTTGTATATTCCTTATTGGCAATGTGTCGTAAATCAAATTGTTAAATTATGAATATGCCGTCAAAGAGGGAAATGAATATTTTATTCAAATAACCATATTATATAAAAAAAAAGATGTTTGATAGTCGACATTATGGTCTTCAGTTAAATACTCTCATCTATTAATTGATGAGGTCAATTGATCTAGGGAAACATATATAAACAGGGGATATAACGACATGTTTGAATATATCCTATATCAACTCTCAAGATATCATCAATAAAAATAAACATACAAACAACTAACAAAACAAAACAAAACAACAAAATTTTACAATGTCTCAAATTACTTTAGGTCGTTACCTTTTCGAGAGATTACATCAAGTCCACGTCGACACCGTCTTTGGTGTTCCAGGTGATTTTAACTTGGTTCTGCTAGACAAACTTTATGAAGTCGAAGGTATGAGATGGGCTGGTGATACTAACGAATTGAATGCCGCTTACGCTGCCGATGGTTACGCTAGAATTAAGGGTATGTCCTGTGTCATCACCACTTTTGGTGTTGGTGAATTATCTGCTTTGAACGGTATTGCTGGTGCATACTCTGAGCATGTTGGTATCCTTCATGTCGTCGGTATCCCATCTACTGTCTCTCAGGCTAAGGGTCTTTTACTTCACCATACTTTAGGTGATGGTGACTTCGATGTTTTCCACAGAATGTCTACCAACATTTCCAAGACTTCTTCAATGTTGAATGATATCGCCACTGCTCCAGCCGAAATTGATAGATGTATTAGAGCTACTTACATTAGCAAGAGACCTGTCTACTTAGGTATTCCAGCTAACTACTTCGACGTCCAAGTATCTGCTGATCTTTTGAAAACCCCAATCGAGTTATCCTTGAAGCCAAACGACAAAGAAGCTGAGGATGAAGTTATTAACGAAATCTTGGCTTTGGTTAAGAGCGCCAAGAACCCAATTATTATTGCTGATGGTTGTGCTGCTAGACATAATGTTGAAGATGAAACCAAACAATTGGTTGATGTTACCCAGTTCCCTGCCTTCTCAACGCCTTTAGGTAAGGGTACCATTGACGAAACCCACCCAAGATACGGTGGTATCTATGTTGGTTCTTTATCTAGCCCAGAGGTTAAGAAGGTTGTCGAATCTGCTGATTTAATTCTTTCTGTCGGTGCATTGCTATCCGATTACAACACTGGTTCGTTCACATACTCATATAATACTAAGAAGGTTGTTGAATTCCATTCTGACCATATGAAAATTAGAAATGCTACTTTCCCAGGTGTTCAAATGAATTTCGTACTTCCAAGATTATTGAAGGTTATTGGTGCCGCTAACAAGGGTTACAAGCCAGTCTCTGTTCCAAAGCCTCTACCATTGGATAACAGTGCTGCTGCATCTGCTCCATTGAAACAAGAATGGTTATGGAGACACTTGAGCTCTTTCCTACAAGAAGGTGATATTGTTATCACCGAGACAGGTACCTCTTCTTTCGGTATAAATTCTACTACTTTCCCACCAAACTCTGTTGGTATCTCCCAAGTATTATGGGGTTCTATTGGTTATGCTGGCGGTGCTATTTCCGGTGCCAGTTTTGCTGCCGAGGAAATCGATCCTTCAAGAAGAGTGATCTTATTTATTGGTGATGGTTCTTTACAATTGACCGTTCAAGAAATATCTACTATGGTTAGATGGAATTTGAAGCCATACATCTTCGTTTTGAATAACAATGGTTACACGATCGAGAAATTGATCCATGGTCTACATGCTGAATACAACGAAATTCAACCATGGGATCATCTAGCTTTACTACCATTATTTGGTGCCAAAGATTACGAAGCCCATAGAGTATCCACAGTTGGTGAATGGAACAAATTGACCTCCAATAAATCGTTTCAAAAGAATTCCAAGATTAGAATGATCGAGGTTATGTTACCAACCTTGGACGCACCTGCTTCTCTGATCGCTCAAGGTAAGCTGTCTGAAGAGATGAATGGGGCCCAATAAATAACTGTATAGATAATTTTCAAATTAGTGTATGACCTTTATGAATAATATTATATATTTTAAAAAAATATTTTTTTCACCAGTATTATATTATATGAGTTCAACAAACATTAGTGTTTATGATGGAAATCCTCGTTTCAATCTTGCCGATCATTAATCTTATTACTATTTTCACTTATATTATTTTACAGATATTATACAGGTAATTCTTCTTGATATATTTAGGAATGAATTATTTAATTCATATACTATATATTTCAAACCTCTATCTTTATATATTCTGAATTTAGTGCTGCAGTTGCTAACCTTCACATTCATGAAATTCTTATTCAAGAATCGTCGCATAAGACTATTCAATTATAATCATTTTGTGCTCCTGTGAATATTTTGTACTGTATACCCATAGAACATTCAGCTCAGTAAATAGAAAGTTAAATAACTTATCCGGAATGCAGGTTAATCGGCTGCAACAAAACAGAACTGCTCGGGAGATATAAATTAAACTACAATTGCTCCACCACCTGTACCCGACTTTTGTCTGGAGTAAAAGAATAAGTTAACATTTTGGAAAAGAGTCGAGAATAGTTTCATGATTTAGTTCCCTTCATTTCACACATGAAAAACAATGGAGAGCTGAAAATATATAGCTCCCTGATGATAAAAGAATACTAAAGAAAAACCAAATTTCATGTTTTCTTCTATCAGACAACTAAACTCTTTATGTGCTAGACTTGGAATTACATTTACTTCGTTAGTATTCCTGTCTAAAGCAAAAAAAAGTAATGCACTTGATGGCTGTACCGTTTGCAATATTTCATAATACTTTTTTATAACGTTAAAAAGAAAGGGTCCCTGAGAAGGTTAATGCTAAATTAGGATACTAAAATTCGTCACAGAATTTTACCTTTTTCATATTTGAACAGGAAGAAGAAATGAACACTTTCTTGGTAATTTCTAAATATAATAGGGGAAGAATAATAAAGAAACAATATATAGAAAGTAAATAAAGATCAATAACAGGTAAAGGTAACTGCAAGACAGATCATATTTGTATTGATATTTTCTTTTATTTACACCTCACTCATAAGAAAATGATTTTAGGAAAATAAGAGGGCTTTCTCCTTAGCATATTGACTGGTATCTGTATAAGAGACAATAGAAGGTTTGAAATTTCGAGAAACAACCCAGTCGTAATTCACATGGCAATACATACATATTCATAAAAGTTTAGATATTATGGGCTATCTAAAGAGCTAAATAATTTTAATTTTTTATTGACAACCATCTGTTGTGAATTAGGTACCACCTTTGTCATTGTTACAATAGTTACTGACACCACAATACTGGTTGGTATATGCTTCATCCTCTAGGTTAGCTTTTTCATTGTCGAGATTATACGAAACGCAATCAACTTTATAGTGCTGTGTTCTTTTCGAATTTAGATTATCACTTAATCTCTGATATTGTTCAGTTCCATTATAACCAGATTTATATTGCACAGCAATATCTTCTGCCATTGAAACAACATCATAATGTGGTAAATACAATGTTGTATGAAATCTAAGTGGGGCTGACCAATGGACAGCAATTATTGCATTTTCATCAGACCTTTTTGTCAAATTTGTTGCAACATCTGTAGTTGATAGTGGAGTCCATAATTTTGCATTAACAAATAAGTCAACTACAAGATTGTACATACTATCTGGCTCATATAACCAATTTAACTGATAAGAACTGTCTTCAACCGGATAAATATGTTGAGCCGTATTTTCTAGTGGATATTGATCCTAATATCTATAACAATAGTACCATCAACAGAACCGTCAATAAACCCGAGATCACGTTTAGTTTTGTCCATAAATGCTACTACTCCTGCAACTGCAGTTACTTCAATTCCTAACCCAAAGTACCCAGACACTGATAGTGTTAGACATAAGGTTGGTGCCCATGCAGCTCCAATATTTGGGGCTGCAGCTATCAGTACCCCTGCCATCGCTCCAACCCTGGTAAATGTCCAACGATTTCTTTTAACTTAAACAATATAAACATCACCCTTACCAATTAGATTATTATTTGGAAGTGTGGTGAATAGGTTCCCAAAGACCTATACCAACATAATTGCCACGACAACAACTATTAATTGGTGGATAAAATCTATTTCCTCCAAGATTTGGTGAAGTAGTCATGTGGGTTGAGTTTCGTTTACCTATAGTATTTATTTTTCTTGAAGCAATCAAATAGTTGCTAACCAGAAATCTTCAACTTATAACAAAAAGTTGTTGATCAAACAAAGTGACACTAACGACCAAAGCTGAAAAGGGAAGAAAAATGTACGCATATATGAACATATTTGTTGTATAATAGTGTAGCAAAAGTTGAAAAATACCACAACTTAAGCATGGTTTTATTTCCTACACAACCTCCCTCCATTTTATCAAAATCTCCCATCCCAAACTTACTCAAACTGCAAGCTAACGCTAGAATCCGTACTGATTATCGTAACTTTTCGCAGTATGTTGTCGCATTACAATATTGTGTCGGCCGTCATACCAAATTTGGAACTGAAGGTTGTACGGCATGTCCTATAAAAATAGTATTATGGATGCAATAATAAACAGTGAGAAATAGCCCGTCGAGGAATGCGGTTTTTTCGTTAGGATATATATGGAGATGACTGCACGTAAACACATAGACTCAGTTGTTGGTGATAATAAGTTGAACTGTAAAACAAGGCAAGAGAGGGAGTCAATAGATGATAGAATGGACCGTCCAGAAGATACACATCTACTACGATATGTTAGAAACTAGACTTTCCATAATTAGCATTTCTCCGGAGATAAATATAAAACAATAGTTGTTCTATTCGCTATGCTAAATTTTAGTCACAACTAGGGAGTAAGGCAGAACTTATCCAGCCGATAGCTTAGCCGAACTCAAATCTGCTTAAGCACACATAAAATTTCGAGTTATTAATGAATATGAACATGAACACTAAATAGCTTCACATACTAAATAAAATTAAGTTACTTCTACTTCAAGAAAAAAATGTCAAAAAATAATGCCTACCTGATTTACTGGGTGTTGCCGCAACCTATCAGTTTTATCTCCATCATGAAGTTGAAGATTTGCCCTAGTTAGGATACTTCGTGTAACAAAAATTATTCACTCGTTTCTGCTCTCTTTGTTTCCAAGTTATGATGCCTCTTTGGTATTACTATAATAGAAGTTATTTAGAAATTCTAATATACATAAATAAATAGAGGTTTTGTCGAAGGCTATCATTGTAAACACATTAGCTAAACTGCTTCAGGTTTATTTAACCTTTTTTTCGGAATTTAGGATTGCATAAATGGATGATATTTTCAACAATTTATCAACAAGTTATCAACATAAGTGAAAAAACAATAGTAGATTATTCCTAAACGAATTCTCACTATACCCTCGAATAATTTTATACATTAATGTTTTATTCTTGTTATAAAACCGATAGAACAGGTGACACCGGATTCAATTTCTTATATGTTGGTTTTGAAATTTTAGCTTATGAGATAATGAAAAAAACAATAGTAAAGGACTGCTAAAAACGTTCTTTTGTGTAGACATTCTTTTTTGATTTGCTGAGGAGCGAAAGTTGCGAAATTCGGGTGAGCTCCTCAAACAAAAGACAATACTTGTAAGTAAAAGCAAAACCCTATAGAACTACAAGACTTGAAGCAGATTTTACTCAGAAAGAAAATGACACTACTTCCTTCCCCGAAAGCGAAATGGTAATAAATAATGTGTCTCTATGAGATGTTAATAATACAAACTAATTCTTTATATATATAAGGTTACGTTTGAGAGGGAGCAAACACATCCACACTTTAATATATAGAAAGACGAACATATGCCATTTCGAGTATACAAACTTGAAAAATAATAGCTCAGTATTTAACAAAAGATGAGCCACGCTTCCATAAGAAGTGAGCATTTAGGCCCGTGTTCTAATGTTTAATCGTACCGTCATGTTGTCATCTGATAAGGAACCATTTCCGGGCCTCTTGATATGAACTTCCTGGCCAGGTAAAAAAAGACTATTTAAACAAACAATAGGTTTCCTAAGTAACAATGAGCCAAGCGGACCGAGAAAAGCGTTTTTTTCTAGTAGAACAATGACTATATGACTTCACTATAGATGACTATTGTTATTTTTATATTTTTTGTTTCTGTCGCAATTAAGAAGAATGTAATCAATAACCATGACTGCGAAGGAAACAATAGAAACTCCTCTCGGGATGAACCGACAATGGGGAAATATTCTTTATATGGACATGGAAATGCAAGAATTTGTGATTGTCCCTCCTCTAATGAAATCATTACATTCTATTTCCATATAAGAATCCCAGAAGATAATAGATTTTAATTATTTTTGTAATTATTCTATTGGGGGTATTGGAAACGAAAACAATCAATCAATAATATGAATTTTTTGTTTTGATTTTTTTAACTCCCCTCACAAGTATTACTTACTATAGTGTTCCTTTATTATTATTTATGCTCCAATCAGCTTCCGAATCATTTCCTCTATCTAGAAGCTTCAAAAAGAGAATCGACAAACATTCGTATAGGATTAAACAAACTAATCAAAATGTATAAATAACCACTCAGTTGTTGCTCTTTTTCTTCTTCTCATCATTGAGAAATGTTTTCTTTCGTTTTATTTGCATTTTGTCTCTTAGCATATTCGAAATATAAGGAAAACAAAATCTAATAGGCAAAGTTGCTCAAATCATCCCAATTAAGTGATAATGACTACATTTATGTCTCTTATAGATAAGCGCACTCGCTTGCTCCAATTGTTACTATTATTCACTTCTTTTTTCATTAAGAAAGCTTATGCTGTTGATGGTTGTAGACCACAATCTGCCGGTACTCCTGGGTTTGACATGAACTTATACCATTACCCCTACGCCTACACAACCACAAATGCTGTACGTAGTTGTTTTAATAACGAGTATCAAACTCCTGAATTCCAGCAAGGTGGATACCAAACTTATGGAGGTGGTCTCTTTGGCTCCGCCTATGGTATTGAAGATGTTACTCTAAGTATTAGATTAACTGAAATATGTACTGAAACTAACGGTTCCTTACCATCAAACTTCAATTACCCCGAAACCTTCAGTATCTCAAATTTCACAATGCTACTCACTGGTTACTTCTTACCACATGAAACTGGTCAATACATTTTCACTTTAGACGCCGATGATTTGGCATATCTTTCATTTGGTGCCGGTAACGCTTTTGATTGTTGTGACGAACAAAGTACTGTCAGTAATCCCGATGCCTTCGACTTAGTTGTTATTTGGAACGGTGCCGATGATATGTCGGGCTCCATTACTTATGAATTAGAGGCTGGTATCTACTATCCTATTCGTTTATTGTATGCTAACAGAGATTTCCATGGGGATTTAAAATTATCATTCCAAGACCCAACTGGTAATATTTTCACCAACTTCTCAAACCATATTTATCAGTTTCCAGATGAACCTAAAGGTTGCCCCAATAATATCGTTGCTTCAACTACTCAATGGACAGGTTCTTACACAACAACGTACTCTACTTCCATCTACACTACCACCGGTACTGACGGTATTCCGACTATTGAGACCTTGTATATGATCCAAACGCCAAATAATACCTACACATCTACTGCTACAACCAAGTTCACCGAAGGTACTGGCGATATCACTACAACTTATTCTACTGCTACTGGTGTCATAACTGGTACTGATGGTATCATTACAACAGAAACAACTTATTTTGTTGAAACGCCACGATCAGAGACTACTGCTGCAACTTCTAGTACTACTTCACAAGTTGAACATATCACTAATGATGAAGAGATGCTAACAATTTCAAAGACTACAATTGTTACTGGCACAACTAAGTTTGGTACTGTCACTGCTCCAACTATCGATATTCATGTTACTACTTACTATAGTACGGTCGAAGATGGTAATGTCATAGAGGTTGTTGAGACCAGTATTGAGGTCGAAATCCCAAATGTTGAAAAAAGTACTACCATTGTAAAAACTACGACTACGTTCGGTACGGTTACTGCTCCAACTACTACCACATCCGCTACTACTTATTATTCTACATACGAGGACGGGGATGTAGTAGAAGTTGTGGAGACAGACATAGAAATTGAGTTACCTAACATTTCAAAGAGCACTACCATTGTAAAAACTACGACTACGTTCGGTACGGTTACTGCTCCAACTACTACCACAGCTGCTACCACTTACTACAGTACAGCCGAAGATGGTAATGTGGTGGAAGTTGTCGAAACTGATATTGAAATTGAGTTGCCAAATATTTCAAAGGTTTCTACAACAACTAATACAATTTACACCAAAGGTGATGTGACTGAACCCTCTACAATTTCAACCATGGTAACCACTTATTACACGACTGATGCTGACGGTAATGAAGATGAGGTTATCGAAACACTTTATGTTGTTGAGATTCCCGATGCCTCGAAAACCATAGAAACAGCTATAACTGAATATACTGAATATCCTGGAACCGTCACCATAACTACAACACATATTAAGACTTACGTTACAACTAATGCTGACGGTGATGAAGAAGAAGTTATTAAAACTGACATTATTATCGAAACTCCAGATAATCCTCATACAAATATGGAAACAATCACTACTTCTTCTACGATAGTCACTTATTACACCGGCTCTGAAGTTTCTACTTACTCGACTAGTATCAGAACTTATACTACCACGGATGCTCATGGTAACTCAGATGAAGTAATCGAAACCGACTACTACGTTGAAATTCCAGAACCTACATCCAAAGCTACTGAATATGTAACAAATGGATCTACATCAGTAACGACTGTTACTGAAACTTCATCAACTATACCCAATGTTTCTGAATACCCAATGCAAACTCCATCATCCACTTTGGCTGGTCTTTCTGAGTTCCACGGGGTTGGTGTTGCTGTATCAAACAATATATTCTCTTTTATTGTTGGTTTATTGTTTACAATTTTATTAGTTTAATGTAAAACTACTATCTCAGCAACATTAAATCATTCTTTTTTTTCTTTTAATTATTCGAATAACTTTTTTTTATTGATCGCTATACCCTAATATTCATTACCACTTTTTACAATATATAACACAAGCTGTAATTCTAATTATATAATTTTTATTAAATCTTTTATATCTAAAAGTTTACACAAGCTGTACATTCACCTTATAGAAAATGTTATTTTAGAGTTAGAGGACCTGATTTTATTCTAACTGATTAAAGGTTTTAGGAAAACACTCTTACCAAACATATTAGAGGAATGTAATACGGAACCACATGGTTAATAATCATGAAGGATTTAATATAAGAGTTAAACTAGATAAAATAAGAAAAATACTAGAAGTCCAACCAAATTAAGCGATATTATTCAAGTTTCTACGTTATTTATGAAAAAACGATACTTTTGAAGTGATTATAGTACATATGTTTAGCTTAACCTATATCGTGGGAAAAAATGGTGAATTTCTAAGATTCGTTATAAGAAAGAAAAAAAAATACCTTAACGCCATATATTGTTTATCAATTTAACAACTTCTCATATTTAGAATCTTGTATCAGTTAACGATTTGACTCACAATGCATATCTAATTATCAATCGTGTTGTTCTCTTAAATATGCGTGTTCTTCGCACATCAGTTACTCTTCTAGTGACCTATCACCTCCTCATCTAGTTTCTATCTCTTTTTTCTCTGTTCTTCACCGATGAGGCAGGCGTGCATAATGTAGACCGACTAAGACGCAGGGAATTTTCTCACGCCGTCTGAGAAGGAACCGAGGCAGACAGAATACTAAGAATGTAGACAAGAAACGGAAATGTGTGGACGCTGATTTATAAGGCCACCGTTCGATTAATCGGAATGTTAGAAATGCAAGTTACACTAATGTATTCTGTGAAGCTTCGTTGCTTACATCGCGGGTTTCTTAACCAATACTGTACCATTCTAAAGTGGAATAGTCGTTGCAAGTTTTTTTTCTTGTTTGGTGTCATTTTGAATACTATAAGTGCAACATGCAAAATACGAACTCAGAAAACAAATCTACAGTAAGTACCAAATGGTCGTTAATGTTGAAAAATCTGTCATGGACAGATAGAATATTACCTTTTACCATTATATTATCTATCATTATTGGTGTTGTTGTTTCTGAATATTCGAAGGAAGCCAGAAAATATTTCGATGCTTCTATGAGTGTTACATTTGTAGGTGTATCCGTTCCATTAGTGATTGGTATGATAGTTATGATGCTTCCTCCATTATGTCGCGTGGAATGGGAAATGTTATGGTCCTATGTTAGAAAGCCAGAGATTAAAAGACCAATAATCTATTCATTAATTTTAAATTGGTTACTGTGCCCATTTTTAATGTTTGGTTTAGCTTGGCTTGTACTGTTTAAAGAACCAGAATATCGTGAAGGTGTAATAATGATAGGTATGGCAAGATGTATTGCCATGGTTATTACATGGAATCAAATTGCAGGTGGAGATAATACATTATGTGTCGTATTAGTAATTATTAATTCGTTATTACAAATGATTTTGTATGCTCCATATCAAATTTTCTTTTGTTATGTAATAACAGGAGACTCTTATTCAAATGTGACAGCTCTCTATTCCGATGTAGCAAAGTCAGTAGGAGTGTTCTTAGGTATCCCATTAGGCGCAGGCTTTTTAATTAGATTTATTTCACTTGCTATTTTTGGTAAAGAAGTGTTTGTCAATAAAATTTTGCCATTTATAAATCCATGGGGGTTTATCGGTTTCCATTTTACAATCATTGTAATATTTTTAGGTAATGGTCATAATTTTTTGGAACACATAGGAACCGCCTTTTTGTGTTTTGTCCCACTTGCACTTTATTTTTTGATTGCTTGGTTTGGAACTTTTTTCTTGATGAGATTTCTTACCAGATCAAGGAAATCATTCACTAGCTTTGGTTTAGAAAATGGCGAGACGTGTGATTGCGAAACAGAAAAATTATTACAGAATGACATTTATGGTAAAAATACTTGCGATGCAAATTATGCAATAACCATGACTCAATGTTTTACCACAGCTTCGAACAATTTTGAATTATCCTTAGCTGTTGCAGTTTCCCTGTATGGTAATGGTAGCAAACAAGCCATTGCTGCAACATTTGGTCCTTTATTAGAGGTTCCAATACTTTTATGCTTAGCAATCCTTTCGAGATATTTCGAACATAAATTCATTTGGTCACCTAATGCTGAAAAAGTTTCAGAGTGAACCAATGATACCTCACTTATTAATTACATATTCTCGAAAGCCTTTTAATTTATTGTACATATGTACACATGCATATACAGGTTATCCATCATTTTTTGTTATTTACAGATCATTAGATTCGATTGTCATACTATTATAAGTTTGGTTTAAGTAGCATATTCCAGTTTGAGAAGATTGTTATTGAATTTATTAAACAAGTTATTGATTGTCATGAAAGAATTCAGTGAATACAGTTACTAATCCCACAATAAAGAATAGAGAGAAAAAGTTTTAGCAAAACTACAATCCAACGTGGAAACTACAATTAAAAGAAACACAATTTAAAAAGGGTAACTTACATAGTACTAGCATTTCAACATTCATTCCCTATTTAATTAGTATATGGCTATATCAATTTGGTTTCAATTTTTTTTAAATGAAAACTGATAATCAAAAACCCAGAATAATTACTTTGGCTTAATAATCGACTTCATCAGAAGAATTTTGTAGGAAAGGATAATTTTTGTTACTAAGACTATAGCAATCAATTTTTTTGTGTATATCCTTTGTAAATTCTCTGATGTTACTGTTAATAATCCTAACAATACTATACACAAATAATTTGCATCTTGTATTAACTGAAGGTAATTACGAGTAGAAAGTTGAATGCTAATTCTATTAATGATACTGGAAACGTTAACGACAGATGAATCTAGTTCTTCATCAAAATTTGAAATTATAACCCCTGCGGCTAAAATATTACAACCACCATTAAGGGAGTCAAATAATGATTTAACAATTACGGCACTCATCCCCTGCCATATGGGCCAATGACTTAAGACTCCAGCTCGTCTAGCATACTCAATCCCTTCAAAGCCATAGCACTCCGGGCACTTAAGCATCAGAGCTGGTGTTACACTCTCTGTTATTCGAGATGCCAAATAGGAGCTAATTATCAACGATGTTAAGTTCATGTTATACAATGAATACAGGGTTAGAGTAAGTGAACAGCTAAACAGACCAAGCTTTTCATACGTAAATAACGTGCTCATATCAACTTTTAAAATTATTCTAGAGTTTGGAATTATAGCAGGTTTGTGGATAAATATATTGTTGTAATATCCCTTGTGGTTTAATTGTGGGAAATTTTGCTCAACTAAACGAGCCAGTTAGTAATAAAAAAAAAAGCACTTATTTCTTTCTTTCAGTTTTCAAAAATTTCAATGAGGTTCCTTATTAGTGATCTAGGTTGTCAGTTAATTATCCCCGTTGCCTTTGAAAAAGGACGGCAAGAAGTTATTGTTGCCGTGAGGTAACGCCGTAAATGGCAGTAAAACATGAACCTCGTAGAGGGCGATAATATTTTAGTGTCTAAGAATAAGGCAAGGGATGGAACTGTTTTGAAAGAGAAGTATGTCATCACCAGATTGAAAATACGTAAGAAATATACACCACCATTTGTCCCCGGAGATATATATATATATGGAACATTCAAGACCTTCGCGAATCGAGGACTGCAATTACATCTATGTCTTTCTGATTTGAGTCTATTCGGAACCAATTGCGATAATACTAAATATATGTATATAGAGAAAAAAAGTATGTTTAAAAATGTAATCGTTGGCTATATTTTCAATTCAGTAGATAATGATAAATTATTCTTTGTAAGTTAATTTTCAATATAAGTGCACAGAAAAGCAAGTTTCAGTAATTAATCAACTGTGTCATTTCTTATTTGTTGTTTGAAGGGTTCCTAAGTCTCAATAACTTAAAAATAATACAGATATTTCAATAAAAACAAAATCACAACAGAAGAAACGTGTGAACCAACTTTGAGGAAGACTCCACAAAATTTTTACGATGTTAGATTTATTAAGCTATTGATAGTGGTAATCATGTTTCTCTTGATGCTTGTCGTGTATACAGCTTTAGAAGTTACCCATCTAAGTTTCAAACTCAAGGAAATGCTCAAAATAGTCCCAGAGCTGGTTCTAAAGGATCATTAAAAAGAAAACATTTTTGCAAGAATATACATCTGTTTAATTGAAGTAATTCGAGAAACCAGCTGATTACTTGAATTGTCTTTCAGAAGATGTCTGAAAGTGTTTCAAAAATAAAGTTATTCGACCCCTTTTTTCGAAGTAACTTATATGGCTAGAAGTACATAAATAAACGTATACAGGTACATATTTTAACATATACAGTGACATAATTTCTATTTTCATAGCTTCAGCAGTGAAATATGTAATAGATCAAACAATATATATATATATATATGGTTATACCCTCAATAACATCATCAATTCCTGAACCTACGGTTAGTTTTAACTCTCGGTCTCATTTTATTTTGGAATGACTACCGTAACTTTGAGTGGTTTTACAACGATGGTCTCAATGAATATTTTATTAGTTTCAAATGGTACCCTGCTAACGTTTCTTGTAAAAAATATTTATTCTAGCCCACCTTTAAATTACATCTGATTTAATACTGGTAGCTGTAAATAGGTAAAGGACCAATTGGTGGAAACATTTATTCCCTTAAGTGGTTACTGTCACCTCATGAAGTTGAAAAGGTTGCTGAGAGAGCAGCTTCGTTCGGTTCATACACTGTCCCACTTCATCTCCATGAAATCAGAGAATCATTTAAGGGTGATTTTGATACCATTGTGGCTGGTTATGTAGATTATATAAAGAGATACACTCACTATCTTCCATCCATATCTGGCTTTTGCTCCCACATTAATTTACTTTCTCAGTACAATTCTATTTTGAACGAGACTACCGAAAGTAAACTGGATGTGCTTGCCTTTTTCGGTGATGGTTCTTCTGAAATATCATTTGAAGAACTATGGTTTGACCCTGAAAACTGTTCTCTTGCAACTATGAAATCAACCATGGTCAAGAACGGTGCAGCTAGGTACGATGACTACGGATTTTTGCGCCGCTTCAATGGATCTACTGGCTATTTATTTTCAATTCTGGATGACTACTTCGACGATGACGTTGTTAATTACACACCATGTCATGACCTGAAGGTAAGAAGCCCAGATATTGACCGAATTGGAGATTTGATATTACTCCAATGTTCTTGTGTCCAGATTGAAATATTTGAAGATCGTGATTGCCTTATATCATAACGCCTCTTACCAGGGTTACATAAGAGACGTTTTGCCTTCGTTACCGGAGAGTCCGACCTTCAGTCACTGGCTAAAGGTTCTGAAAACTGAGTCATCCCCCTGAATCCTTCAATATTATGTGTATTTTTTAGTTGTAGCCTATTATTCTAACGTTATTTCTAGCTAAAGCTTTTTTTTATTTCCTTCTCATTTTAATGTAAAGTACCAGGAAATTTAGTTCTTCACTGTTATTACTTGCTGTGGCGGAAACATTGAGTGTAAGAGAATATAGATAAATGGTATATATCTACTACAAACGAAGAATTATCAGTCTGTCACTCATAGTATATATCCACAACCTCTTTCTTCAAGGGATAGGGAGAGAGAGAGAAGAAATTAAGAGCAATGTGAAGAAGAAAATATCTGTGATATAAAGGTGTATTCGTAGCCCTATATACAAACTTAAATCCGCAGTATTATCATTTTCATGTTGGTCAACAAAGAAGAAAGTTCTGCATCTTTATCTAAATATTTTTCAACCGTTTAAATAACAATAGAATTAAAATATATTCGGCAGAAAGTGTCATGTAATCTAGTTAGCTAATTATATCTTATCTAAATAAAATTAATATGACACTTTCCGATTACAAAATTTTGTCACAGTAAATAACCGTTGACTAAAGTATGAACACGATTATAGATAGTAAAAATGAAATAAATAAATCATCCAGTTCAAGTTGAAGTTTTAAACCACCATTGTGTCCCGGTAAAAAGGTAAAGAAACTTGAAGCTTCGGTGGGCTTGGTGTCTGTAGAAGATTCCCCTTGTTCCTTTTGCGAAAGTGCAGCTGTAGTAGATATACGAGGAATTATTGGTTGCTGACTTGTTATGGATATTATGCTATTTTGCGAGGGACTTTGAAATACAGTAGACTTCGGATAGACGATGGATGTAATGGTGGTCACAAACGTCTTCTCTTGAACAGCATCTGTATTTTCGAAGATACCGGCCACACTAATAAAACCTGGATATGGGTATCCAATAGTTTCGATAATTGCAGTTGTTATAATTGAAATATACGTTGCTTGACTTTCTGGACAAGTAAAAGTAGTGGCTGTAGTGGACTGTGTTACTACAACTTGAATTGTACTTACTGGAATATCGTTATCGGATACCGAAGATATCATCGTAGAAGAAGTTGAAATAGGGCCTAGCGTTTTAGTTGAACTATAACTCAGTTCATTGTCAGTTAATGATGGGGCAAGAACCTCAGTCGAAGATGAGCCTATATTCATACTTCCTATAACTGAAGAGGTCAACTTTCTTGTACTGTTACTATAAAAATCGTTCTCACTAGAATAACCCAAATCATTGGACATAGAAGTTTTAGAGACAGGAGCCACCGGTATAGATGTTATCTCCTGTTGGGTAGACGAATATCCTCTGACGTTAGCGCTGATACCTGAACTGATAAAATCATTTTCATTTGAAGAGGAAGGAACGACATTGTGTGTTTCAAAGTTATCCTTTGATATGGAGGTTATGTTGATGAATGCACTTGATACAGGTTCAACTATCTGAACAGATACAGTTGAAGTTAACTCAGAAATATTTCCAGTTGAAGTAATAAAGGAAGCGGCAAATGTTGATGGTTCTTCAGAAATATAGGTTACGTTATTTGAAGTTGGACTAAATGTTGGAACATCAGATGACGATAAGCTATTGATCCGAGAAGTTGAATTTACTACCGACAATGAAGAACCTACTGAGCTTTCTGGGTTGAAGACTAAGGAGCTAACAGATGTTGTCGTCGAGACTGGAGGTTCACCAATAATAATCCAATCCTGTACGGTAACGTAGTTTGATGCTTCCACCATATAAAATTCTTGATATGCCGTAGTCCTGGCAGTTCCTGTCCATGGAAGAGTAGTAGTATAAACGCCGACATCATAATTGCAAGTCACTAACTCGGAGCTATTTTGATTATTTATTTGATAAATATTTCCATTTATACCAGAATAAGTACCATCAGGCGCGATATAACTGGGGTATAAATATGCGCTGCTATTTTGGTTAATGTATGATAAGTACATTTGATATCTGAATCCCGCATATAAATAAACTTCTCCCTCTGGGTTTTGAGTTTCTGGCATTGATGGAATACTAGTTATAATGAATTGTTCTGAAATATCTTTATTTGTTGCATTGACGCAACAATAAGCATTTGTATTATTTACTATCATCAGTTCTGCTGCAGAATCAGCTGCAATACTAAATTTGTATACACCAGTTTCAGGAGGTATGAACCATGCAGAACCAATGATTGTAAAATTAGTATATGTTATATTATTCCCATATACATCCCCATATGCTACTTCATTTTCCGGAACTGCTTGGTTATTATTGATGGTTACATCAGGAGTATTACCAGTATATATTGGAAGACCTTCGTAACCTAATGTAGAAACCCAATGACTTAAATTTGTTGGTGCTAAACCGAGAGGTGTACCATTTAACTTTAATGAATATATACGATAAAACATCCCTGGATTTGAACTTATAACGTAGAACTTTTTACATGAGGCCAATTGAGCATGTGTCAATTCGAGCGAAAAGAGTAATATTATAAACAATGGATAAAAAACCTTCATTTTTGCTTTCATAATTTATTAATAGTTTATTTAAACTGTTTGAAGTGATATGGATACGTCGAAATGATGCACATAATATTAAAATTAGCAAATTAAGGGCATTATTTATATACATAGTTAATATTTAGTACTCGGTTGCAAATTAATTATCAATCATTATACCATTGTTACAGTTTCTAAACGAAATTGAAATAAGTTACATCCAAAAATACCATAAATTCTCGAGCTTTTTGTCATCATCATTACTTCACAATGATTGGTAAACAAACCCAAAGGTAGAGTTTTCATAATTTCCCATTTGGGGTGTACATTCATTACAGGATAGAAATAAGTTAAAACCTATAAATCCATAACATTGTTTCTCTCCCCCCCCCAGAAATGTGATTTTATAATGAAAAGGATATTGAGCGATGAATAGACCCCACATATATGACTATCGTCATTCCAGTTGAGTACGCTGATTACAGAAGAATGTGCCGTTCATTCTTATCAAATAACAGTACACATAGAACAGACCCCAATTATTACATATTTACTTGTTGCTGATTTCAAGGAGATTTAATTTTTGAAGAAGTATAAGAAATAGTCACAGTTGCTACCTCCCTACACATTTTCGTCGAAGGATCAGGTTTATGATGATAAACAATACATCTTGCACACAGTATAAAGGAGGACAATTCGGTCTCCTTTGATGCACCAGCGGCTGTCACCCTGTTGATGATAACCTAAATTATGTGAGCATATATATGCAGTAAAAATATTCCCTTAGTCATTTTTTGTATTATATGTATCTTTTTCGAAATACATGAAAAGTTAAATTTTTCTTTTGTATTAAACAGAATTTTATTTTTTGATGACCATTCTTAACACCTTTTACCCAGCTTGGTCTATTGTTTTGGGAAAAAAGTGCACGTACATATATGTGAAACGTGTGTATTGTTCTGATTATTTCAAAAAAGTTTGTCTTGATAAGCTTTTACAATTCTCGGTTTGGCGACGTTCATCGCTAGCTTTCTGGCCGCGAAGGGTGAGTGAGCATCATATCGATATATTTGAACAATATGGCAACAGTACCGATTTTTCATAAAACAGGTGAAGTACCTGGTTGAGGAAATTCTGATATGAAAGAATTGTCCTTTTTTTAAGTTGGTTTAATTTTGTACTTTTGCTATTAAAATGAAAAAAAAAAAACGCTATATATATCACCAGATTAAAAGCTATTGAAGTGTAGCAATATATTCAGAGCGAATAAATGAAACCAACCAAAATTTCATCATGGAATGCAAATAAATATATAGAGATATTAATGATAGAATTCCTCGATTCTATCTTGTTGAGCATTGATTATATCTTTATTACACAGATATTATACAGATAATTTTTCTTGATGTATTTCGGAAAGAATTATTTAGTAAACAGATTATGTACTCTATACCTTAGAATATTCAGCTCCGTCATTTTCGCAAAATAACCATCGTCACTTAATGAAAAATAAATTTGTTTACGTGGAGACGCTAAATACCAAGTTATTTGATTGGTACTAATCTTAAAAAAATATAAATATTCGTCTTTAGTTTCAAAAAACAAAAAGTTAGAAAAATTAGTTTGTATTATAGTATAAAATCACTATATAAAGGTATGTTCAACTTATTCAAACAGTTGTAAAAATTACATATGAAACAAATGTTCTTTGTCATTACAATAGTAGAGCAGCTGCACCTAGAGCAACGACTCCGAAACTACCAGCTGCCTTAGCGGCATTGTTAACAGTTTGCTCTGTAACAGCAGCAGTTGAAGAAGCGGTGTTGACAGAGGAAATAGTAGCTGGGCTACTAGTGGAAACTTCTGAAGAGGCAGAAGTGACGGCAGCAGCAGAAGAAGAGGTGACAGCAGCGGCGGAAGAAGAGGTGACAGCAGCGGCGGAAGAAGTGGCGGCAGCAGCAGAAGAAGTAGCGGCAGCATCACCTTCGGTTGCTGTTTCCAATTCAGCTGCTAATCTTGATGAGTACCATGGTAGTGCGGTCAAAAATGGACCAAGTTTCTCGACATCAACATCTTTGTAAAGAGAAGTATAGGAATCATCTGTAGCGGTTTGAACAGCTAGAGCCAAATTCATTACACCGGCAGGCAAGTCAGAGATAGATACAGCACCAGAACTAACCAAACCTAAGTAGTCAGACATATGATTTTTCACGTCATCTACGATAACATTTAATTCAGCTAATTGGTCAGCAGTTTGAGCATTAACTAATGCGGCAGTAGCGATTGTGGATAGAATTAAAGCAGTCTTTGAGTACATAATGAATATTGGTTTTAGGCGATGTGAGGACGACAATCTTCTTTTTATTGATTAAAATATCGAACCTGAAGTCTTGTATTTTCTTTTAGTAAATATGCTTCCTTTTTATATCCCAATTTAGGAAGAAGAAATTTTAAACCTTTGCAATGACATTTGGAGAATTTGTTCCCCAACCATACCCCGCATAAGATTGATATCTATTTACCAAGAAAAAAAATTAAAATGTTGAATTTCAAGAGCCACCAAGTTTCTAAAATAGTATAATTCTCAAAGTGTTGAACTTCTAAGTTTGTAAATATGCAAGATGCCCTACATAGTTCCTAAAAAAGGTGACTCTCTTTGCCTAAGAAATGCCTTTTTCAGCATAAAATGAATAGAAAAGCTCAACAAAGCCGCAATCGCCACTCCAAATTTTCCTGTTCGGGAAAGCCTACAGAAGCCGAGCAAACGCTCTGTCTCTCCCTACTCCTCGCCGCCCAACCGCCCGCTGAGGGAGACTGAAAGGACCAATGGGAGAGAGGCCTTAATAATTCCTCTGTCTACCTTCCCCCCCTCCCCGTCACAGCGCTGACACCGCCAACGGGCCGAATTCTTCCGAGAGGGCTAACATATATATGTGGTGGATATGCCCAGTTGAGATGCCCTGACGCAGGCAGTTCTCGTTATCAGTTGGGGAATCGATGAGGGGTGGAAAAATTCTACTTTAGGTCGATGTATGGTTAAAAGCTTTATGAAATATGGAACCTGTAAGGTGATCCTGTACATAGTGGCAATGCATAATTACAGTCTTTCTCTCCTAGAATTGTAACACCTATTGTACGCCCATTTTGTTGAGTGTTAGCGGATTCCGTTTCTTCTCTAAACGCTGCGGGCACTGTCGCCCGTAGGGAAGAAGGGGAAAGAACTTCTTGAAACCTTTAATCTTGTCACAACTGTCCTTCAGAATCCAAAAGTGAATAATAATAATAACAACTTTTGTTGTTGTTGTTATAACCAGTAAAGGGCAGATGCTGAACTGAGGTCTTATAGGCTAATAATGTGGGGTGAATAGAATGCACCCATTTCTTGTCAGTAATCTGACTAATGTTCTTATCAAGAGGTAGAACCAATTGTAGTCATACTCATATGTCTAAGAAAGTGTAAATGAATATAACTGAAACTAAGGATATTTTGCATTTTTTTTTAAATTATTTTCATTGAATATTGGACCATGATATTGTAAATACACTGTTGTCATATCATGTGTGTCTCCACCTTTAAAGTCGGAATTCCGGTTATTAAGATTGTGTTTAATAATTATTTTACAAGATAAGGTAGGAGTGACGGAAGGCAGATAATCTAAATAATAAAAAGTCGAATTGTTTGTATTCTCTTGACAAAAATCAAATCTATGTTCAAGATCAATCACTGTATAATTGTATAGTCTCTCTCTCTTTTTTTTTTATTTTTTTTTTTTTTCGAAATAACATCATTCACATTTCGTCTATTTCAAATGTTATGAAGCACTGTCTGACTAACTTATAAATTTCTAAGATGAGCAATATCGCTAGCAAGTTTTATTGGTTCTTAAGAATCCCCATTTAGAAACATCATCTTTAATATGTCACATTTCAGTAATAAATGTCTATCAAAAACACACACAATAAATTTAATGCATAATCGTGGGTAGTAAATTAAAATTCAAGTACAACATAAGAATAAGAGTGATCATGACTTAAAAAACAGCAACTAAAACAATAGTAAGAGTTTGGGGTTCAACATTCTACTTACCTTGTAATACCAAAGTTACACTCTGGAAGGGTTGCACCTATTGTGATAGAAAGAAACAAACTCGGTGACTGTATTTTAAGCTAATATGTTTGATTCCTTGATTGGGTGCAAGGGTCATTGTACCAAAAATTGGATCATTAAGGAAGTATTACCACCTCAACGTATCGATTTTGTGCTCCTCGATATTCATTTACCTTAAAGAATGCAATAAAATAAAAGTACTTATACATGCTTCAATCGAAGAGACTTAACAACAGTGACATCTTTTCTTTTCTGTGAAGCAACCAAACGATAAAATAACAAGATTAGAATGCAAAAAATATTTTTTCCTCAGAATTATGAAATCATACTCAGATTCATAATTAATAAAAGCCCTAAGAAAGTTTCATCATAATCGATGCTAACCCTCTTGATCAGAAAAAAAAATGAATCTTAAGCTCCCAAACAAACCTCTATTCATACCAGAATTTTTAATACTGAACAGCTCATCGACTGACAATTGTACAATCTGATGATTCGAAATCAACAGTTACCAGACAATAAGAAAGTATCTAACTCGATATCAACTTTCTACGTGGGAAGACAAAAAAATTGTTGCTCTAATCGTTTGAAGGGACCAGACAGAGATACCGTAATCTGAAGGCGGCAAGATGCTCTATGGCAATGAGGACAATACGTGTCGAATCTGAGAATGCATTGGGAAACATAGGATTCATGTTATTCGTTGATAATATGATCATTGACACTATAACCTATTCTAAAAGACGATACTTTGGTAAACCATGTAGCAATTATATACAGAAAAAGTAACCGACTTGCCTCCAAGCCATTAGCCGTCAGGATTGGCCAAAGAGATCAGGATCGCTTCTTTAGAAGACAGGAATGTGTGTCTTCAGAGAGCACTGCATTTTCTGAGTATTGGGATGGTCCAGATGAAGATTGTTTAAGTTAGAAATATAAGTGTGGTTAATTGTGTATCGAATAGCACAATGGCTGCATTTTGGTTGAGGAGATAATATCAATTCTTCCCTCAGAACGTAGAAAGTGAAGGCATGTGTCAACCAGATCAGTTGAACGGTAAGAAATCCCCTGAAAAATCAGGAGCCTGTGACACTGATGAATGAGTAATTAATTAAATTTCTAATCGATCTTTAATAACCATATATTGAATATATAGAAAAAGAGATCACTTCTAGAATATTACCGGTTGACTAGTAATCCTGTGATGCATTCGAAGTTTCATTTATTTATTTAATTTGAACTGTTTAACGTTTCAGTTATCTTCAATGATTGTAGCAGAATTTAGAATACACTCCCTTTATACTTCACTTTTGAAGGCGTATGAGGTTCTTCACAAACTGCAAACTTCTTAGTTGGCATGTAGAACGACTCGATTAACTTCATTTTAGTATCAATGACCTATTTATATTTTCAAATTATAATGGGGGCAAATAATTGAATAGCTGTTTGAGAAGGCTCCCTTATTTAAAATAACAATGTCTTTCTGAAATTTTCAATAATGAGTATTTTAAATGTTACCTGGAGTGGCTTATTCAAGTTACAGACTTTAAGAGCAACCCAATGGCTCTTTATTGCTACCCTATTTTGTGTCAGACCCACTAAATATTACCATGTTGTCATCTTATCATTTTGAAACAGGAGCGAAATAACGAAATCCTGGGTGATTCAACTTAATTAAAGCCATGGTACAATGTCAAAATTTCACAGTTTCACACTGCCAATTTCCTTGATATATATCCTTGCATTATTGTAGATAAGTTATACAAAGCTATATAGAAATATTTTTAATATATGTAAATAAACTCTGAGATTCGATATATGAACAAAGAAATAAAACGCTGGTTTTAGGAATAAATACCACAATAAGTAATATAATGTTTTTTATTAGGAGTAATTAAAGCGTAGGAAAAAGAGGATCTGTTATTAGGTCCCGCCAGTATATATTTATAGGAGGTTCACTCAACGGAATTCCCATTCGAAAAGTACTCTTGCACAATCTCTCAGATATGTTTTAAAAATTTTTTAAATTCGAGTCTCAAATAGTATGAACAACTCACGGACTATTTCAATCTATATCTAAAGAAACTTGATTGGGAACTGTTGCTATTACAGTTGAAGTGAAATAATTTTGCGTCAAAGGGCGATTTTAGCTCAATAAAGAAAAAATAAATAAATTATGTGCTATGAATGGGTCTTGAAGTAGTACATTATCATCCTGAATTCCGTACCACATATCATTCTATAGTACGCCTTATAACGGTTACCATTTCTTTCAAGAAAAGTTTTATAATAAAAAATACTAATTAACCTCCCAAAACTGGGAGAAATTTCTTAGCGAATTAGCCATTTTGTGGGTGTAACCTTTAATTTACCTAGAAAAGAACTTAAATCTGGAAAAACATTAAAGATATAAGTCCTAGTTTTGTGAAAATGTGGATATTCGTGCCGGACCTGTTAAGCAACCTATTTACTTTATGTAATCTATATTTGTTGACACCTGATTTTGTTGCCAATGTTGATATCTAGGACAGGATTTGGAACTGTCTTTGTTTTCTATATATGTTCGAGAGGAATTTGTACTATGAAAAGTTTTGCGTTATTCTTGTTGATCGTGGTGCATCCTCTTATCTGCTGGATATGGTACTCTGTTTTTGAATAACTCAGCTTATTCTCCTTTCAAAATTTGCATTGCAAGGTATTTTTTATGGGACGTACCGTTTACCTATACGATAGACCTTTGCTCTATCCTAAGGAAATTTTCAACTCTTTCACACTAATTTAGATTCCAAATTAATAATTTATTTTAAGACCCTTGCAGTGCCCTATTGAGTTTTCAAGGCTATTCCCATCATTATACATGCATTTACTTGAAGACTTATCAGGATCATTTTATAAAAGAAATTTTATATTCTTACCTCATCTAGGTATCATCTAGCCTTTTCTGGCTTCATCCATATTATTATCTACCAGATATAGTCTTGAAGCAACTAATATCCAATACCTAAAAAGCCCTAGAAGTTCCATATCAAATAAATATGTATTTTTACATAAAAAGATGAAAAATATCCTAGACTAAATTTTAAGTAATGTTATGAAATATGATAGTACCTTTTTTTCATGGTAAATAAATGAAATTCTACTAACACCGATAAATTTATCATGCAATCTAATCGGCATGTAATCGCGTCCATATAAATTGTAACAGAGTATACGCCTATACCACTCATATGTTAGATGCTAGTGGCAGTGTAGGTAATAACAGAAACCCAATTAATATGCTTGGCTAATTTTACATATTACGGAAAGTTTATCTCCTAAAATAAATAGCGTATCCTCGGTTCCTCTAATATTCTATATAGTTGCCAACTAAGGTATACTGAAGGGCATACAAAATAATGTTTTGAAAACTGTTTCTTGGAGCATCCCAATTCTGAAACAGGGTGAAAATACTTAGCCAGCTAAAAGAATCTACGAAGCAGCTTATTCTCAAGAAGGGTTCTTCTGATTTTATTTATACCACATATCTGAAATTTTCTTCAGGAATTTATAAAGTTTTCTTAAGATTAAACAGTTCGAAAACACAAAATACCTTTCTCTTAAATTAATAGAGAAGTTAGATGACGTATGTAGTCAGCAATATACCTTCTTCGGTAATAACGTTTACCGGCACACATTTAGGGAAAATTTGCAATTGACTTTGGTTGAGGAAAGCTAAAAATAACTTAAGCCTTTTCAACTGAGTTTAAAAAAAAAGAGAAAGTAATTTGGTCAGAAAAAATAAAGAACTGCTCAAGTTAAGATATCCCTAGATAGTAACCTACTTTTCTTTTTATAATGTTTACAAGATGGTAGCTAATATCGGTGTTACAGAGTGTTCACTGATTTTCGAGAAGTACCCAAAAAAGATAGTTCTAGCCCGTTTTAGAAATTTTTTTCCGCAACAACGATCAAACTTTATTTTCTAATCTGGCTATTTTGTAAACTTTTTCTAATAAGGTGCGCTGTTACTATGCGCGAACATGTTTTGTCGATCCAAATTCTCGGCTAAATGACGCGAGATTTACAAGATCTGCTCGTTTACCGCGTAATTCAAAGGAACCAAGTTAACTTCAAAGTGGGCCACAGGCAACGGACTTAACTGCCGTACTTTTGTACTGATGTTCTTTTGCTCCATAAAGACGGGGGAAATTATTTCTGAGGATGTATCTTTAGTGTATTTTCATTGACCGATATATTTATTAAAATTTTAAAGTTTAAGATCTAGACTTTCGAGTAACAGAGGCCTATTTTTGCAATACAGAGTTAACCGTCATGAAAAGTAGGGAGTGCATTCTTTTAATAAGTGATACTTTAACCAGAATATCGTTTTCACCATGGATTGGAAGCCAGTTAATAAACATATATAAATAGATGGTTTTTGGGCAATTGTCTTCTTGTTCCATGCTTTCCTCAACATACAATAAAAATCCAACAACATTCAAATTAATACAGCAAGATGAAAATGCAATTCAAATACCCTCTTATTGCTTCTGTTGTTACTCTCTTTGGCAAACTCGCAACTGCCCATTCTGAAACTGATACGTGTACCGCTACCCTCGGTTCATGTACTGATGGTTTGCAGGCTAGATTCTTCAAGTATATCTATCCGGATTATGCCTATGAATATAGTGATAAAGATTATGTCACCTATGGTTACGACAGGGAAGATCGTTTCATTACGACTTTGACTGGGATTACCGACGTTAATTTTTTTCATTTTTACAATATTAATCAAAATGGACCAACATGGGGTGAAATTAATGGATTAAATATCACTACTTCTAACTTCACTGTTGAGTATAGTGGTTGGTTTACTCCGAAGGAAACTGGTGAACACATCTTTACCATTGGTCAAACAGATGATGCAACCAGGATTGAAATTATGGAAGACAGTTCCTCTTATTGTTGTGACAGTAGTACTACTAATTCTACAGTGGTTGAGAGTTATCAAATTTACAACAACCCAACTGTACACGAACAAAGTGTCTACTTACAATCAGGTGTCTCATACCCTCTTAAAATTGTTTACTTCAATAAGGATTCTGTTGGTATTCAAACTGTTCACTTCACTGATCCATCTGGTGTTGTGCACAATAACTTTGATGGTTACGCAAAATATTTTAATGACATTGTTTGTGGCAAGACTCCTGCCCACACTTCAACTTCAGAATTGCCTGAAAGTAGTGCAACTGTTACTTCTGGTGTAGGATGCTCTACTTCTGCTACCGTATCCTCTACCTCAGGTTCATATGAAAGTAGTTCAACTGTTACTTCTGGTGTAGGATGCTCTACTTCTGCTACCGTATCCTCTACCTCAGGTTCATATGAGAGT